AAAAAAAAAAGCGAGAGAAAAGGGAAAATGTATTAAACTAAATAGGCCGGGGGTGGCAGGTTCTTAAAACTTGTGGTTTTATGTCAAGAAAAAGTTGTATGTTTGTACTACATCAGCAGCACTAATATTCAACTGGAAGGCACAGATCAAAACAAAAATGCAAGATTGGCAAGCATTCACTCCACAGTAATTGCCTCAAGTCTTAGAGATTTAACATGTTCCAAAAATGGCAACCAAATATTAGAAAATTTGACCACTGAACCTCGAAGACTATGTTTAATTTTTTCTAATTTAACAAAAAATAAGGCATCTTTAATCCACTGAGTATGAGATGGGGGTTGAGGAGACTTCCACTGCAACAAAACGCACTGCCTAGCTAATAATGACAGAAAAGCTAATAATTCAGAAAAATGGTAACTCACAGTCAGGGGGTAGAACTCCAAACAGGCCTCATGCTGTTAATTTAAAAAATGGTAGGGCACCATATTTTTACAGTATGATGCTGGCAACCACAGCTGCCAGTATTACCATTTTTTTTTTACAAGGATTTTTTTTTTTTACAGTGATATGGAACGTTATATACAGAGTTGGGCATGTTCCTTTAAAAAAGTAATTAGTTACTAACTTCTCATAAATAGTAACTGAATTATAATAGCAGCATAATTATAAAAGTAACTCATTAACAGGGAAAGTAACTATTGTGTTGCTTACAAATAATTTGTCAGATGACTATCAAATAAATATAAAACCATGAACACTAATCTACATTATATTAATGTTGTTGTGAGAGACAATGGCAGCATGTCCTCAACTATATATTTAGATATTATTTAGTTTAATTCTGTCTGAGTAATGAGTGTTTGCGGTAAAGAAAAATGAAGTTTTTTTGCTTTGACGTCGTGGCTTCGTCTACTCCTTTGGTATCAGAGCTCACGTTATCACCTGCGTAGCCACTAATCTTGTGGCGGCATTTGACAACGTGAGGTGCTTCATTAGATTAGAACTACTCGTCACTGCCGTAGAGAGACTCTTTTCCTAGGCATAAGTTGCATGATACATAAACATTCTTGCCTTTCACCTCAACGAGGAAAATGTAGTGCTTTTATTTCCAGTTTGCAAAAGCGACCTTTGAGCTTGTTGGATTTGCGATAGCTCTGACTCCTGGTCGTGCGTGTGTGCCACTGACTGTGCGTGTGCTTATGTGTGAACCTGCTGGTTCTTGGTTACTGGAAAACGAATCGCTGTTAGTAACACTGTTTATTTATAATACGGTTATTTCCATCAATCTTTGTATAGTAAATGTTTCCTAAAATAAATACATTTTAATCACCATTTACTCACACTCAAGTGGTTACAAACCTTTACCTGTTTTTTTTTTCTGTTGAACACAAAAGAAGATATTTTGAAGAATGTTATAAATTGTTAACCAATGTAGGAGAAAAAATACAGTGGAGTCAATAACTTCTAGTTTTTAAAATTTTTCAAAATGTCTTCTCAGACGAGTTTGGAACAAGTGGAGGGTAAGTAAATGACGGCAGACTTAAAGTTTTAGCATGAACTGCGTTTTTGAATGTAACACAGGCAGAGCAAAACAGTTTAAAATTCAATATGCCATATTGAAAATAGTTTCAATGCATACACTCACTGGCCACTTTATTAGGAACCCCAAGTTCTGAGTTTACCTTTGAAGTGCCTTAATTCTTCCTAACATAAATTCAAATAGGTGCCGGAAACCTTTAACTTTTAATCCATATCGATATGATTGCATCACATAGTTTCTGCAGATTTGCTGGAAAACTCCTGTTTCAGCTCATCCCAAAACTGCTCTATTGGATTAAGATCTGGTGATTGTGGAGATGATTTGAGTTTAATGAACTCATTGTTAAGTTTAAGAAAGCCAGTCTGAGAAGATTTAAGCTTTGTGACATTGAGCATGATCCTGTTGTAAGTAGCTTTAGCAAGATGGGCACACAGTGGTCATGAAAGGATGGATATTTGTCAGAAATAATGCTTGAGGTTGAATGAATGACACTCACTTGGTGTAATGGGCTCAAATTGTGTCAAGAAAACATCCTCGACATTCAACACCATTGCACCAACAACATTAACTGCTAAAGAGCCCCTATTATGGGTTTTGGAAAATTACCTTTCATGCAGTGTGTGACTCAGCTCTAAGTGAATGAAAACATCCGGATGAGGTTTAAACCTAACAGTGCTCCATGTTTAAAACTATTGATTTCATTACATGAATCATCTTGAGTTTGAATCTTTAGTCATTTGGTATTGTCGCCAAGAAGAAACATTATCATATATAAAGTGCTGGACCTGGGAAAACTTGAACCTGCTCTTCTCTTCAAACACTAGCAGAGTGCAGGGGATAGGATTAATCATGAAGCGAAGATGAGTGATTACTAATTACTGTGAGATGACTGGAGATCTGCTTAAAGCTTTGATGTGTCTTTTGTTTAAAGCTTGTTGTGCTCAAGAAATACTCAAGAGCTTCAAAAAGTGTTGTGTATTTGATGCTCTTCCACAAACTTCTGTTGTAACGGCTACATATTTGAAATAGTGTTGCCTTTTTATCATCTAAATCAGTCTGGTCATTCTCCTCTGACCTTTGACATTGAAGAGGCTTTTTTTGCCCACAGGGCTTTCTATCACTGGATGTTTTCTCTATTTTAGACAATTTTCTGTAAACCCTTAGAGATACTCTGAGCAGACTGTCTGACAACAAATACCAATGCCATATTCAAAGTCAGTTAAAGGGGACCTATTATGCCCCTTTTTACAAGATTTAATAGATAAGTCTCTGATGTTCCTAAAATATATATGTAAAGATTCAGCTCAAAATACTCCACAAATAATATTTTATAACTCGTTAAAACTCCCCCTTTTAGGCTTTTTTATAATAATTGTGCTGTTTTGGTGACTGTCGCTTTAAATTTAAATGAGATTCTGGTCCAAGCCCTTTTTTCAAAAGCTCTCTACAAATGCCTGTGTGTCAGCATAGTGGCAGATTCAAAAACAAGACTAACATTCTATGCTAATAAGGGAGAGATGATAGGCTGCCCCAACCCAACCCCCCCCCCCCCCCCCCCCACCCCACCGCTGATGATATGCACAAAGGGAGAATGTCAAAGTGTTTCTTCAGAATGTTTGTATCAAGTGAGATTATATAAAATAAACTGTATAATATTTTACAAGTAGAAGCTGGTTATATTCGCAGACTGTTGCCCTACAACTGTTTAAACCCCTTTTTAAGAGTTCACACTTTAGCAGATGATGGATTATAAAGCTTGTTTGGCATGCTGTCCCGGATGAGAGCCCTGAGCTCATAAGATCCTCGAGCCTGGGGCAAGGCGAGAGGTGAGTTTGAGCTCAGGTAGAACTTGAGAACTCCCCTGCTGCATAAGCTAATAAACAGATAGTGATTACTCTTAAGAAATAACTATTTAGGGACATGTCTATGGTGCCGATTTGGATTAGTCAATTAACTTAAGCTGCATGTTTTTGGATGGTGGGAGGAAACCGGGGATCCCAGAGGAAACCCACGTGAGCACAGGGAGAATACATAAACTCTGCACAGAAACGTCAGCTGGCTTGATAAGGACTTGAACCAGTGACGTTCTTGCTGTGAGGCAACAGTGCTAACCCATGGGCCACGTGGCACCCATCTAGGAAAGGAGGAGGAGTAGGGGTGGAAGGGGGGATTCTCTAAAACAAACACGGCTGTCAAATGGTATTAATAGTGGCTTTGGAATTGTCTGGTGAATCATAAATTGAATAATGCAGGACGGCTGCAAGCAATCATGAGCACCCGATCCTCTCAAAATTATGTTTATAAATAAACTTTACATAAAAGTGATATTTGTGTAATAGGTCCCCTTTAAATCCTCGTTCTGATGCTCGGTTTGAACTTCAACAGATTGTCTTGACCATCCATTCATGCCTAAATGCACATGATTAGCTGATTAGATATTTGTTGCATTAATGAGCAGTTTCAATACAATCATGAACTGCCAACCTTTAAAGTTAGTTACGGTCGATTCTGATTGTCTGTTGAGGTTTTTATCATTTTGCATTTATCTTTCTTTGTGTCACTACTGCTTGAGATGTAATTTTGGACTTCAGTATATAGACGTTTGTAGAATTTGAACAATAAAGAACATATCACAGTGATTGTTAAATCATTATTATTTTTGGTTGGAATGGAACACATGGAATTACAATTGAAATCATCTTGACCATTGGTAAATATATTCATATCCATATTTATATGCTTATCTGTCATCCTGCCATTCTTGGCTATTTGGCGCCATCTTGTTGCTGAATAATGCGTAGGTTAGTGTAGGCTGCATTCAGCTGTTTTTTTTTTTTCTTACTGCAAGCTTTGTTTAAATAAATGGTTAGTAAATGATTATTAATCAAAAATTTATGTTTAGTAATTTTGTACACGGCAACGCAGTAGGTAGTGCTGTCACCTCACAGCAAGAAAGGTCGCTAGTTCGAGCCTCGGCCTGGGTCAGTTGGCGTTTCTGTGTAGAGATGCATGTCCTCCCTGCATTTGCGTGGGTTTCCCCCACAGTCCAAAGACATGCGGTACAGGTGAATTGGATAAGCTAAATTGTCAATAGTAAATGAGTGTGTATGGATGTTTCCCAGAGAGGGTTTGCAGAAAGAAAGACATCCGCTGCATAAAACATGCTGGATAAGATGGCGGTTCATTCCCCTGTTGCGACCCTAGATTAATAAAGGGACTAAGACGAAAATAAAATAAATGAATGAATGATTTTTGTAGCAAGTATTCATAAGCGTAATAAGCAGGATAATGTACATCTAGGTGGTTGTTTTGCAAAATAAAAGCCTTCAGCTTTCCGCTTTGTGTTGGGCTTCTGCTGATTAACATGTCTGGCTTTATTATGTGAGAACATCCACCGATATATACATGATCTCTTATGAGGCATGATATTAAGTGACTGTTTCACATGTTATTTTCACAGCAGCCCGAGTAAGTGGAGAAGAAGAATACAGCTTTCTAGAGCCCTCTGAGTCCCCCTGGGATCTGTGGTCTTTGGCAGAGGGGGAAACTCGTTTGCCCTGTCGATTCAATGTGTCGGACAGTGAGATTACAGTGGTGCAGGTGCTGTGGATTCGAGAGAACAATGGAGTTGAAGAACAGATTCTTACTGCTCATTTCAAAGAAGGCCAGACAGGTATGACAGAAAGTTTTTCTTTTGTATTTTGCTTTTTTTTATTTTTTTACAGATATCAAACCCTAAACATTTTTGTAAAAAAATTATTATTCACCTTTTACTCAATCAATATTTAATACCAAGCAAAATACCTTAAAGGTTTAGTTATAAATATAACTAATACACAAAAATATATATATTCTATTATTAATTGCTCACCTCATCGAGGTAATTAATTAAATGCTTGAGATCTTCATTCATCTTCAGAATTCCCAAAAAGTCCAAAAAAACCAAACACAGAACCAAAAACCAAACACAGAAAACCAAGTTTTTTTGATGCAAAAAATGTGTACTTGGAGTTTTGTATAATTGCAGTTGAAGCACTGAAGTCGCATGAAATGTTTTGACAATGCTTTTGGTTCTTTTTCTGGACTTCTTGCAATCGAGTTGCTCACGGCGACCTGAGTTTGATTCCCGGCTCAAAATCTTTTGTCAAATCCTTCCAAAAATCCAAAAAAAGTTACAAAAAATAATAACAGAATAAATATTTTTGGGTCAACTAGCCCTGTAAAAGTTTGGACTAGTATGCTGAGCTCAGAGTAATTTCAGACAGATTCTGTTTTAGTTTTTTTTTTTTTTTTTTTTTTTATCGGATCAGCAATCAGATTTTTTTGCTACTTTATCAGATTTTTTTGCTACTTCCTGGAGTCTGTAAACTTGATTTAGTTCCTGCTTTTGTTTTTGTACTAATCTTGCATTCATATACACTGAACCACTGAAAGTTATTTTGTTTTTTCAAATAGCAAACTAATAGATATGTATGCATTGTTTGCCAGTTGTATGTCTCAAAGAAATCCAATGATAATCACATGGTTGTTGTTTCATTCTTTTTTTTCTCTCTGACAGAATTCCACTCTTCATATTCAGGGCGTGTACGATTCGAGACCAACAACCCAATAGCAGACTCTGCTCTGATTATCATGCGCACTCTTTCTGCAGATGAGGGCAAATACAAATGCAAAATCATTACCTTCCCCAGTGGAAACTTTGAGGCAGAGATAGTGCTCACAGTGTGGAGTAAGTACATTAATTATGGACCAACACAACACCACAAACAATTGTCATGTTTCTTATGTGTCTGTAAAATGCCTATGAAGTAGATTTTTGTGGCAGCTTGTGTCTGTGCAAACCCTCTTTTGCATCTTTTAACTAAGACATGCAGTGAAAAGTAAATTATGAAAAAAAATGCAAAATTAATGTCTTTATTTTCTAAGATTCTTTTCAATACATTTTTAACCTTAATAGTTTTAAAAACAAATTTTGTTTGTCTGGCCGTGGTGTCAGTACATAATTACTAGTTATTTAGCAATATCCTAGCATTCAGCTTAAAGTGAAATTGGAAAGCTTAAAGGTTCAGGACACCCTGGAAAACTTTTTTTTTTTTTTTATATTAACAGATTTGTGTGTGTTGAGCATCAGTTAAGACAATGTTAGCACCTGTCAGCTGTAATTGTAGGGAAAACTGGATAATTTTGAGCTTTTGGCAGCTAATTTCAGCTTCCGGGTTTAAAATGAATTTTGGGGGCGGGATCAAAATCGGCGACGTAGCGCAGTACTGCAAGTGCAATGATGACGCGTCGGTTTCTCATTATTATTCATAGCGGAGTTTTCTTATCCTATGATAAGAGCCGGCTGTTTAATTATTCATGCCAGACCTGCCAGTGTCAAGCCCGAGCTGTGAGACACGGACGGACCCACGGCACACAGTATTTAGCCGTTCATAAAGGCTCATATGCGTTTGTTTCCATGATCCACGCGGTTTGTTGCATGCTTTTTCCCCGCGATCCTGTCAGGGCCGATCATACAGCAAAGCTGTGTGTGTGCTGCAAGCATTTTTGTCGGGAGAGCAGCACGAGAATTAGAGAATGGCGGACATTGACTTTTATCAGGAGTTCGTTCACATTCAGACACATCGCCGTGCTGCTGTGCTTGCCTAAATCCTCCAGATTACCAGCAGGACTAATGGTTAAAATAGACGGGTCAGGAGACCTGGAGTCCGCTGGATACGGGGATTGAGGGAGAAGTCCTCATTTATAGTGCTTACATGAACACACTTATCTTTATAATGATATAAATTGTGATTATGTGTATATGAAATTACGAATAACAAATGTAGCAGGGCATTAAATCACTGTTCATTTCTTTGCATTTTAACTTTGTAAACTATAAACTCATGCGTCTCTTTACGGTTTGTCTCATTTTGTGAGCTAACTGACAACAACAGTTGTTCGCTCACATTCTCCCTTGCTGGCCACGCCCACTCCTGCCCGATGCTCGCGGAGCTCCACGCCCATTAATCATGCATCTTTTGAAAACATTCTAAAGTAAACTTTAACCGAAATTGGGGGGTGTCATGGCCCTTTAAGCTGGTTAAATAGGTTATGTTATTATAATTAGGCAAGTCATTGGACAACACTAGTTTATTCTAAAGCCAATGAAGGGGACATATTTTCTTAAGGGGGCTAATCATATTGACCACAGCATTTACATAAAAAAAGATTTATTCAATTTCAGTCAAACTAAATAAAAAAACACTTTCTCCAAAAGAAAAATATTATAGGAAATACTGTGACGTATGTGCACTGGGAGGATTTTTGCTTGTGTTATCTTCAGCATGTTCATTCATCCATTCATTCATTTTCTTTACAGTTTAGTCCCTTTAACAATCCGGCGCCGCCACACTGGAATGAACCACCAATGTATCCAGCACGTTTTTACACAGTGGATGCCCTTCCAGCCGCAACCCATCTCTGCGAAACACACACACACACACACACACACACACACACACTCATTTACACTCATACACTACAGACAATTTAGCCTACCCAATTCATCTGTACCACACATCTTTGGACTGTGGGGGAAACCGGAGCAGCCGGAGGAAACTCACGCGAACGCAGAGAGAACATGCAAACTCTACATAGAAACGTCAACTAACCCAGCCGAGGCTCAAACCAGCGACCTTCTTGCTGTGAGGCAACAGCACTACCTACTGCGCCACTCCGTCACCCTTCAGCATGTTTTAAGACATTTTTGGCATTCATACCTAAATGATTTTAACTGCCAATGAGAAGAGTGATTGGCGCTTAATCTAGCGAAACATAACTTACAATTCAATTTTATTTGATCTGTCTTTCTTCTTTGAAAAACCTCCATTTTGTCTAAATATTTGTTTTTAACTGTTGGGTTTATTAAAAACAAATACTATGGAAGTCAATGGTTAGGTTTCCAACATCTTTCAAAATATCTTCTTTTGTTTTCAATAGAAAAAAAGGAACTCAAAAAGGTTTGAAAACACTTAAGGCTGTGTAAATAGTGGCTAAATGAAATGACTTTTATGTTATTAAAATAGAGTTGACATTGACTAGTCGCTGGTGATATCATCAATAAAACACAAGATGCAAACTTACTGTTTAGACTTAAAACAGTGCAACATTACCAATGAGTACAACATTAGCACAGGCTAATTTTCATGCTAAATCAATTCAGACAACACATAATCACACGTAAGAATGCAACAATATCAAATATTTTAGTGCAAAAATAAGCCATATGCCATTACCTACCTTTGTGTGTAAGGCTGCCATGTTGTTTAGGTCAAAAAGCATGTGATCTGTGCAGCGTGACTAGTTGACGTCAACCAAAAAGTGTAATGGCAGAGCATTAAAGTCGACCAGTCAACTAGTTGACTAACCTGTGCAGACCCTAGTAAATAGTAAGTAAAATAAACTTTTTGAGTGAACTATCCCTTTAAATCAGTGTTTCTCAACCATGTTACTGGAGGACCAGCAGCTCTGCACATGTTCCATGTCTCCTCATTAAAACACACCTGATTCAGATCATCAGCTCATTAGCAGAGACTGAAAGACTTGTAATGGGTGTGACAGGCAAAGTAGACATCCAAAACATGCAGTTTTGGTGGTCCTCCGGGATCGTGGTTGAGAAACACTGCCTTAAATGATGCTTTTATATCTAATGTTTTGCACATTGGTGCACACGTTAACACATATTAACCAATACATTTGCGTTCAAGTCAAGAGCAGTGGGCCAATCAGAGGAGCTTGAAGGTGGGGCAAGCATTGCAGGCTTTGTTTACTGCAGCAAGTTGCGTTTGGTGTTTTAAGGTGCAAAGATGGATTCTGCATGAATGTCCCCTACATTCATGTATGCGGTAAACATTTTGCAATGAAACCTTGTCGCTTGGCAACAATTTTATTCACTCGCACAAATATATTGCGAGCTTTGCTCATGTCACAGGGAAAAAGAAAAAACACTTTTGTCTTGGCACACTTTAAAACGCAACACCGACAACCCTCGTCTCTGAACATTTCTTCATCCATCGAATTTAATTGTGCTTTGGTAACCCCATTTGGATGCTTCTCTGAACTCTGTAGCAGCTAAAAAGCGACAAAGCTATCTCATGCATATTAATAATATATTAATAATTATCTCATTCATAATAGAGTGCGCTGATTGGTTCAAACCAACTTTTCCTCATGAATAATGCACAGACATGCTAAAAACTCAATCACGTCACTTTGTACTGGCCGATGCTGACGGCCAATCACCAATCGCTGGAATATACACAAGCTTCAAAATTTCTTTTTAAACCAGAAGAACAAATTTTCTGTTATAAAAGCAAAAACAACCAATTTTCATTTTGTTGGGAAATATATGTGTCCTAATAGTTTTTTAGCAACGTGGCACATATATATGACTGTCAACATCTTGAAAAATGTGCTTAAATGCTGCTGATAAGTGTGAGCGAAAATTATCTTAGTGTGCACTGATGTTTACCTGTAGTTTCATGGGATTGCACTCTTTGCACTAATTTCTGTCCTGTTTACTAAATCTGTCCCTTGAATCCATTCATTCATTTCCCTTTCGCTTAGTCCCTTTATTCATCAGGGTTACCACAGCAGAATGAATCGCCAACTTATTCAGCATGTTTTATGCAGCGGATGCCCTTCCAGCTGAAACGTACTACTGGGATGCAGCCATAGACTCTCATTCACACACACATTCATACACTATGGCTAATTTAGTTTATTCAATTCACCTAAAGTGCATGTTTTCAAACTGTGGGGGAAACCGGTGCACTGGGAGGAAACCCACGCCAACACGGGGAGAACATGCAAACTCTACACAGAAATGCCTACTGACCAAATCGGTACTCAAACCAGCGACCTTCTTACTATGAGGTGACAGTGCTAACCACTGAGCCACTGCACCACTGTCTCTTGATTTTCAACATAAAATTTAGACAGGAACCTAATGCAATATCACCATTTCTCACAGTAACGTCTCTAAATCCAGTGAATAAAGCACATAACTGGTTTTCTTTACCATGAGATTAGATTACATGAAGATTGCACAGAAATGATTATAGCCTTCAGTGATACAAGGCAAGGATAAAGTGAGCCTTTTTTTTTTGCTTTGCTTTTGTCAACGTCCCTTTTCACATACTGAGACAACCCGTTAACCACAAGGCTAGCTCTGCTCTGATGCATACAGATATTGTTCTCAGCATAACACACCAGTATTGTCTCCGGCAGGAGGAGGGATGATGGAGGTATTAACATGACTGCGTTCATTGTTGATGCTTTTATAAGATCATACAATAGCTGCTGCTTTCACCTGCAGAGATAGTTTATGATTTTATTTACGTAGATTGTTTGAAATGGTGACGCAAAGGCAAACATTTAAAATGACATTTGATGACATTTTTACCAAATCTTATATAAAGATTTTTGTGTAAAATAACAAAAATATGGCATGTTTTCTGACCATGTTATATTAGTTATTATATAATGCCAATGTTTTACTTCAGAAAAGTTAAGAAATCAATATTTGGTTGAATAATCTTCATTTTTAATCATTGCACAAATTAAAATATTTGTCATTTCTTTCCAATTATCATTTTCTTAAATTGTATTTATTTTATTATGTTATTAGATCTATCAAATAAAAAATACATAAACCCCTACCAAATAAATGCAGAGAAACTGCTTATATACACTGTAATAACTTTGTTGTTGCTAATGTTAAGTTGAATCAAATTAATTTGGCCTCAATTAAAACGAAACTTGAAGCTAACATTTTTCTAACTTAAAAAGTATAGCTTATTACAGTTTTTCTCTATTGTTTTGGCACATTTTTCAAAACAGTTTGAACATTCTCTAAACCAGGGGTCGCCAACATGGTGCCCGCGGGCACCAGGTAGCCGGCGAGGATCACATGTGTTGCCCGCAGGCAGTTCCTAAAAATAGCTCACCATATCGCCACTTACCAGTAAGCTTAATCTAATATAGAAGTAATCATGAAAATGTAAATAAAAATGTAAAAATGTAGATATTTGCAGAGATATATAAAAATAAAGTGTTGCACATTGATACATTAAATACAGGGTATTTCCTACCCTGTTAAATCATTGTTGATAACTTTTGTGAGAATCATTAACATGATCAGTGTCTTCATATGGATGAATATCATTAATTATTACCAAAAACATGAAGTATAATTAAAAGTAAATTGAGCAAATGTGTTATTTGAGAAGTGTTTATCAAACTGGTAGCCCTCCACATTAATCGGTACCCAAGAAGTAGCTCTCAGTTTCATAAAGGTTGGTGACCCCTGCTCTAAACTGTGAGTGCAAATCTCAAAACCGTTTGCTGGAACTTTAGAACTTTATTGCATGCCTGCAAAATGTACAGTAGTTACTCCCTCGAAACACTTCATTTATGCTTTAAAACCTAGTTGTTGTGTCAGTAATATAGGGTGAATGCTGAAGTATGTTAAAAGACTTTTAATTTGCCAGTAACTTGGGTTAAGCGATTCTGGTCAATGGGGTATATGCCGAAGCATGCTAATAGGACTTTTAATTTGCCATTAACCTGGGTTAAGCGCTTCCGGCGAATTGAATGCCAATGCAAAATCCAGTGCGTTTAAGGTATGTTTTCTTTAAAAATCAGCGATCTCCACTAGCTGAGTGATATCCGATTTAAAGTGGGTCTCAGATTGTACAAGAAGCGCTGCATTAAATTACATTTCCCCCGCCATGTCTTTATAATATGAGCATTTATTTTATCCCAGTATATTCAATGGAGCTTCTGCGTTAGCCTGCCAATTCTGACGGGCGCGTGCAAGTAAACAGCTTTTTGTCTTGTTTTACGCTTGAGCAACTAAATAAATGCTAAAGTTTATTTAACTGAATGTATTTTAATGACATTACAACATCGATGCTGTATAAGGAACCGTATAAAATGAGAAAAAGTTTACAATAACAGGTCACTGGAAGTGTATCAGCATGGGAACAGCACTAGCTCTGCATATACCCTATTGTATGCCATTGCAAAATTGGTGGGTTTAAGGTCTGTTGTCATTAAAAATCAGCAATCTCCTCTGGCTGAGTGATATCTGATATAAAGTGGGTCTCGGATTGTACAAGAATCACTGAATTAAATAACATTTTTCCCCGCCATGTCTTTAAAATATGAACATTTATTTTACCTCAGTATAATGTAGCTTCAGCGCTAGCCTGCTGATTCTGATGGGCAAGTGAAAGTAAACGGCTTTTTATCTCGTTTTACGCTTGAGCAACTAAATAAATGCCAAAGTCTATTTAACTGATTGTATTTTAATTACATTACAACACTGATATTGCAAAAGAAACTGTATAAAATGGAAAAAAGTCACAATAACCCTTTTACAGAAGTTTATCAGTATGGGAAGAAGCACTAGCTCCGCATAGACCCTATTTCACCAATGTCACAAAAGCATAAAAGCATTTGACTTAGACCTTGCTAGAGATTACACTTCCTTTATATATATATATATATATATATGTATGTATGTATGTATGTGTATATATATATATATATATATATATATATATATATATATATATATATATATATATATAAAATATATATATATTTTTATTAATGTGCATATACAAATGTACAAACGTTTAATAATTGAATAGACTGTTTTGAGTGTGATAGCTTACACGATTAAAAGTGATTGAGAAGTTGTGAAGAGTTTGACAATTTCAATGAGAATTGACTCATCACTTTTGATCAACAAGCCATATGCAATGTCCAAACTTCAGACAATTTTACTTACTGTTTGCACACATGGGCCAAAGCATTTGCAATTTGCCTAAATCAATAAGAAATGCCACTCTGAAGTGAATAATAAGCCAAAAATAAGTTAAATTAGATAAGTAGCATAAAATGTTGTTTTGATCGTATATTTTTTACAGCGTATATTATCAATTTCATAGTTTAAATTAAGTTTTATCATTAAGCATTTATTATGTATTTATCATTTCTTCTTACAGCTAAACCGATTTCCTCACTGAAATCGTACACCCTGATTGAAGGACAGTCATTTCGTCCGGCTGCTTCATGCCGTGCGATGGCAAAGCCAGTTGCAGGTCTGTCCTGGGACACAGAACTGCCGGGTCAGAGTCAGAACCAGAGCTCAGATGAGTCGGTCTCCTCAATCAAGTTTTCTCTCCACCCTTACCGCAGCATGAATGGACAGAAGCTGGACTGTCTGGTCTGGCATCCATCCCAAAAAGGCCCTGAGAGGATCTCTAATAAACTCATAGTACACTGTAAGTCCTGATTTCCTACATTTTTCTGTGCACATGTTTTTATTTATAGTGTACACATGGCCAACCTGTATTCTTTGATCGGGTCAGTCAATACAATTAGTTGGGTTTAGGTAATGAGGAGAGTCAGTCAGTCAGTCAGTCAGTCAATCGGCAGCAGCCTCTGGTGGGTTTATTTGAGAACAGCAGGCACAAATGGCACTTGCAAGAGAAATTTGAGATCTCAAAAAGTGTACACAGTGGCCTCTGGTGGATTTGCGAAAATTAAAACTGCAAAAAAACGTAGCTCTTGGGACATATTTGGCGCTCTCCAGAAATGTATATAGAGGTACGTTTTCAGAATGAGCTTGGGTTGATAGAACTTGTGGCTGCAGTACTTTACAATGCTTGTTAGTGGTTGAAGCAACTGTAATCCCTAAAAATGCAAGTAGTGACATCTGCATTTACAAACATTCTACAGTGTGTCCATGTGTATGCAACCGAACAACTAGTTGACATATTGAGAGATTGATAAAAAAACAATAAAAATACCAATAAAAATGAATCCATAATAAACTTAAACTCTATATTGTTCCATACCAAATACAGCAGTGTGTGTCTGCCTACTTTTATTTGTGGTTCAGTTCAATTGAATACCTAAACTATGATATAATAATATGATATGAAGTAGATACAAGCATATGTCACACCCGATATATGCATACTTAAAATCTATACAGGGGTTGGATAATGAAACTAAAATGCTTGGTTTTAGATCATAATAATTCATTAGTATTTTTGGCCAATACAGCATCAATGTGTCTTGTTAGGAATGACAGAACCAAGTCCTGCACAGTGGCCAGAGGGATTTTGAGCCATTGTTCTTGCTAGTGTGGCCAGGTCACTACGTGAGGCTGGTGGAGGAAACGTTTCCTGACTTGCTCCTCCAAGATACCCCAAAGTGACTCAATAATGTTTAGATCTGGTGACTGTGCAGGTCATAGGAGATGTTCAACTTCACTTTCATGTTTATCAAACCACTCTATCAGCAGTCTTGCTGTATGTATTGGTGCATTATAATCCTAATACATGGCACCATGCCTTCAGGATACAATGTTTGAACCATTGGGTACCTGCACATGGTCCTCCAGAATGGTTTCCTTATAGTCCTTGGCAGTGAAGCACCCATCTAGCATAAGTATTAGGCCTAGGGCATGCCATGATATAGCAGCCCAAACCATCACTTATCCAACTCCATGCTTCACTCTAAGCATGCTTTACTAAGGTGCTAATTTAATTCTGCCAAGAGTTGGGCAGCTGTTGTTTTATGTTTTTCGTATACAATCTGTTTCAGTTGTTTCAGTTTCATTGTACAACCCCTGTATGTGATCAGTTTTAATCATATATACAGTATACTATATATATATATAGGTTTAACGATCACCATTTTAAATGATCAGTTTTAATTAATAATTTTCTGCATTGTAGCAAAAATGTTTTTTTATTTACCTTTTCACTACACAAACATTAGGGAGCAGAGGAAACAAATGACTCTTTGATTACTTTTTTTTCGCTCTAATTAATTGTGCCGTTCCTTAAAAATGTTCCATTGCAAACCACTTCACAGCTAATAGCCCGCACATAAACTGCCAAAGCACATTGTAATGTTGTTTTTCCTGCAGTGTAGTTGATAATCTGCTGTGCCACAAGACTTAATAGTGCCACAAAAGCTTTATAAGTCAGTGTCTGTATACAATAGTGAAAATCCCTTTCTTGCCTACTGAAATTGTGAAATGTCAACATGATGAAATTGTTGTTTCATAATTCTGAATGTGACTTCCTTCAGATGTGTTATGACCTGTGCACATCTGTTTGTTTTAATCGATACTGTGACTACATTGTTTTTCTCTGATTCATCATTCACTTGAGCTACAGTCATAGAAATATCTTCGCTTCGGCTGAGTAAAGCACAGCAGCAATAGATCATCATTTACTCATCTTTGTAGCTTTAGTAATTCAGTTGATCTTCTTACTTCTGTGGAAATTCAAGAGGTGGAATTCTCAGGAATATCCTGGAAGTTTTGTTTTTGCATTTTTCCATTCAATTACAGTAAATTGAGTCTGAGTGATTCATTTTCAAATTGAACTGATATGGTTCTGGATTCAACTTAAAGAGATAGTTCACCTGAAAATCTAAATTTTCTAAAATTTTAAACTCCTTTTACTTGTTTCATACCTATTTGCGCTCCAAGTTGAGGGGTAAACAACATGGGCATAATAAACTGAAAAACAAATGTGTTGTGGGTGATTGATTTCCCAAACAAAACAAAAACTTAATGCAAAAGATCCCCTTCGGTAGACAAACAAACTCAGGCCCCGTTTACACTAATGCGTTTTAGTTTGAAAACGCATAAGTTTTGCTACGGTTACGCCAACCGTCCACACTACGCCGGAGTTCTCGAGCGCCGAAAACGGAGCGTTTCGAAAACGCTGGAGAGGCTGTTTTCATTCTGAAACGCTGCTGCTACGTCTCAGTGTGGATGATGGAAAACGGAGACATCTGAAAACGGAGGCGGGGCTGCTGACATTCGCCTCTCTGATTGGGGCTTTTCCTGAATATTAAGTAGCCTAACACGCACAGTTCAGTCCTGCATTTTCTCCTTGTAAGTTCAGACTTCGCAAGTTTGATCAAGGCTGCAGTCTCTTCTTCTCAGTTTGATATGGAAAAGCAGACTATACCGAGGACACGGGTAAATCTTCAAATGGAGCAGTGTACTTTATAACTTCATTCACATCACCCTGGCTTCGTTGTTTCACTTTCTCAACAAAATGTATACATGAACTGCCTACTTCATTTTGATATTAACAACTTAACAGACAGCAGAAATGTTGAGGCGTTGTGCTGCATATATGAGCATCATCTTCACTGTGTGGATATAACAAAACGGAGCCGATAACAACTGCTTCTTTTCAATTTCAGTGAAAATACGAAACACACCCTCTCTTTTGCTGAATATCAGTTTTAATAATCGATAATGGCCATTATAAAAGTATAACATACAATACGTTTTTACATTATAGGAAATAAAGGCAAGCGATCAGTCAATATACATAATAGGCTACGTGGTTTCATTAATCATTAACTTATCTTTGCGCTTAGCCAAAACACGTTACCTGAGAAAAAGTAAGATTCCAATGACCAAAGTCAGGGAATATGTCGTTAGATAAAGACAACAAGATGAATGAAATATCCCGTTTAATAAATATAGTGAGATTAGATCCAGCGGGAGATGCTTGATGAGAAGTCCGACTAGCAGAGCTCTCATCTGGGTAGATGGGCTGCAGCGCTTGCCAGAGAGTGTCTGTGTGGTCACGTGATGTGCGTTTTCAGCGTTTTGGTGTGGACGTAGAGCAGTTCAGAAACGCTGGGTAAAACGCGAGAGTGGACGCGGATCGTTTTCATTCTAAAACGCCGTTTTAAAACTAAAACGCACTAGTGTAAACGGGGCCTCAGACCCTCAGTTAAGAGTAATTGAATAAATTTATTTTAGGAAAATAGTCATTTTAAATGAGCATCTCTTCAGGGTGGCCACAGGCCAAAATAAATAACAAAAGAATCTGCAAAGTAAATGAACTAAATTACTTATAAATGTTTTAAGAAAAATACAGGAAGCTTACCTTCCTCCCTAAACATAAACACAGTCAAAAGTAATCAAATAAATAGACAGGCCACCCCTACAAGCTCAAACTCTCAAAACAGTTGAATGCATGAACAATTGTAGAAGATTAAATGTTGATCGTCAGCCGGAGAGCTAGGGAAATTCAGGAGCTCCACTCCCAGCAAAAGTCACACCACAAATCAGACCCCTGAACCCTGCCTGAAGTACTTTTTTATAGGCCTCTGCGACCAGCAGCCAATCAGAGCTTGGATCACGTTAGAATGGGAGCCTATGGAATAGCAGAAAACAACATAAGAAGGCGGGACAAAGAAAAAGACACATGCAATGCGCAACAAAAAAAACTTAACCAGTTTGATATTTTTGGTTTTGTTGAGCACTAAAGAAGATATATTAACAGATGTTGGAAAGCTGCTACTATTGACTTTTATAGTGGGAAAAAAAAAGAAAAGACAGAATTTTGAATTTTGGGGTGAACTATCCTTTTTATGAATCAGTGATTATGCTTGCTGAAACTTGCAACAATTGAAGATTATCAATTACATTAGTTGGTTTCTAACTGATAGGTTTGACAGTTCTGTCTTCTGCATGACTTGTGTTGTTGTCCTCACACTGCATGAAAGCCTGGTGAGCCATTTTGTTGTATTGTGCACACATTTTAAAATGAAGAATCATTAGCGTCTCTGCCTGGTCTAGAAACAGCATTTCACAATTACTTAAGAAGTGATACAGAAAGTAAAGTAAGATCAGATGTGAAATAGGAGTTGTTAAGTCTGTTTTTATGCCTGTTAAAAATAGTAGCCTGAAAGAAGTTTTGGGATAGCCATATCAGCCTGTGGCCCAAGACTGGGCATCACTGAAGCTAAGCAGGGTTGGTCCTGGTATTTAAATGTAAAATCTACTGGGAAAACTAGGCATGGGGTGCAGTATATGCACAGCTAGTGTTTTTCCCTACCTATAAACTTCCAGTGAAAGGTTAATGTGACTATTTTCAATTTCATGTTCATTTCAATTTCATTCCATGTTGTCCCTTTTACAACATCAATGTTGTAATGTAATTAAAATGGCAATTGACTTAAGCATTCATTTACAACCCCAAATTAAGAAATGTTGGACAGTAGGAAAAATGTAAATAAAATTAAAAAATAAGCAGTGATTTCTTAATTTACTTTGACTTCTATTTCATTGCAGACATTACAACAAACATTGTATAATGCGTTTCTCATGACTTTAATTTGTTGTTGTTGTTGTTGTTTTATTTTTCAAAATAAACATGCATTCCAATTTTGGTTCTTGCAACACATTTCAAAAACAGTTGAAACATTAAAGCAATTACCACTTTGGAATGTTGCCATTTCTTTTCACAACACTTAAGAGATGTTTAGGGACTGAAGACACCAAGTGATAAAGTGTGTCAGGTGTAATTTTTTCTCATTCTTCCTGCAAACAAGTCTTAAAACAAGTCTTCAAAATGTGCCACACATTCTCTATTGGAGATAGGCCAGGACTGCAGACAGGCCAGTCAAGTACCTGTATCCTCTTTCTCCATAGCCAGGATTTTGTCATGTGTGCAGAATGTGGTTTTGCATTGTCTTGTTGAAATATGCATGGGCATCTCTGGAAAAGATGATTTCTTAAAGGCAGCATATGCTCCAAAATCTCGATGTACTTTTCAGCATTAATGGTACATCAAGTTTGCATTTGCCTGAGTTAAACCAATCTGACTCTCTTTGGTAATTAAAGGTTCCACGGCACTTCTTGTCAAGAGTAGGGGTTCATTCAACCCTTGTTTCCTGGTCTTATTCCTTCATCATCGCTTATCAATCATGACACCAGAAAATCAATTCATGGTTCCCATGGTTGGTGGAAGCTTTTTTTTTGCTACAGAACAGGGAATGATTTAAGTTATAGGAGTGCCTTTTGGAGAACTAAAGAAGTTCTTACTTTAGTGTAGGGTCTAACCCAGCAATTTTTAGGTTACATTGGAAAAAAATCCAATGTCTGTCTTATGTTGGACACTAACATGGGTCTGACATTGGGTTCTGAAGTCAACCTGATTTTCATTTCCACCCAAAATGCAACGTCCCCACAATATTAGGGTACAGTGTCATGTTGACATTGTGTGCCTGCTGGACATTTTTATTATTTAAAATAAAATACATGTTTACTAAAATTAAATATATTATTTCAGCTAGTTGGCATTTAAAATGTTTCATGTTTTCATTTAGCTTAACTTGATGTACACACTCAAATATCTAAAATAGAAATGAAACAAATAAACAGACACATTTTTATTTAAATGACTTGCATTTTAACAAAAAAATAAATAAAAACTGTTGACCTATGACCTACGAATTGAGAGCTGAACGGTTATCTCAGCAATACAACACTAACACTGATCCTCATTCCTTAATTCTATAATTGTTAATTGTGATAAATAACCCCGTGCTTGCCTTACTAATGTCAACAACAAAAAGGCTTAGGTGAACCTATCGGGCAAATGGGAAGTTCATCACAAGTTCAAACAAGACTCGACACACCTAATTATGATATCTTCTTAAAAATGCTTTGTTTTGTGTGTGTTTATATGTGCAGACCCTCCGAATGCAGTGATATCAGGCTACAAAGACGACTGGTTTGCTGAAATGCAAGGAGCCACGCTGCAGTGCAGTGGTGAAGGAAATCCAAAGCCTCACCTTTTCAACTGGACGAGGTAAAAAAAAAATGTTTGTCTGCATGTCATTCACCTGTATCTCTCCATTTGTTTGTTTTTTCATCTTCCTGACAGCCTGTCTTGTCAGTTTAGTTCTGTTTCGGTTGGCGGCTCTTTCAGCATGCCAGTGTAATCTTTAGGCGTGGGCAACAAGGTTGTGGCCTAAATTCGTGAAGGAAATCTTTAATCTAGTTGATCACACATGCAGGTAATACTGACACTGAGTGTGTTTACATGCACATTCTTAACCCGATTATACTTAATAAATGACTAATGCGATGATCGTGTAAATGCATTATTAAGCTGTTATCCTTTATCAGAGTGAGGTTATAAACGGATTAAACATAAACCGATTATCTCTGCTATAGGTTTTTGCCCCTATATTCCCAAGCATTTTAACACATTAGCTTGCTTTCTGTTGGTTTATTGCAGTGCATGTGTGTGTGTGTGTGTGTGTGTGTGTGTGTGTGTGTGTGTGTGTGTGTGTGTGTGTTATTGTTATTTTACAGTAAGGGGGGAGGAAATATACCGCAAATGCTTTCTTGACCATAAAAATGTGTTCTAATCTCATGCAGCAGAAATGGCGGAGATAAAGTCAAAATATGGTTTGTTATGGTCTGACTTTACAAATTTACTACAGAAGAGTCAAACTTTAGAAAGGGAAATTGTCAAAATGTTTTTTTGAAAAATTTTAATGCTAATGGTCTAATCTGATTCAATGGTTTATGCTAAGCTAAGCTAAAAGGGCTTTGCCAGACACAGAGATTGGCTGAATGGTTTCAAAATGATAAAACTAAACTGTTTAACTCTAGGGGAGTTGCAAAATGAGCCTATTTCCCCCCTAAAGTGGAGTGTGTGGCTGCTATAATCACAGTTTGCTACATTTTGACATGCCTACCACCAAATGAACTGATTTCTTAACTACAGTGGCGTAAAAAAGTGTTGGCCCCCTTACTCATTTCTTACTTTTTTGCTTATTTGTCACACTTTAATGTTTCAGATTATCAAACAGATTTAAATATTAGTCAAAGATAACACAAGTTAACCCATCATGATGTTTTTAAAATAAGGTTTTATTATTGGAAAATAAAATCCAAAACTACATAGCCCTGTGTGAAAAAGTGTTTGGACAATGATCCATAGCACAGCAACATGTCCAATTCTGAAATGCTGAAGAAATTCATAATGAAGATTTTAAAGTGGCCAAGTAAAAGTCCTGACTTGAATCCAATTGAGATGCTGTGGGATGAACTTGAAAGGGTAAAAGTAAACACATCATGCAGTTTTGACGTGGTGGGTTTTATTATTAATGGAAAACAAAATCCAAAACTACATAGCCCTGTGTGGAAAAAGTCTTTGCCTCCTTAACTTAAAAACTGGTTGGGCCACCATTAACAGCAACAACTGCAATCAAGCGTTTCCAATAACTTGCAATGAGTCTGTTGAAGTGCCGTAAAGGAATGTTGGCCCACTCATCTTTGCAGAATTGTTGTAATTCAGCCACATTGGAGACTTTTAGAGCAACACCGCTTTTTAAAGGTCATCCCACAGCAACTGAATTGGATTCAGGTCAGGACTTTTACTTGACCACTCCAAAGTCTCCATTATGTTTTTGTTCAGCTTTTCAGAAGTGGACATGTTGCTGTGCTTTGGATCATTGTCCAAACACTTTTTCACACAGTGCTATGTCATTTTGGATTTAGTTTTCCCTTAATGAAACCTCAATTTAAAGCATGATGTTGTGTTATTTTTGACTAATATTTAGATTTGTTTGATGATGTGAAACATTAAAGTATGACAAATATGCAAAAAATAAAATACAGTAAATCAGTAAGAGGGCAAACACTTTTTCAGACCACTGTATTATTTGGGGTGTAACGGTTCACAAAATCCATTGTTCGTTTGTAAATATCACAGTGGTGTGATGGTTTGGTACCGTTTCAACACAGAAAAAAAAGATTTACCTTGATTTTTACACATTTTTTATTTATTAAAACTATGATCATAAATCTTTTCTTTACATTGAACAATGATGGATCTATACTTCACCAGTCTTCTATCTAGGGTGTCTACTTAGCAGCACATAAAACAAAAAGAGCTCCTTATCGGGCCGTCAGTGAGTGTCTGTCACGCTAGTTTGTTTAGTGTGTTTGGTTTGTGGACAGTGCAGGTCTGCTTGATGTGACAATCTCGCCTGCAGTGGAAAAATCCCTCTGGCTATAGGGACAGCGGTTCAGACACAGAACTGCCTGAGAGAAACTCGTTAAGGAATAGTGTGAAAAGGCTCAATTAATGAAACCGCTGAATAACCTGTTTTTAGCTGTCTGAACCTCTGTTTGTCTTCTTTTCCTACTTAATTACTTTCCCAGTAAACATATTTATTTGAGTTGTTTATTTCAGTATTTTTTTAGAATGCCAGGAGCATGATGACAAGGTTTCACAAGTGCTGAATTATTATTTTTTAAATGCACAGACCGATGGAGAATGAGTTAAACACAGTGCTGTAGCATTTTTGGATGAGTACTGAAAGAACACTCATCCTAAGCATGTTCTTAGATTCTAGGTAATCACATTAATTTTAATAGCCATATTGCAGTGAACTTGTCCAGTTTATGCCTGACTGGTGTAGTGTGTGTTTATAGTACTTTCTTTGGGCTGCCATTATGTTTCACACACTTTAGGCTCTTTATTTTCCAAATATCTGTTTCTCAAATAATTGCCGGGAATCATTTGGTTCTTACTGCGTACTAAACTAAAAGTCTTGTACCAAATTGTTCCGTATGAACATGTGTATCTTTCCATTCCTACATATTATTTTTATGTATACTATGTATTTTCATTTCATATATATTATATAAGTACAATTATATACGAATTAATCATATATAACATTTATTCTTTATTATGTTTTTTTTTTATTAAGTCAATTTTTGTTGCTAGGTTTATGGTTTGCATGTAAAACTAGACAATGCTTTTTCTGTCACAAACTGACTATTCTATTCTTCTTTTAAACTTTTCACTTATAAGTTCCTTGGAGTTTTTGTGTATGTTTATAAACCATTTATCCAAAGAGCACCAACACGTTTAAACCCAAAGCACTTTTTGTTAGAATCTGGATTGACTATTTTAAAATACTTTGTTTACTGGACCTACAACAACTACCCAAAATCACAGTTGGTACAAAAATTCAGCTTCTAGAATTCTGACTAGGCCCAGTATAGGGAAGCACATTACATGCACTAACTAGTCAGTTTTAAATTTGATTTAAATTTTTTTTTGCTAACTTACAGTGCTCAGGATAATTGAGGACACCCCATTTTGAAAATGATTATTTTTCTTTGAATATGAATATGATTTTATCAGTGAATATAGGCAATGTAAGTTGGTGCACTTAAACTAAACAGATTTATTAAACAGCTATATTTATTCAAATATTAGTCACCAAACATATTTAGAAATTGAAAGATAATACAATTAAATTGAAGCAAAATAAAAATAAATTACATAATTTTATTTATAAAAATATATAAATTAAAAAATAAATTAACTGAATCATTATTTTTTTGCTTCTCTTGATTTTTCCATTTTTTAATGTGTATTTAATATATTTCTATAACCTATACTGTAAATTTGGATGAACAAGTTTATTTTAAAGTTATTTCGTTAGATAAGCTCCAGATTTGGCTTTAGTACTGATTAATCTAATGCATTTGCACAAATATATTATTGTATAGCTTCCTATAAAAAAAATATGAATTTAAAATATACACTTGTGAGGGGTGCACTTATATATGCTAAGCACTGTATAAGACTTTAAACAGTCTATATTTGTCGAATCTTTTAATCCCTTACACCCCTGTGCGAGCTTTACACTAGTCTGATGCTGGTCTGTTAACTGTTAAGTCAATGCAATTAAGTCACTTCTCTTTATTGCCTTTTAAATAGGGGCTTTCTCAGATATTCAGAATGCAGAATCATGACTAATCACGTTTATTTTAATGGTTTTAGTGATTTCACTCAAAAAATACTTTTGCTGCTTGTTCAAACGGCTTTTTTCATAGTTGTTTTTTGGGGGACAACCATAATGTTTTAGGTTTAACCCACTTAAATTTGTAAATTGATCGAGTTAACAGTTAACAGTTAATCAACTTGATAGATTTGTCTTGGCTTTGTTTTTTGTCTAGATTTTATGCATTTATCCATTATATGTATGTTTTACCGTTATGCTTCTTTTAAAGGCATCATCTAAAATAAACTTTATTACTATTATTTTTATTATATATACTCAATTTAATGACTCTGGGTGCTCCGGTTTCCCTTACAGTCCAAAGACATGCAGTATAAGTCAATTGAATAAACCATATTGGCTGTAGTGTATGAGTGTGTGTGTAAAATTTGAGTGTATGGGTGTTTCCCAGTACTGGGTTGTGGCTCGAAGGGCTACCACTGCGTAAAACATATGCTGAAATAGTGGGTGGTTCATTCCACTGTGGCGATCCCTGATAGATAAGGGAATATACTGAAGGAAAATGAGAGAATGAATGAATGAATGAGCTTTATTAATTTTATTCTCTTATTGAAGTCTTGATTTTGGGATGCACTGCAGATCTTAATTGGTGGACCGAAGGGATCTGGTATAGGCTGATATGTCAGTAGCTCATGGAGGTAAACAGGAGCTGTACTGTTTACAAATTTAAAAACAAAAAGTTAAATTTTTTAATTATCTCTAAAATGAACAGGTAGACGGACCGTAAGATTGGAGTAATATCCTCCCTCCCTGCAAACATTTTACAGTAGGGGAGGAGGAAATGTTATTATCAAAGCCACACTGGTGTACATGTAAATAATACACTCACTGAGAGGTCACCGAATAAAACATGACAGTTGTTTTTCGCAGTCGTGAGCAAGTCTGAGGTAATTAGTCACAGTCACACACCTTTTTTCTGGCATTTTTCAGGACGAGTGACTAAGGGGGGTGTAGACATGGACATTTAGATGATCACGCAATTCCTGAGACAAACATTCTCCACTTTTCTCCACCTCCAGCGAGTGGGGGAACCTGTTTTCGGGCTGTAAATGCAAAGTAAATGAAGTAACTGTGGCCTGGTGTCATGTTGCAACTTGCGCGGCAAACAGACGGAGCGTATTTTCACACGGAGGGAGAGCGCGGGGGGATGAGGAAAGCATTGTGAGGGGGAGATGAGTGGGTTTATGACGATGTCGTGAGGAGTATTCGTCTGCATGGACTGAGTAATGCTACTGTCTTCATGCAAATCACACCGTCACATATGAAAAACATTAAAGATATAGTTCCTGCTGCATGTTGCAGACACAGTTCTCATTGTCTGTTGAAACACAGAGTTGACCTTTTTGTGATTTTTATCAATATTAATAAGCTTATTGACGAGGTAGCTTATTGATGAAGTTTCCAGAAAACTGCAAAGCTACTAAACTACAAAGTCCTCATCTTTGAAAACTGCACTTAAAATAATGGATGTAGAATGTTTTCAGTCAGAAATGTCTTGTAAATTTCTTTAATAATGGATTAATATATAGAAAGATATGGAGTTTGTGTAGATTTTTTTATTTTTTTATTTTTTGTGAATTGCACTACGATAGTCTTTATTTTGTCTTTATTTTAGATTAAAAAGATATTCTGAATAGTGTCCAATTAAGATAAAACATACACTTTAAAAAAAGTGGCATGCTGAAACAAAAGTAGAAGGAATCACTGCTTTTAATATTGTATTGTGAAACTCAACCCTAAAAGGTTTTATGTTCAGATGTCTTGTAATGCACATTTGTTGAATTAAATTGTTGCTTTAAAGCATTAATAAACTATTGTTAATGTTGTTGACTCAATGACAATATCAAAACAGTACAAAATAATTTGTACATTTTTATTTATTTATTTTAATTTTACCAATGAGACTCAATGGCAATATGCTTAATTTTAATTTAATTTAATTTAATTTAATTTAATTTAATTTAATTTTATTTTATTTTATTTTATTTTATTTTATTTTATTTTATTTTATTTTATTTTGTTTATTTTAAAAAAAATGGGTGTAGAAAGTTTTCAGTTAGAATTTTTATTGTAGATGCCTTATTAATTTTTACCAGATGTAACTCATGAATATATAGAAAAATATGGAATTTGGATAGAGCTGTTTTTTGTGAAATGCACTACAAGAGTCTTTATTTTGTCTGTATTTTTAAAAATGTATGAAAAAATCTACTATTAACAGTGTGTGCAATAAAAAAAAGTGGCATACTGAAACAGTAATAATAGTAATCACTGCTTTAAATGTTGTGTTGTGAAACTCAAAAAAAATGTGTGTTCAAATAATTAATATTTAGAAATTGCTAGTAAATCACAGTAATGCACATTTAATGATTGAATTGTTATTTCTTTTTTATTTTTTTTATATTAAGACTCAGTGGCAACATGCTTAACACTTTTTATTTTTATTTTATTTATTTATTTATTTGTTTTATTACTGAGTGACACTCTGACGAACATGAAAAAAATGTTCTGATGAATTGATATGCTGGACATAAGTATTTTATTTTATTTTATTTCATTATGACTGAATAATGGGCGACACAGTGGCTCAGTGGTTAGCACTGTTGCCTCACAGCAAAAAGATCGCTGCTTCAAGTCCCGGCTGGGTCAGTTGGCTTTTTTGTGCAGATTTTGCATGTTCTCTCTATGTTCGTGTGGGTTTCCTCCAGGTGCTCTGGTTTCCTCCACAGTTCAAAGACATGCGCTATGGGTGAATGGAATAAACTAATTTGGCTGTAGTGTTAGTGTGCATGTCAGTGTTTAGGGAGTTTTCCCAGTACTGGGTTGCAGCTGGAAGGGCATGTGCTATGTAAAACAAATGCTGGATAAGTTAGCGGTTCAATTCGCTGTGGTGACCCATAATGAATAAAGAGACTAAATGACTGAATAACGTGAAAAATGAATTGAAAGTGATACAGATCAAGGATATTTTAAGCTTATGTTTCCTCAATGATTCAGTATGTGCAGAATATTAAGGTTTTTTTCTTTGTTTCTACAGGAAAGATGGGGCTCTACCGGAGGGTGTGATTGTGGACGGAGGCACTCTGCTCTTTTCTAGACCCCTCCGCTTGGCAGATAAAGGACATTACATCTGCACCACCACCAATCTGGTGGGATCTGGAAAAACTGAGATCGAAGTAAAAATATCAGGTGTGTGTCCCACCAAAAACCCTTCAGTGAGGCTGCAGTGCAACGATCAGTGCTGTCATCTAGTGAAAAAATATTGCAACTGCATGTCTTAAAATCTTTAAAATGAATGGCATGGTAGTTTAAATGTATACATATAATTTATACATTTAAATTTATACGATTTACATATTTAAAATCAGCATTTTCTAACCCATAAAACTAAATTAATGCTTTAAATGGACAAAAACAACAGCACAACACCTTTAAAGGAATAGAAAATAGGCTCCTTTCATAGCTCCTCTAGAGATAAACGTTTGGGTTTTACAATTTTTTACCCCATTCAGCCAATCTCTTGGTTTGGTGGGAGAACTTTTAGCTTAGCTTAGCATAAATCATTGAATCAGATTAGACCATTAGCATCTTGCTCAAAAATGACCAGATTTTTAACAGTTTTTCTTCTGTAGTTACAGTATATCATGTACTAAAAATGTACGCTGATGTGACTAGGAACTATACTCTTATTCTGCCATAATCATCCAGGAACTTTGCTGCTGTATTATGGCCACAGCAGACGGAGTGATATTACAGTACACACAACTGGTACATGCTCCTTGTGCAAGCAAGTGGCCACCTTGAATGGTATGGCAAAAAAGTTCCTTTATTATTACGCCAGAACGAGTGTATTGTTCCTAGCCATATCGACCTAAAGAATCTATCATTTTCAATTTACGTCAATCTTAGTACACAGTGTAACTACAGAAGAGTCAAGGTTAAATGGTCAAATTATTTAAACTCCTTGGTTATTTTTACTGAAATGCTAATGGTCTAATCTGTTTCAATCATTTGTGCTAAGCTACGCTAAAAATGCCCCTAGAGATTGACTTATAAATAAAAAAATGGTAAAACTGTTTAACTCTAGGGGAGTTGTAAAATGTTGTCAATTTTCAAAAAAATAAAAAATAAATAAAAAGGTGGAGTGTTCCTTTGAAATGAACACAGATGCCGAGAAATGATATCTAGATTTGTGTTTTTAATGCAATACAGTTGAACAAACAATATGTTTTTCTGCACGTTTGTTTCAGAGCCGACTCCTCCTATCGCCTCGGTGAACTTCATGCTGATGATCACCATCGCTGCTCTTGCTGCAGGGGTTGTTCTCACTCTTATCGGTGTGATCATTTGTGTTAACCGTCACTATAAACGCAAAAATAATCAACTGGCCATAGAGCTGGATGAAAAAAAGTAAGTCGTTTTTGCTTTCACTTTATGAACTGCTGTGAATATGAGTGTGTGCTACACCCTCACCTTTCTTGTCTTTTTAAAGGGTGGAAATCAACACTCTATCAAGACAGGCCTCGTTTAGGAGAGTGAACTCCAGCAGCACAGACAACAGATACTCGGTAAAACTACTGTAAAATATGCACTTTTTTATTTCTTGTTGACCAAATATTTGTGCTCATATTTGGGCTTTGTAAGATGTTAACAAGTTGATCATAATACACTTTAAAAATGCTGGGTTATTTTAGCCCAATGTGCCTAATATGGATAAACCCAATGTTGGGCTAAGTTTTTCTTTTTTTTTTTTTCATTCAATTTATATGACACTATTTAAATCAATGGTTGGGTTTGTTCTTATTTGACCCAACATTGGGTTAAAACAACCCAGCCTTTTATAGATTGTACAGTAATAAATAAATACATAAAAACAGCAATAATGTGAAATCTGCATCTAAAATAATTGTTTTCTTAATATTTTAAGTCTAGTTATGCTTTATTTGTTGTTCTGGCACAGAAAAACTACTGTCAGGATTAATTGCACAGGATTTACCAAACTTGTGTTTAAAAAATACATGGACACTCAGTTAAAATACTTGGATTACAAATACCCCAACATATAACCCACCTATAGGTTATAATAGCACCTTCCAAACTATGGGTTATAGTAACCCAAAGCATAGGGTTGTAAAATTTAACCCAATGCATTGGGTTATTTTTGATTAAATGTTTTTTTTTTCCTGGTATTAATATTGCTACTATTACTAGTACTGCTATTAATTTTTAATTATGGCTGTGTAAATTAATAAAATACAGGTGTCAAAGATACTGAAAATGCTTTTTTCCATTACATTTAAAGTTCCAGACACTTTTATGTACGTTTTTATCCATTTAATGTAGATTGATTATGAAGTGCGCCTTTGTATCATCAACAGTTAAGAGTGCTGGTGAAACAGATATTAAAAACAAAACCAAATAGTTAGTTTGATTTAAAAAAGTACAACATTATTGCGTTATAACTTAAATAAACTTCATAAGGCATGATTATTATATGCATTTGCAAATACATTCCCATTTAAATGCAAAATGTATACACTGCTATAAGTCATGACAACTAAAGTTTGTTTTGTTCATTTACGTCATATAAGCTGTCTTAAGTCAGTTTAATGTAATCTCAGTTAAAATGACTTCCTAAGGGTAATTTATTTCAACCTAAAATTGTAATGCAGCCACAGATTTTTTTAGTTTATTGAAATAAAATGCGATTTACTATTTGACTTGTCTATGGGATTTGGACTTTTATGTATTGTCTAAAAAGCTAGTCTTAACCCTTTTTTGTGCCTGTGTTGGTAGATTGCACGCACTTAATAATCAACATTGGCGTTGCTTGTTTTTTGCTGAATTTGCACTTTATTTTTGCATCGACTATTATGGAAATTAGAGGCTGTGTATTTGTTCTTTAATTTGTGCATTTCATTACAATAACTCACAATGCTTTACACTCGGTTTTAATGGAATTTAACTTACATGCTATTTGAACTTGGCCCTACAGTAGTTAAAATATATTCCTCTAATGGCAGAGCTGATTTATTTATTTATTTATTTGTTTTTTGTTATTGCTTTACTCTTCAGTGTCACTTGATCCTTCAAAAGGTGTCTTATTATCAGTGTTAAAAATGTGTGGTATTTCTGCGGATTATATGAATAGAAAAGTTCAAAAGAGAAGCATTTTTTTGAAAAACTTTTCTTTTATTATAAATGTCTGTACTGTCACTCGACTTATTTAATACATCCTAACAGAATAAAAGTAAACATTTCTTTAAAAAAAAAAACATAGTGACCCCTATAATGGTTTAATAAACAATGTTTGTGTGTATGTATGTATTCATTTTGTTTTTCGTTTATTAAATCATTTATTCATTTTATCTGAATCTATACAAATATTTGAAATGCTTTATTTACTCTGCTATTTTGCTTTCAAATAAATTCTTTCTGTTTTGATATCATCTAATGAAAAGAAACGTTTTTCACATACGTATGGCTCAAGCATTTAGGCGTGTTATGTTTCAAAGTATGTTTATTTATATACAAAGGGATGTAGAAATTAAATCAGCTATTTCTGTCTTCTTTTTTAAAGGAGGACAATCATCCTTTAAGAGTCGAAGGGACGATACGCACAAGTCTCTCCTCACTGGTTTGTGTTTTCTATTCATGTGCCATTTTCAAAATGCTTTTAAGAGAACACTCACCCAAAAATTTAAATACTGTCATAATTTACTCATCCTCCTCTTCTTCCAAGCCTGTTTGAGTTTCTTTCTTCTGTCAAACACAAAACAAGAAGAAAAAATTGAAAGCAGCACGCTTTGACTTCATTAGTATTTTTTACCCGAACTATGGATGTCATAAGCTATGTTTCCATCCAAAGATGCTTGTTAAATTTATGCACAAAACTGGAATATTGCATAAAAGACGTGCAAATAAAGAAGCATTTCCATCTAATGAGTTAAAGTGAACAAAATCTGATACGTTTTTTTATGCATTTAAAAATCTTGGGGTTTCCATCAACCAGTCTAACTATGTCTCCATCCACCTATTTTTTTTTTCGCATGCAGGATAAGGGTGCTAACGCTCCATTCACACGGGGCTTCAGCGTCAACACTTGACTGAAAGCGCCCGTGTAAATGGAGCATAAAGGTGGCACGGTGGCTCAGTGGTTAGCACTGTCGCTTCACAGCAAGAAGGTCACTGGTTCGAGTCCTAGCTAGGCCAGTTGGCTCTGTGTGCATGTTTGCATGTTCTCCCCATGTTTGCCTGGGTTTCCTCCGGGTGCTCCGGTTTTCCCCACAGTCCAAAGACATGCGCTATAGGTGAATTGGATGAACTAAATTGGCCATAGTGTATGAGTGTGTGTGTGAATGCGAGAGTGTTTAGGTGTTTCCTATTTTACAGGTTATAAAACATATACCGGGATAGTTGGCGGTTCATTCTGCTGTGGAGACCCCTGATAAAAAAGGAACTTAGCCGAGGGAAATGAATGAATGAAACATAGCTAATGGCTGCTAATTTGACAGCATTTGTGTTCAACAGAAGAAAGAAATGCATTCAATCTTTCAAACATGTAAACGGTGAGAGAATGTAGATTTTTTGGGTGAACTGTCCCTTTAATGTATATTTACTGTCATAGTCTGACATGATGCATATATGAACAGAGTAATAATAGTTTTAATTGTGGTAATAATGAAATGACTTGTTTAATTGTAATCCCTGACTGTTTACTTTAACAGGATCGTCCTCGCTCCAGGGATAGTCGTTCCACTCTGGGAGGAGTGGATTCACTGGGTCGGCCTGCAATTTATAACACGTCCAGAAGAGGGAGAGAGAAAACGATAGACAGAGCTGACAGAGAATCTGCTCGACTGATGATGGAGTCTTTTGAGCAGGACAGTAACATGTCACAGGTATGTATGAGTTATGATGCTTGAGTTTGCATGTGTGTTCCGTTTTATAAAGAACAAACTTTTTGTGTTCTATTTCAAGAAATGGGTCAGTAAATGGAGATATTTCAAAGTATCTTAATGTGCATCCACTTTAGAAGGTCAAAGGGATTTTTATAATAAATTATTATAATTACATTTATTTCTGCTCATTTAATGAGAGGTTTGCCTTTTGTTTTTGAGACCTTTACATGGTAATTGTTGATGTTTGTTAAATCTTGGTTTAGCTAGTTCAGCAGTTTGCTAGTTTATGGAAATATTGGATGTGGAAATGTGTTTGTGCCATACACTAAAAGTGATACATTACAATTTTAAGCATATTTTACTTACTTAAAAATGCATAAGCAACATAACACATGCTTTCACATTATTTTCCCTAAAAAGTAACTAAGTGACACATTTACAGGGTTCCCATCCTTCTTGAAAATACTGGAATTTCAGACACATGGATTCAAGGCCTGGAAAGTACTTAACAACAAACATTGATCCTTGAAAGTGCTTAAATTAAATTTGAAATAAAATTTGTTTATAGTTTTCTTTCAACAATTGTACTCAATTGTCAAAAACAAAACAAAAATGTAGAAATTTTTAAATAAAAAATCTTAGATTTAAGTCTTGCAGTAATACTGACTAATAATGCATATTGCATCAATATTTCAGAAACTGCATTTGAATACTACTAGTATTATATTAAAATTTTACAGAAATATTAAGTCTAAGAGAAATGTTAAGTACAGTAAAGACTTTCATGATGCTACATAAGCTGGGGCATGAATTCCAAAGGTGCTTGATTTAAAATTGATGGTGCTTTAAAACATCCTTGAAAGTTCTTGAATCTGCTTTTTATGAAAGTATGTTTATGAACCCTGCATGTAGTTACTTAAAAAAGTGACTTGTAATATCGCTGTGGAGACCCCTGATGAATAAAGGGACTAAGCTGAAAAGAAAATGATTGAATGAATAAAGAAAAGGTTTATTTAATAGTTTAATAACTCATAGTATTGCTGTTTTACTATATTTTTATCAAGTAAATGCTGTCTCGGTGTACACATTAGACTCATGAGCAACACTTTATATTGTGTTGTAGATGAAGATAATGTAATAGTTCTATCTTTAAATGGTTTTGGTGCTAAGTTGAAATATTTGAGTTTTACAGAAACAGTGATACAAATATATGATTTGATATACTAATGTTAAATATATTCATTATAGAACAGTTAGTAACACAAAAAGTTCACCCAAAAATGAACATTACCTCATCATTTACTCACACACTCAAGTGTTTTAAAACTTTTATGAATTTCTTTCTTCTGTTGAACACAAAAACAAGATGTTCTGAAGAATTCTGAGGGAAAAGCATCCATTGACATCCATAGTAGGAACACAAATTACTATGAAAGTCAATGGTTGTTTTTGATGTATATCTTCCTTTGTGTTCAGTAGAAGACAGAAATGTAAACTATTTTGAAACAAGTGGAAGATTAATAAATCTTTAAAGGGAATGAGTATCCCTTTAAAATAATTTTCAACAAATACATTTGCAAATGAATTGATTTGCACTAATCACTCTTTTCAATTTTGCCATTCAGGAAACCCATCTTCTCCCACCTCTCCACCCCTCTTCCTACACAATGGACCAGCCCGCAGACATGGTCAGATCTCGAAATGGCAATGCCATTCTGCCAGCAGAGGGGAGGCCGCATTCTGGAGGCAGTACCAGAGGGGGCAGCAGCAGGCATCATTCACCGTTAGTGACCATGTACCCGACTCTTACGGATGAAGAGGAAGGCTCTGTCAGCCCTACGGATTCGGGAGTCCACCGTGGTACACTGGAGCATGACGCTTTTGAAAATGGCGACAGCGAGACCACGAGTTCTCAGATATCTGAAGCTCTGTCCAGTCATTTTGAGCGCACTAATGGCACACTACGACCCAAAGTGAAACCAAACAACATCATTCTGCCAGCCAATACAACCATTTACTTTCATCCACATAGTCCACCTATCCATAAAGCTCAGATCGTTTAGAGGGATTGTTTGGAAACGTCTTACATGAGAGGAGTCTTGGATTTATTGTTTGAAGTTCACTCTACACACAGCTGGACGATTACTAAGCCCAAAGTGGAACTTTTATATAAACGTTTTATATGAACTTATTCTCAAGGTGGCAAAAACTTGAACTCTATCAAGCCATCATATGACCAAACTCAAACCTGAATATCAATATCAGCATTACACAAAGAGGCTCTCAAATAGCGGCATAATCTATTCTGGATTCTGGAACTGGGACGTTTGAGTATTAATGAACTACAATATGTGTTTCAGATACAGATTAGCTGAAAATTGCCAGAGCTGAGCTTGTCTTTGACCAGGAATTAAGATTTATATAAATATATATGTACAGCGGGGAAAATATGTGTTAAACACACCATGCTTTTTCCTGGGGATAATATTTCTAAAGGAGCTGTTGACATATTGAACCAGATTTTAGTAAAAACCCAAACAATGCAAACATAAAAATAAAACAAGCAAAAAAAAAAGAGTTTTGTGTAATAACAATGAAATCACACAAAGAGAAAGTACTAAACTACTGAAACATATTAAGTAGACTTCAACAAAGTGTAAAAATCTTGATTCTGTGGGTCTCTTCTATCAAATCTGATCTTTAATTTGTATTCTCTATTGGATTCAAGTCAGGTGATTGGCTGGGCCATTCTACAGCTTGAATTTCTTTCTCTGAAAGCATTTGAGAGTTTCCTTGTCTGTGTTTTGAATCATTGTCTTGCTGAAATGTTCTGGTTTCATCTTCATCATCTTGCTAATGTAGATGTTGGAATGAAGCAACAAAAATTAATTTACAATGAGGAAGGGCAGAGGGTTACTGAAGAACTACTGAGAGATTTCAAATCCTGTCTGGTCTTTCACTGCCTATCTACACCTCCTTTCATGTATTCAATACTTTTTTCATGCGCCATTTTACTATGCATAACTTCATTTGTAAACGAATACGTTTAGTTTTATTTGCATGTACTGATTTCTTTGGTTTTTACCAACATCCTGGTGACAATTTCAAGTCAACAGCGTCTTTAGAAATATGTTTTTGAGGAAAATGGTGATGCGTTCAATACTTATTTTTGCTGCTGTATATATTACAACCTAATTCTTCACTTGAATTGCTGTTGAGGGAGAGAATGCTACAAGAACTGTTTTCTGGACAGTCAATCCTTCACTGTGACCGTATGTTTGTAATCCAGAGATGGTGTTTTGAAATGTTTTTGAATATACATAAATAATATGTGTGCATTTTCACTGTAAACTACCCGCTGCATGAATAGTATTATGAAGTATTGCATTGACAAATTTAAAAAAAAAAGGTTCTTTATGTGTTCACAAACGCCATTGTTTACAACATTTATACTTCATTAGTTTCTAGTGCTTTAAATGTACTTAGGTTTAATAAGTGGGTTGTGTTATTGCAAGCTCCTGAGATATTTCTGTGACCTTTCTATATCTACAAAAAATATATAAAACCTTACTGGTTCCTGATGGTTGGTGTTTTCAGTTCTCTACAGTGTATGAGGGTGGTGTTCATGTATGGCCAGTTATTAAATCCTCTTTAATAATGTGTCCATGTTAGATTAATTCCACACTTAAAATGAAGATGTAAAATGTTGTACGTAACAATGTCAAAGAAAATGTGAAGGCTGCTCATGTTCTGCAATTTACATGACCAACCCAGATAATTAATCACTTCAAACTACTAAAAATGTCAACTTTTTAAAATCAGGGTGGTCAGAGATCAATGTCCCATAATGCAATTTGAAAGCAATACACCCATGAATCACAGGTAACCATCATTTCCTTCGAATACTACTAAAAAATCTGTGGATTCTTTGATGTAAACCAACACTATTAAAAGAAAAGGTAATTTTCTATTATATTATATTATATTATATTATATTATATTATATTATATTATATTATATTATATTATATTATATTATATTATATTATAATATATTATATTATATTATATTTATTATGGCATTGTTATGTAAACGTTTACTATCGACAATAATAGGGCTATTTTAGTCTAAAATAAGCGTTGTTGTTTGTACAGGAAACACGCATACATGAAGAACTTTGGGAATGTTGACTTTTATTTTGAATTTAAACCTGACTACCAGAAATTAACATTCCTTTTATTCCTTCGTTACTCCACATTACATTAGATTTGATAGAACGTAGTCTGTCATATTTTCCAAAACTGCCTCTGAATGTATAGGAAAATGAAAGAAATGGTTGAAATTATTTTTATTTGTTTGCAAATACTGTCCTTTTAGCAGCCTCCTTCACAAAACATGAAATAAAGAGTTCTTATCTTTTTTGCAATAACAACACGACATGCCGTCGACGTATTAGCCATTTCGAGTTTGTAGTTGATTCGTTTATTAATGACAAATTCCTGAATGACCACATTGTTCGCGAAGGGGGACTTTTGTCTCCTCAAAAAGGCGTATCGCCGTCCATTTTGTTGTCCGTTCACCATGGCGAGCTTCACACATCGATGCTTTAATTCTAGGCACATTCGCTGAGGAATTTACCTCCCATCCTCCTTTTTCCTTCAAAGCTATCGACGCTCTTTTTTCTTTATTTTAACTTCCTCAAAAGCCCGATTTTGTAAAGTACCTTTGTGTATACTTCGAAAACACATAAATGTGCTTTTATTTCCGTTGGTGATATGGATTAATTTGGCGATGCTTGCTAAAATTGACTGGATGTAATTGCTCCACCTGACCATGCAGAATATCCAGAACAACACGCTGCAAGGATTAGTGTTGTTTACATAGATTACTGCGTTTATACACAGCGTATATTTACACATCAAATCGCTTTCTTAATTTTAGCACATCTTCCAAGAAAGGGAAAAGAGAAGAGAAGAAAGAAGGAAACCCCAAAGAGAGGTACAGTGCACTAAGTGAATGTAACCTGCTCATATGATCAGCTCAGCTCATCTCATGTCATGTCAGCAGCGCATTTTTGTGGTTACATGTTAATCACTAAGCTCATATGGTTATTATATAGCTGATATTTGATTTGTATTTATATGCTGTATGCATAATTAAAAACTAAAGTGTGCTTTTGCATTTATTATGTATTTAATGTTAAATGAAAATGATTTTTCATTGACAATTTATAGTTATGTGTTTGGGTAACTCAGATTGTAGTCTGTAAAATAATGATATTTCTAACTATTAAAAACAAAAATGCTGTTTTTAGACCATAAATTATGTATTTTTGCTTAAAACAACAAAAAATATCAATTTCTGACATGGATATTAATGTTTAGACAACACTAGAACGATGTTGTAAATAAAGAGGAGTTAAATTAGTGCTTGGTGAAATAAACCCTTTTTTCAGTCACAACAAATAATAACATTTGATATGACATTGAAAACATTGAATTTTATATAAACATCACAATATATTTTTTGGGAAAAAGAAATCCAAAAAGTTAATGTTTATAGATTTATTATTATTATTATCATGATATAACTGATACATGGTTTGTTTACGCTTGTTTATTCTGTATGCAATATGCATAATGGGAAAAACTAAACTGCTTTTGCATTTATTAATTTTTTGTGTATTTATTACTAAAAGAAAATTCTTTTTGATTGACAATTTTTAGTTATGTATTTAGGAAACACACCATTGTAGTTTTTGTCTGTAAAATAAGGATAATTCTTCTCCATATATATATATATATATATATATATATATATATATATATATATATATATATATATATATATATATATATATTAATATTTCAAAACAATAAAAATGTTGTAAATAAAGGGGAGTTTAATTAGTTCTTGGTGAAATAAATCCTTTTTTTCAATTCACAAAAAAAAAAAAAAACATTTGATATGACATTGAAAACATTGAATATTACTTTATTTAACTGATATATGGTTTGTTTTTATATGCTGTATGCATAATTGCAAAATCTGAATTGCGCTTATGCGTCGGTTTATTAATTTATTGTGTATTTATTACTAAATGAAAATTCTTTTTGATTGACAATTTATTGTTATGTGTTTGGGTAACACAAAATTTTAGTTTTGTCTGTAAAATAATAATATTTGGGGGGTTGGGGTAATCAAAAAAGTTAATGTTTAATGATTTAATTTTATTATTTAAATCTTACCGTCTAATCAAAAATAAATGATTAAAAGGTTGAGAAAAATGTTTATTTCTGTTTTTTTCTTGTCGTTGTTGAACATTATTTGTTGCTATAAAATTATTGACGCTTTTTAAAGAAAATGTAAAAGTTACAGACTAAAAATTATAACTTTTAATTACATCACAAAATAACTAAAACCTGAACTAAATGTAAAAATAGACACACCTATCAACTTTTTTGTTTTTTAGTTTTTAGGCTTTTTGATTGTCAAAGACACTGTAATTATATCCATTTTAAACTATCATTTGTTAAACTGTCATTTTTTTATAATAATTTAATTTAGTTCTTCCTGTTAATAATTGTCAGTATTGATTGATTCATTGATTAATCTTTTATCTGTATTCCTGTTTCTTAAAGAAAATGTGAAATTGTGAAATGTAAGGTACAGAAACACAACAATGTCCCATGAAAACAGCTCCTGGAAAGCACCTTTAGACCACAGTTCACATGTCACAGCATTAGGATTAACAAAGTTGTAAGCTATTTATAGTCGGTTGTTTACAGATACCATTGTTTTACTGCTTTAGCAAGGCTTCATTCTCTTATTTTGTTATTATAAAGAAGGAGTAATGGATGGAAACTGTACATCAGACCTTAAATGTTGCTGGTTTGTGGTTTCGCAGACACGTGAGAGCTGGAGGTGTCTAGAATTTCACTGGACAAGAGGGGCTCTCACTTTTATCTTAATACTCCATCCTATCTGACCCAGTAGCCGAGTTCTTCATTGAACACAACTGACATTATGAAAGTAATAGATATTATAATTGGCTGCAGTTAAAATTATGGGCAGATATTAACCAACCAAATCCATAAACAGTACACAGACACAGATGTGTGTATGAATGTATATTATATTACTAAGAATTTAAATTTTTCAATATATTTAAATATAATAATGTACAGACAACTAACATAAAAACATGTATTATGTTTGTGTGTGCTAGTTGTTTTTAGGCATGGGCCGGTATAAGTTTCTAAAGGTATGATAGCCTTGGATAAAAATGTCATGGTTTCACTGTATCTTGATTAGTGCTAAATATCACAATATAATTCTTACAAATTTAGATATTTTTGGGGGAAAAGTAATCAAAAATGTTAATGTTTATCGATTTATTATTATTATCATGAAATAACTGATATATGGTTTTTTATATGCTGTATGCATAATGGTAAAAACTAAACTGCTTTTGCATTTATTAATTTATTGTGTATTTTTTTTACTAAATGAAAATTCTTTTTGATATACAATTTATAGTTCTGTGTTTAGTAAACACACCATTGTAGTTTTTGTCTGTAAAATAATGATAATTCTTCCCAATTTAAAATGAAAATCAACCATAGTTTTTTTTTTTTTTTTTCGCTTAAAATAGCAAAAAAAATCATTTTCAGCTGTATGTCTAAAATAGTTTTTTTTAAATGTCTGGGTAAAAAACTTTCTCAATTAAACATCAATTTTAGTTGTAATTTTAATTTTCACAATTTATTTACAGGGACATTTAAACAGGGCTCGAAATGAACTTTTTTACTTGGTAGCACCAGTGCTCCCAACTTCAAATATTTAAGAGCACCAAAAAAATTTAGGAGCACCCACCAAAAATGAATAAGCACCACTGCATATTTTATTTTAAGGAATTTATTGTATTTAAAAACAACATCAATTAGGACTTAAGAAATTTAGAAAACTTAGGAATTAGGAAAACACTTTCACTCTTCAGCCGTTTGCATTTCCCACGGTCACAAAAGCTCCTGTCATCTGTCAGCGGAAAGCCTTCAGTGATTAGACAGTTATTAGACAGCTAATATGAAATAATATAGTAGCAGGGAATAGCGATTCAGCACGCCTTTAAATTAAAACAGGTCGCACTGCAACCATTATATGCAGTTGCACAAATGCTCCCAAATATATTATGAGGTCACATACATAAAATTTCGGGCGCATATGCGACCAAAATGGTCGCGATTTCGAGCCCTGTTTATAACATTTTGGAACAGTAAACATGTGAAGGTAAACTTTTTTTAATAAATCATTGACTTCTGCTGTCTTCTTTAGTTTCAAAAACACAGATTTCTTAACAACACATTAAAAAAACATTAAAAAGAAAACAAAATTCATATTCCTTTGGACTGGAAAATAACAGAAGCGTTTTTTTGTGTGTTTTTTTTGCGGTTTTAAAGCCTTAACTTTTCCAAACCGCTGTAAACCTTGAAACTAGTAATCGTCCCATGCCTAGTTGTGTGTGTATATTAGTATTAGTATATTTTTATATATTGAAAAATCTAACTACTTAGTTTTACTTAAGATCAACTGGATTAATTAGATGTGGGTTTTGTTTTGACTGAAAATATTATAATTTTTATTTTTCATAAAATGAAAATCTGTCAAAATAACATTTAGTTTTCACTTGTTGTAACGGTTATTCCACCTTTTTATATGAAAACGTTGACTGATATTGGTCAGGATTTGAAAAAAATATTCATGAATATATTTTGCTGTACATAATTTTTGCTGCAAACATGCTGCTTATTTTAGGTCTTCATAAAAGTTTTAAGAAATTTATGATTGTCTTTTTAAAACCTCCAAACAGCCTTTTGACCTTGTTTTAAGTGTTTGTATCTGGAATTTTGATGGAATCTTTCTTGTGTTTCTTGGGTTATGGAAAATACTGGTTGCTTTGTTGCTTGAATAAAATGTAAGTAAACAGATTTAAAGTATAAAGCATAAAAGTTTTTCAGCAAGTTGGAAAATATTTCCCATTTTCATAGCTGGATGTACTAAAATGACTAAAATCACATCTTTAACTATTGTTAAAACCATACAGACAAAAACATTCTTTCATTCGTTTTCTTTTCGGCTTAGTCCCTTTAATAATCTGGGGTCGCCACAGTGAAATAACCGCCAACTTATCCAGCATTTTTTTTACGCAGCGAATGCCCTTCCAGCTGCAAACCATCTCTGGGTAAACACCCACACACATTCATTTACACTCATACACTACGGGCAATTCACCTGTACCGCATTTCTTTGGACTGTGGGGGAAACCGGAGCACCCGGAGAAAACCCACGTGAATGCAGGGAGAACATGCAAACTCCAGACAGAACCGCCAACTGACCCAGCTGAGGCTCAAACCAGTGACCTTCTTGCTGTGAGGCGACAGCACTACCTACTGTGCCACTGCGTCACCTCAGACAAAAACAACAACTTATAATTGCATCACAAAATGAGTAAAACCCGAACTAAAAGTAAAGATAGCCTAACATATTTCAGCTTACTTATTGATAAAAGCACTAAAACTACATGCATTTGAAATGTTTGTTTGCTATACTGTCATTTTTAAAAGCATAATTTTGTTCTTGTATTTCTGTAATAATTCTCCAGTATTGATTTTATTCATTGATTAATCTGTTATCTGTATTTCTGTGTCTTCCTCTCTCAGTCATGTCCTTCAGGAGGGGTGTTGTGAGGCAGAGTAAGTTCAGGCATGTGTTTGCTCAGGCCTGGAAGGCTGAGCACTGTCTTGATGATGTCAGAGTGTCCCGTGTGACGTGGGACGGCCCTCTGTGTGCTGCCAATCCCAAGTTCATCGCCGTTGTCATTGAGGCTGGAGGAGGTGGAGCCTTTCTTGTGTTGCCACTCGCCAAGGTTGGCATGCATTCACTTTGCCATATCCAAAAGCAATGTGCAATAAGAAATCACCTTTATTTTGCATAATCAGAATCAAACTTCTGGTTCAGCTCATATAGTTTTTTTTTTTGGCTGAATTGAAGTTTTGATGGTAACAGGCTTATACTGTATACAATGTGATTATATACAATACAATATTATACAGTTGAAGTCAGAATTATTTATTTAATTAATTATTTATTTTAAATTTAACAGAGCAAGGAAATTTTCACAGTAAGTCTGATAATATTTTTTCTTCTGGAGAAAGTTTTGTTTTATTTAGGCTAGAATAAAATCAGTTTTAATTTTGTAAAAAAACATTTTAAGGTAAAAATTATTAGCCCCTTTAAGCTTTATTTTTTTCGATACTCTACAGTACAAATCACCATTATACAATAACTCGCCTAATTACCCTAGCCTGCCTAGTCAACCTAATTAAGGTTAAGCCTTTAAATGTCACTTTAAAGAGCCCATATTATACATGAAAAAGGGTCATATTTCGGTTATATCTCCAACAACATACTGATGTGCACGCAAGGTCAAAAAACACTTTCATGGTCTTATAATATGCATTTATTTTTACCCAATTATCCCAGCGTATCCCATATGAATCGTTCAGCGATTCATTTGTTCCCAAACCCCTCCTTAGTGCCAAGCTGATCTGCGCTGATTGGACCGATAACAGCCTGTTGCAATTGGTCGACAGCGTTCAGCGCGAGACAAATGCCCAGCGTGGTTTGTCAAGCCCCCGGCGGACGGGCCCGTGCGATAACCCCGTGTCCGTCTTAACCCCCCGCACGGGAAGTATGAACGGCACTTAGCAGTGAAAATGAAAACGATAGCATGCACATCTTTTACTGAGCTTGATTTCCGTGACCGAGCTTTTCTCCCTTCTCAGCTGTAACTTAGATCATTTCTATTTGCAATTATTGCTGTGGCACCTCTTGCGTGAAGTGTTATATGTTCTCAGGGCTTACCTGTACTCTGCTTTGCCCAAAGATCCCATTCCCAGCCAGGGGGTTGTAGTGCTCACCAGCGTGTAGCAGGCTGCCTTTGTGCCTAATAAACTGGCCTTATTTTGCACGCACCCCTGGTGTATTGTCTGCCCATTCTCACAAGTCTCATACACCAGTCTTTTTTTTGATCCTTCCTTTAACAAACTAATGAATCCCCCACTGTAAGCATGTAGACTGCTGAATCAATTATTTCCCCTCACACTTCCAATAATATCCAGGTAAGCACAGCGTCTTCTTGACTCATGACTTCAGGATCTATTTGTCTTCGCGGCTGTGTTAGTGGGCGGGGTGCAGGTTTAAATTGTCCCAGGTTTGCGCCCATAACAACCGTGTTTCATAGTCACATTACGCAAAAACGGCTAAAGACTCGTTATGAAGACAATTCATTCTAACCACTATGAGCCGACTCTTTTTTTTTTTTTTTAGATGAATCAATAGTTTTAAAAACTGTCCACTTTCAGATTTAAGCCTTAGCTGGAAATTTCACTTCACTTAGATCTGTTACACACTACATGGAAGCTCATTTTCGAAAACCCACTATAGGGGCTCTTTAAGCTGTACAGAAGTGTCTTGAAAAATATCTAGTCAAATAATATATGCTGTCATCATGGCAAAGATAAAATAAATCAGTTATTAGAAATGAGTTATTAAAACTATTATGTTTAGAAATGGGTTGAAAAAAAAATCTGCTCTCCGTTAAACAGAAATTAGGGAAAAAACATTAACAGGGGGGCTAATAATTCTGACATCAACTGTATGTGTGTATATATATATAATAATTAATGACAATAAAATTTTTTTTTTTTGCAAACTTTACAACTGAGTGGTAAGGATATACTCAGAGAAAGAAAAGTACAAAAATACAAATCTTTAATGCTGTTTAATCTGCTTAGCATAATTGTTGAGTTAAATTTTTCAATTAAATGTTTAATCCAACTAAATGTTTAACCCAACTTAGTTTGTCAATGTTTGACCCAAAATTAGGTTAAAACTTAGGATCGCACTCTTGTAATTCTGGGACTTTCACTGACTTCCAGCATCTTAAAATAATTTTACTAGCTGTTGTAGTCTCGACCAGAATAAAGGTACATAATAGATTTTTAAAAATTTACTATTTGGCACCTAATAGTCAGACATAGTTTATGAGTTTTGGGTATTTCTGCACTGAACAAACAGTTTAAAACATCTTTAACCTGTGTACAAATCATCTGCATTACCATCTACAATGTACCTATTTTTATCTTATATTTCCAACACAATGCAAACCATTAACAATTAATTCAAATTAAATTGTAATGATGTTGACGGCCCCCTGGCCATTGGGAAGAAGGATGCGGAGAACAGAATTTTTTTTTATTATAAAATATTTTTAATAATAAAAAGCAAAGCAAACAGGCGGCAGCTTCTCCGTCTCGACCAAAAAGCTGCTTGTGAACACACAAAACAGACAGCAACCCTTTGAGATGGATAGCAGGTGGGGGTGGGGGGTAGGTTTTAACTCATAGCATATAAACAAGCTGTAAACAAAGATCAGAAGTAGCCCGATTCCATAGGAAATCTGCAGATTCGGCAACACTGAGACAGACTGAAACACAAACTTTTAAAAATGAAGGCGTGGCTATCCACTATCACTCTCTGATTCTCTTCTGGGCTAGTTCTCTTCTGGGCTAGTATCGTATCGTTCCCTGATTCATCAAAGCGTTTTTCATAGTGATTCATCATATGAGCTAGGGTTGGGTGATGTCGACCAATTCAGCATCGTACAATGTCTAATGTGAAACCTTGTGATGGACGATGAAATTATTGTCGTAGGCGGTGGTGAATTATTTATGAATAATTAATTAATTCATAATGGATTAATTATTTGTAGCCTACCGTTTCAACTAGCTGACCCGCATGCTCTTTGTTTTACCCATAACAAATCATAAATAAAAAAGGATAAGTTGCACAAAAATCATCACCTGTCAATCACTATTTCCGCAAGGCTCTGGCTTGCATAGGCAGAGTGATCTCTGTCGTTATAGTGGCGTTGACAAACCTGATGGTAAAAAAGGTGCACAACCAACAGTATCTGAGGTTTCTCTAAAATTACTAAGTACAAGCATGAAAGCGAAAGATTGAAGCAGTGCACTGACGCTGTGACACGTTACCTAATAGATTCAAAAGAATGAAGAGTTATTAGATAGAGAAAAGATTAATTAAATATCACCTTTAACAACTACAGTGAGACGCGATCCAGCGGTACCTCCTTGATAAACTGTCCGACTTGAACTGCTCTCTGGGGTTTTGTGCTCTAAGCACCTGACCCGCACGTGTGACACAGTGTGTGTTTGTGTGTTGGTACAGTGTGAATGGAGCGTTTTTCAGAAATGCTAGATGAAACCAAGTGTGCCGCAAGCCTGCGTTTGAGTAAACGTCTCGGCCGTTAGATCGCCCTCTGGGGGCTGGCTGCAGTACAAGTCATAAAGCCCGCCTCCTCCGTGTTAATGAAGGAGACTTGAGCCCAAATAAAAAAATTAATTACACTTGCAATAAAATGTCCCGAATGATGGTTCAGGTCGATTAAGGTACTGGTTATTGTGCTGAAATAGGTGCAGATCCTCATTTTTGTAAACAGTTTGTTTTTAGCAGTAATTTAATGCTGAGCGCGTCATCATGATTGACAGCTGTGATTGACAGTGTCTCAAAGCAGCGCGTCTGAGCTTCGGCAGAAGACAAGTGTTATTATTCGATTTCTGTGTTATTTTACCATGACAAAATGAGTTCAGCAGTAAACTATAGTTTCTGACATACATGATCCTGGTGGAACACTGTTTATTCGCTAAGTTCAGGGCTTTTTTCGGACTTTATTAGTTTGCTGATACATGCCTAGCCACTCAGATAGCAAAACACAGTTCCGGCTAGATTCTCGCCTGCCGGAGACTTATCCCTTAGAGCTCAGACTGACTAATGTTACCTCTGCTGGACCTACTCCGGATGCCTGGACTCACTACCCAATTCCAGCCCGATTCAATCGAGCCAGATGTGGCGGCCGAGCGAGCCGGCGCTGCCGCATGCAAGCCGGAATCAGCCCGCGACGCCGCAAGTAGGTTATGCGCTGCGGTCCGGAGGTGGCGCGATTGAATATATAAAACCCTCATATTTGTTAACGTTATTACATCCATTTGTGTTGATATGACAGCAAACGCATGCTGAGAAGTTCGGGGGGCATGGTTGATTTTACATAAAGCGTTTGGTTGGAAGCTCGACTCCGCTCATTTTCGCGGCTCCTCCTCTGGCTCCATCAGACAGTCCTTCTGCGCATGTCAAGGCTCAAATTTCAGCAGTCTTTTGCGACAGTTTGTGCCCGTCAAGCAGGCGTTTTGCCCTCAAGGCGTTCAATGGGAAAAAGGGCTGTCGCGTCGTCCATATTTTTTACAGTCATTGGATGAAACGCCAGTGTGGACGTGGATCGTTCTCATTCTAAAATGCGCGTGTAACTTAGTGTAAACGGGGCCCGAGTGGGTATTTTTCGTGAGCAGTTTGCCGCTGCGACAGGGGCGGGGTGGAGTTAATTAAAGTTAATTAATTACTAGTTAATTAAAGTTATTAGTAACTAAGTTATGGTTACTAATAACCTTAACTTTTCTTCATTTGATTGTAATGCTGTAATGTGTTTTGTAAAGCTGCTTAGGAAATAATAAATGAAAAGCGCGATACATATAAACTTGAATTCAATCGAATCGTGTTGTATAGAGATCTTCTTAAATGCAATAAAATCTGGACAATAAGCAATTTAATTAAAAAATTGTTTTTAAATGAAACGCATTAGTGTAAATGACACCTTATAAACAATAATGTTGTCAACATAAGGGACTTCCTTTGGTTTCTGTCCTAAACAAAAGCAAAGTATAATAATATTAGAATTGCATAAGTTTTTATTTGCAATCACAGTTTTTATCAGGACAAAAATTTATGAAAAGGGTTTTTAAGTATCGGAACTGCATAAGTGTAATATTTTTAAGTAATATGTAAAACATATATATTTTATTATGACAAGGATTATAACTATGTAAGTTAACGATAAAAATATGGCTCTTTAAATTATTTTAACAAAGCAACAGAGATATAAACACATTTATGACAGAGAGAAACGATATTGTTGGGATTACATTTAGAACAATAGTTTTTCAGCTGATAAATAATACCTGACAGCCAGCAGAAGCAGCAGAGCACATGACAGAGGACTCATTGCTGGATATAAAACTAATAAACATTTACCAGTTTCACCCTAGGAGATCTAATCAGAGTGTGGTTTGTTGTTGTTTAGAGCGGACGAGTGGACCAGAACACGCCGACAGTCTGCGGCCATGCTGCGCCAGTGCTGGATGTGCAGTGGTGTCCACATGATGATAATGTCATCGCCAGCGCTTCAGAGGACTGCACTGTCAAGGTCAGTTTCATTTCCTTTTGCAAAACATACTCATCGTTTATGAATGAGGAATGAGGTGTCTTCAGTAGATCAGCCTTCAGCAGTGACATTTGCATTACACTGATCTCAACTAAACTGAACTTCAACAGAGACATTCATACTAAACTGAACTGAAGCATTTGAACTATTTACTCTCTTCTCTTCTTCATCTACGTTCAGCTGCTTTGACACAATTTACATTGTAAAAAGGCCTCTAGAAATAAATTGAGTTGATACATGCTCCTGAAATGTAGATTATATCCATGAAATGTTTTAGCAGAATACATTTTTTAATATACGGTTGAAGTCAGGATTATAAGCCCCCCTGAATTATTAACCCCAATCATATTGTTTTCCAAATTTCTGTTAAACGTAGAGAATTTTTTTTTTTTTAAATTTGTATGCCTATAAGTTTTAATAACTAATTTCTAATAACTGTTTTATTTTATTTTTGCCATGATGAAAGTACATAATATTTTACTGCATATTTTTCTAGATATTCAGTTTAAAGTGCAATTCAAAGGCTTAACTGGGTTTATTAGGTTAACTAGGCAGGTTAGGGTAATTAGGCAAGTTATTGTATAAAGATGGTTTGTTCTGTAGACTATCGAAAAAACAACATATATTTATATATATATATATATATATATATATATATATATATATATATGTATATATATATATATATATATATATATATAATCATATTTTTAATAGGAAGCTACACAATATTATATTTGTGCATATACATTAGATTAGTCAGTACTGATGCCAAATCTGGAGCTTAACTAACGAAATAACTTAACGGTCCAAAAACTAGTACATTAAAATTTATATGTTATAGAAAAATATAAAACACACATTTAAAAAAAGAGGAATAATCAAGAGAAGCAAAACAATTGAAAAGTCTAGTTTAAATTTTGTGGGTCATTTATTTTTAATAACATTTTACAAATGTTCATTTTCAAAATGAAGTGTACTCAATTATGCTGAGCACTATATACACACACGCGCGCACACACACACACACACACACACACACACACACACACACACACACACACACACACACACACACACACACACGGTTGAAGACAAAATTATTAGTCCCCTGTGATATTTCTCTAGTTATGTTAAACATAGTAAGGGGATTTCTACGTTATTCCCTATAAAATGTTTGCTTCTGGAAAAAAATGTTTCTTAGTTTAGATGGAATTTTTGTACATTTTTAAATCAATTTTAAGGTCAATATTAGTCGCCATTATGTTTTTAGATTCTCTACAGAACAAACCACTGTTACCCAATAACTAGCTTACCTATCCTAACTTGTCTAGTAAACATAATAGAATGTTTGGTTAAGCATTTAAATTGCACTTTAAGCTGAATACTGTAAGCAAATATATGGTTTACTGCCGAAATGGCATGGACAAAAGAAATTAGTTATTAGAAGTGAAAACTATTATCTTTAAAAATGTGTTAAGAAAATATTCTCTTCATTAAACAGCACTTGGGAAATACTTTAAAAATAATTACATTTTCACAGGAGGGCTAATAATCTTGACTTTAACTGCATTTACATTTATAGAGTTCATTAGTAAACAAAAACGACAACCATCATTTTTAGAATTGTTTAGAAATGACATTTTTTGTACCCTTGTACCCTTGTACCCTTCAATGTTCAGTGTAAAATATGATTTCTGAAAATAACAACAAAAACAACTTTAACTTTAGTAGTAATTTCCATATATATATATATGTGTGTGTGTGTGTGTGTGTGTGTGTGTGTGTGTGTATGTATATGTATATGTATATGTATATATATATATATATATATATATATATATATATATATATATATATATATATATATATATATATTTGCAATTGTTCTCTTTACTGCATCTGCACTGTCATCTTAAAAAGAAATGTTTCTTAAGCAGCATCCACATATTCAAATGAAGTCTGATAGATGATGTAACACTAAACACTACGAAAAGATGCACTAAATGTTCTGCACAACAGATCTGGCAGATTCCTGATGGAGGTCTCATGTCTCCCATGTCCGAAGCTGTGGTGACTCTGGAGGGTCACAGTAAAAGAGTGGGCATCTTAGCCTGGCATCCGTCTGCACTGAATATCCTGTTGACTGCAGGTAAGCTCCTCTTCCTCTGTATTTATACTTTCCCGGCTCACAGGGCTTGGGTTAAGTCTGTTCTGGCACACTCTATTTTTGGCCTGTGTCTAATTCTGGTTCCTTAAATCATTGATCAAGCACTAATTTGGAGCGATGGAGTCGTTTGATGGTTTTATTCTCCTTCAAACGGGTAAAAAGAAAAGTAGAAAACAATGCTGTCAATTAGGGATGCCGGTTAATTGTTGAGAACAGCCAGTTGTCATTCTTTAATCTGTTGAACACAAAGGAAGATATACTGAAGAATGCTGGAAAAATCAACCCTTGACTTCTGTAGTATTCTTTGAGTTACACTTTATTTTAGGTAACAATTCACACCATTATTATTACCTGCCTATTATTAAGATATGAACTGTTTATTAGCACTTATAAAGTATAATCCTATTTTACGTCACTAATCCTACCTAATACCTAAACTACTACCTTACTATTAACAAGCAGTTGACTAGTAGTTAGTACTTAGTAGTTACTGAGCTAAATGTCTTTAATTAAGTAGTTAATGGTTTGTTAAAGCTGACTTTCCACTGCAAACGACACGACTGTCGGAATACACCCCCTTGTGGCAGTTGTGCCGAATATTCAGTTTTGTTGTTCACCATGGAAGAGCTTGCGGTGTCCGAAATAAAGGAATGCAAAAGCAAGAGCCTTTATACTCCTTGCGTTCACCACAGTTTAAAAACATTAACAGAGACATTTTTGGGTATTTTTAAAGCATAAACTACTATTAAACTACTACTAAAGTATACTATACTAGCTTACACAAAAAATGCTAAATCTAAATGCTAAGATTAAAAAACTTAATCTTTTTCATGGCAAGGTTGACATTTGCATGGAGTTGCACACACACACACACACACACACACACATACATACATACATACATACATATATATATATATATATATATATATATATATATATATATATATATATATATATATATATATATATATATATATATATATATAATTACTCATTTATGAATAGAAAAATGTTTTTTTATATCTAGACTTTTTTTTCTGATTCATAAAGTAACATAAAACTACTAATACTCATCTCGTGCACACGGACCTGCTTGGAAAACACTGCAATACATCACATCTGGTTGGCCAGTCACATACGGTCTAGTCGCAGAAGCTCCTGGACTACTCTTCGTTGGAAACAGCATAGGCTGAATCTGAAAACGTAGCCCTATATACATTTCTGGAGAACGCGAAATATGTCGGCAGAAGTACGTACGGCTGCATTTTATCTGTAGAACGAAACCTATGTGGCGGTATGACGCCGTTCCGTTTCGCGCTTATCAGCTGACTGAGTCAATGAGTCAATCGGAGCTTTTGAAAACACTATTGGTTGGGTTTAGTGAAGGAGGAGGGTGGGTCAGATGACCGCCCAGTTAGTTGGTCATTAGGCAGTCGTCAACGGCCTCTGGTGGATTTACTTGTGAACAGCAGGTGCGAATGGCACTCGCGAGAGAAATTTGAGATCTCAAAAAGTGCACACAGTGACCTCTAATGGATTAGCCACATATTAGGCGCTCTTCAAAAATCTATATAGTGGTACATTTTTAGAATGAGCCTGGGTTGGTTGGAAATGAATGACTTCCGGTCTGTTACATGTCATTTGTCGTGTGCAGTGGAAAGGCGGGTTTATTGCATGAATTGTACATTAAAAAATTTTTTGTTTTTTTTCCCTTTTATGGATGTGAATCGCTGCATTTTCCCAACTTTCTTCTGAATATCTCGTTTTGTGTTTAACAGAAGAAAGAAATTCATAAAGTGTAGACTTAAATAATGAGAAAATTTTGATATTTGGACAGACTGTCCCTTTAAGAATAAAACCCAATCAGATTCCTTTAGATTCTTAAATATAGCCTTTTTAAAATATAAAGCACTACACATTTTCAGTCAGTAAACCTCTAAAGGAGCTTCAAACGACTTCAGGATTGTGCTGAACCAGACAAAGAAATGCAGGATTTTATTTGCATTGGCATGTAAATGTCTGAGATGCAAATAAAACTGGTAAGATGTCTTTTTGCTGAACCGCCTGCCATCTTTGTTCTGGTTTGTCCCATGTTGTAGGATGTGATAATGTGCTTTGTGTGTGGGACGTGGGCACTGGAGAGCTGGTTTACCAGCTAAGTGATGCCCATCCAGACCTGATCTACAGTGTGAGCTGGAACCGCGAGGGAAGCATCCTGTGCACCACCTGTAAAGACAAAGCCTTGCGAGTCATTGATCCCCGGCGTGGGACTGTCCTAAAGGTCAGACACTTTCAGTCTTTCACAAGCAGGACATACTAATAGATACCGGTCAAAATCTTGGGTTCAGTAAGATGTTTATAAAAGAAGTCTCTTAACAAGGCTGCATTTATTTGGTCAGAAATGCAGTAAAAACAGCACTATAGAGTTGAAGTCATAATTATTAGCCCTACTGAATTATTAGGCCTCTTGTATACTTTCTTCACCAATTTTTGTTTAAGGGAAAGAAGATTTTTTTAAACACATTTCTAAACATAATAGTTTTAATTACTCATTTCTAGTAACTGATTTTTTCTTTGCCTTGATAACAGTAAATCATATTTACTAGATATTTTTCAAGACCCTTCTATACAGCTTAAAGTGACATTTAAAGGCTTAACTAGGTTAATCAGATTAAATAGGCAGGTTAGGGTAATTATGCAAGTTTTTGTATAATGGTGATTTTTTTCTGTTTATAATCTAAAAAATATATAGCTTAAAGGGGCTAATAGTTTTAAACTCAAAATGGTTTTAAAATAAATTAAAAACTGCTTTTATTCCATCTGAAATAATACAAATAGACTTTCTCCAGAAGAAAAAAAAACATAAAATTAAATACTGTAAAAATTTCCTTTCTCTGTTAAACATAATTTGGGAAATATTTGAAAAAGAAAAAAAAATCGGTATGGCGAATAATTTTGACTTCGGCTATGTATATATATATATATATATATATATATATATATATATATATATATATATATATATATATATGTATATGTAACATTTTTATTTTATGTTTTAAATTGTAATATTTTAAATTTCTGCATTATTACTCTAAATGTTACTTCTGTCAACATTTATCTGCATAAAAAAATCACGCAAATGAACACATTTAAAACTGGAAATAAAAAACATACATTTATTTTATTTCTGCTACTTGCAAAGGAACTATTTTTCATTTTATATATTGAATAATAAAATATAATGACAAATAGAAAAAAAAACACACATAAAAGGTTTCACCAAGGCTATATCGACTGAAAATACAGTAAAATTGTAATATTGCGAAATACCATTACAATTTTAAATAGCATTGAATGTTCAGTATGATCACTGTATTTATTGACAAATATAAAACAAACATACAAAAAAGGTTTCTCCAACCAATTTTATTGGACTAGAAAAACTGTAAAACAATTGTAAAATATCATTCAATTTAAAATAACATTTTTCTATTTTAATATGCTCTAAAATGAAATGTATTTATTTATCTGAATTTTTAGCAAGTTTACTCCAGTTAGTCCAGATACACTAAAACATATTCATTAATAAAAATATACAAACAATAAAAACAAACAAGAGTTTCTCCAACTTCTGATTTATTTGACTAGAAATTTCGGCAATATTGTGAAATGTCATTCATAAATTTTATATAACTTTTTTCTATTTTAATAGGCTTTAAAATGTCATTTATTCCTGTGAAGCATAAATCACGTGATCTATCAATAATCATTTGCTGCTCAAGTATCTTCAAGTTCAGCATTTTTGCATAAAGTTTTGCTGGAAACCAATATTACATATTATCTTTTCATCGATGACCAGCATCAGAAATCATTTGTAGTATCACACACATCCTAACAGTCACTTTTAATCAATAGAATCCATCTTTTCTGAATAAAATCTTACTGACCCCAAACTTAGAACGGCAGTGTAGACAGAGGAAATGTCATTTTGGTAGATAGACTGTTCCTAATAAACCGAGATGATACAGGTGTACAATGTAAACACAGACATTAAGTGCACCTGAGAACTAATGGGATTATTCTAAGAATGTTTATTGAGCAGCTGCTGGAAAGAACCTGTTCTTTAATCTGTATGTTTCTGTGTTAGTCGTCTACATGAGGTCAGCAGCTGCTCTCCATGAGGAGCTTTTAGCACGTGGGACTGTCCTGTGAATGTCAGATCCATCAAACTAGAGCATTTACTGGATCTTATTAGTTCATTGTTTTAATGATGTATTTTCATAGGATGCCATTAGCAAACTTCACCACATTATCACCGTTTTGTTATGTATAATGATATACTAGTTTAGGATTATCATTATTCAGAGTAGGAACCAGTAACTAAGCTCCAAGAACACATTTGTGAGGCAAACCAAACTGGAACAATGACTTTGTTCACCTATGCCTTGTGTTTAAATTTAGGGTGCGCGTTTACAAAGGGCAATGTGATCTATTTGTCATTAGATTATATGCACAATTCAGGATTATCTATAGTTATAAATAGGTTTTTTGTTTTGTGTACATAATTTCTATTTAATTCTGTAAACCTCTAACCACATTTCTTTAAAAAAGGTCAATAAAAATGTAGTTTCTTGCATTAAAATAACAAAAAGGTGACATGTTTTAAGACATTTTAAAATCATAGACTACACAATACAAATATTTAAACTCAAGAACAGTTAATAAATCAATATTTTTCCAGCTGTTTTTATTCGTAGTAATTGTATGTATTTATATTTATGAAATAACAGTTTAAAGGAAGAGTTAACTGAAAATGCACATTTACTCAAAATGCACTCAAGTCGTTGGAAAACATTTAGGCTCATGCTAAGCACACACACACACACAGCTCGTAAGCTTGCGGAGTTAACCAAACGTGTTGTAAGTGGAAACACAACCAATCTGGCTAAGTGAAAGTATCTTTCAAAAGACAAAACTGCACTAAAAAGTAATGAAAAGTTTTTGACTGCCTAGCTACTAACAGCAACATTACATCATCTACATCGTTATGCCAGCAGTCAATCACCTAAATTAATATATGTACATGTATATATAGTATAATTAAATGTAGTCTACGAATAACCTAAAAATAAACTATGCTTATTAAGAAATTAAGCTTATTTTGACATTGCTAGATGCTCCAAAACTGTATTAAAAACACAGTTAACTCCCAAATAGGGTTGTAACGGTATGAATTTTTCACGGTATGATAATCGTCTAAAACAATACCACGGTTTGACGGTTTCGCGGTATACGGTATGTTACAAATGTTACAAAATAATAGAACAGTGAAGCAAATTTGACTTTTTCCAAATAATATATTTTTAGTTACTATAAACAACACCACTTACAATGAACAAATAAAAATAAGAAAATAATAAATAATGTGTCAAAGTCCAAATAAAGTCCAAATAAACATGGTGCAAATCCTCAGTAAAAAATAGATATAAATATTTACTATACTATAAATAGTTACATAACGAAACTAGATTCAATATGGAACATCCTTAGGTTTTATGTGCCAGCATGGATATGGTTGTCTATGAATATGGATTTCGATATGGATTTCGATATGGTTGTCTGCAATGCAGACTGACAAACCGCTGCATCTTCATTTGCGTCTTTTAAAAACAGCAAGAGCAGCAGTTCGTCTTAGCTGTGTCACTGTTTTGTCATGTTTCTGTGCTGCTGTGCATGCAAAAGTACTTAGTATGAGAATTATTTCATGCCAAACTTTTTTTTTTTGCGTTTTATTTAGCCGCGCATAAATGTATGCCTATCTCTCATTCCGTGTTGTTCAAAAAGCTTGGTCCACAAACAAAAGCGAAACCTATGCTTATTGGTTGTGATATAGCGAGTTTGAACCAATCTGGGCATGGAGGAGGGATAATGCATCAATGTATCATGTCTGATTTGTCCGGAGACACAGTGACGAGCGTTTCTTTGTCAAATCAGCGTTGTCAAATGTTGATGACGTAACCGCACTGATTCCGGAGCCTCTGAAAGTCCGCGAATGTTATGTGATGCAGCACTGGAAAGCTGAGATTCTCTTCTTTATGCCAATCTTTGAATTGTATGAATCGGATCAGCGGATTTTTAGCCGCGGGCGGCTGTCTCGGTCTTTAAGGGTTAAAACCGTTGATATGCAATTGTTCATGGTATGATAATCGTGCACGTTCAAATCGTGGTAAACCGTCATACCGATATATTGTTACAACCCTACTCCCAAAACACCAAACTCATTTATGTGAATGCGTTACTGAAAAATCATTAACATTATCTCATTCGACTGCATTTTGCAACACAAAGAGGGTATTTTTATTTGCAGGGAGCACAAGAAACCTAGAAAGATCCCGACTTCTGACAGAGAAGTCAAACATGTTGATTTCCCTCCAGAAGAATGGTTGAAAACTGAGTCATTTTCCTTCAAACCATTGTATATTCTTTTACCGGAAAAAAAAAAATAGTTTTACAATTATTGTTTTAGTTTTATTCTACATTAAAAACGTAATAATAAAACAAAGTGTTGTTAATTCTGTTCAATTTGTTTTTCATAAAATAAAACACAACAAAAAGTACCATCTGGGAGTCCTCATCCTTGTTGGAGGAACTGTGGGGTTGAAGAGGCACATCATGCGCAAATATTCTGGCAGTGCTTAAAGAACTTTTTGGGAAATCGGCTCCACTATCAATAATATTTTTGATCTACATATTCCTAGATCATTTGATGTAATTTATCTAGAAGATAATTCTATTAAACTTGAAAAGGAGGATAGATATCTATTTAAGATATTAAGATCTTTAAAAAGAAATGGAGTAAATGGCTGGCTTTTCCCACAACGACAATATAAATATTCATAATTTAACATTTACATAATTCTATATTTATGCAGGTTATGCATCATTGAGATAATATGTTCGGCAACCTTTTATTTTATATTCATTCTATTTATTTATATATTTATTTATTTATTTTTCTTGTCTAGGTTCTTTTAATATTTTTATGGATGTATGCATATATATATATATATATATATATATATATATATAGTAATTATTATCATTAATAGTATGTTGTTTAAAAACATATAAAATATAATATTAAAAACATTAAGATGATATTTTGAAGAAAAATGGCATATGTTGTGTTCACTTGAGGTAAGTAAACAACTTTGGGTGAGCTATCCCTTTTATTCTAATATTTTTCCTCAAAACACTAGGAGTGTTGAGTTAGCGGAGACTTTGTCCTGTGCTGTTTTTGTTTTCTGAATTAGGTCATGTGTAAATGATTTTCAGATTAGCATTTTTACACAGATTAGTGATTTTGGTTGTGATTGGATCAATGTCACGCTCAGGTTCGAGAGAAGGCTCATGAGGGCACCAGGCCGATGAGAGCTGTATTTCTGGCTGATGGCAAAATCCTGACAACCGGCTTCAGTCGCATGAGTGAGAGACAGCTTGCCCTCTGGGACACGGTAAGAGCCTTTTGTGGAGGAAAATCGTTGCTCTACTTTTGTTTGGTCAGCAAGAATGCTTTATCCTTTAAAGCCTGAGGTGAAGCATTAATCTGTTAGAAACTTGATAGATTTTTTTTGCTGAATGTGTGTGGGTAATTATTAGCCACAGAATAAAAAACAGTACCATTCAAGGTTCAGTTTAACAAAAGAAATGAATACTTTTACTCAGTAAGTACATTACATTCTGTATTGAACAATAATGCAAATTATTTCGATTTCAGAAGTGCCTCTTCTGTTTATTTAAGAGTAAATATTAAGCTGCATAACTATTTTTTAATAATAATGATTAATGTGGCAATGTGGTAGGTGGCATGGTGGCTCAGCGGTTAGCACTTAACCTCACAGCAAGAAGTTCACTGGTTTGAGTCCCGGCTGGGCCAGTTAACATATCTGTGTGTAGTTTGCATGTTCTTCCTGGGTTTCCTCCAGGTGCCCCGGTTTTCCCCACAGTCCAAAGAAATGCGCTATCGATGAATTGGATGAACTAAATTGGCCTTAGTGTATGAGTGTGTATGTGAATAGCAGAGTGTATGGGTGTTTCCCAGTACTGGGTTGTGGCTGGAAGGTCATCCGTTGCCTAAAACATATGCCGAATAGTTGGCGGTTCATTCTGCTGTGGCGACCCATGATAAATAAGGGACTAAGCCGAATGAAAATTAATGAATGAATTATTAATAATGTTAAGTTCTGTTTCATGAACATCTACTCAGAATATTACTGAATACTATTTATTATTTAATATACTAATAAATATGTACTATTCAATATATTAGTATTATTAATCAGGGCTCAACAATAAGGACTGCCCGGTGGCCCAGGGCCAGCGTGACAGACACTTAGGACAGCAGACCGGATCATTACTGGCCCGATTGGGACAGTGCTGCCTTGTCACTAACATTTAATTTGTCTGTGACTATTTATCAATTGCGTGCATTTTAAGTTTGTGCTTTTAAGTCTTTAAACACTACCTTCTCTGTGATGTCGTAAACATCATATTGCTTTCCGGTTCCTCTTATCTGATTGAGAATTCTATTTTATTTTCGTAACCTGGTAACAACCAGTACAGCGAAGAAATGGCAACATGGCGGCAACATCAAATTCTAAGGCTTAAAGAACATATATGTTTCTATCGCTTGGATGCAGAAAAAAAAACGTTGCACAGTTTGCCGTCAGTTTGACAAGTCAGCCAGCCTTTGTTAAATAATTTCAAACCGCAATAAAATACCTCCACATTTTTCATATTGCTCTTTTTGTTTGCATAACACTTTTATTTACATTTTTTCAAGTATAAAAATTCTAGATTCACAGACTTTATTTTTGACACATTATTTAAAATATGTGGCTAAAAAATAGCTATTAACTTCCCTTTCTTTTTTTGGTGGGGCCAGAGAAATTTTGGCAGGGCAAGTAAAAATCTGAACCACTGGCCCGATCAAACCAGTAGAAAAAAATCCTTAGTGTTGAACCCTGTTAATGAATACATTTTAGTGGATCTGGATTAACTGAAGTAACATTGCAGAAAATTAATTTTTTTCCATCAAAGCCATTATTTTGAATTGTGGTTTTATATTTGATTAAACAGTTGCAGCACTAAGACGCTTCTTTAAAATCAATTTTAATAAATCTTTCCAATTGAAAAGTTGATATCGAATGGTATTAATTTTATAAACAAAACCATTTAGACAGACAGAGCAATTTGTTTGAAATCTGTTTTACTTGTATGTTGTTCAATATAAATATGCATTTGAACTCCTGAACTACCTTATCAACAGTTTTAAAGTGTTGCAAAGCCACAAGACTTTCATTTTCGAAACTCAGTCGAATTGTCATGATCACTAGCAATCTAGCAGCTGCAGATGATTAATAAACATGCAGTACGCTAAAAAACCACAAATCCGTCGGGTATGGACTACAAGCTCCATCATGCACCTCACACACAGCTGTTCCTGTTTCAGTTTGATTACACATGCACCCACACACACAGCTGGAAGATTGTTACGGACTGATTACAAGGACTATTTAAACAACACACACACACACATCTAGGCTGAGTCTTGTTGTACTGTCATTGTAAACATTACGACGTGTTTCCCTTGCCTAGCCTTTCCGTGTTAGACTTTTGCTTTGTTGTTTTATTTATGTTGTCTGCCACCTGCCTGTACTGACCAATCGCATGTGTATTTGACTATGACTCTGGATTTGCCTGCATACATATGTTTGCTTCTGATTGTGACCGTTGCTTGCCTGACCATTCTCAATAAACCTGCATTTGGATCCGCACCTGCCTTGTTAGCGTCCACTTCACTTTAAAGAAATACATTTTAAAGACATTTCAGAAGTTTTTGTACTTTGATAAAACCCAAGACATTGACAATTCAAAACGTTCATAAAGGGATAAAAAAAATAAGTCTCACATGCAGAGATGAATCTCAAACAACAAAAGTAAGGATCCAATTGCAATTTAATAAGAGTATTTGTGTAAACAGGCAATGGTCAAAACAGGGGCAAACAGATACATACAGGGCATCCAAAAACAGGCATAAAGTCAAAAACTAGACAATGGTCAGAATATAATAAAATTGCTAAACAAAAGATCAGGAACACAGCAGGCAAAAACAGATAGCACATGTTGACTACAAACAAAGCCTCAGTTCGGAACTGGCGTACATGTGGTGTATAAGTAGTCTAGATTATCAGTAATGACGGGATTCAGCTGGGTATGAATCATCAATGATGAAAGGCAACTGGTGTGTGTGAAACGGCATGATGGGAATTGTAGTTCATAAATGTGACGTGTAGTTCACCAGCGATCTGCCAGGAGCGGATTGCTGGTGGTCATGACAGTAAGTCCATAGGAACTACACATGTAAAAATCATGCTGCTGTACCATGGCTGCAGCAGGCGCAATGATTATATGTTGCACTTGAAAATAGTCCCCATCTTGGCATCTAGGTAACAGCTCTGCATTATATCATTGCACCTGCTGCAGCCATGATTATTACGGGTGTAGTTCTTATGGACCTTAGTTCACAATATAGTTCCTAGATCTATATCGATCAAGAGCAGGGGTGGGCAAACTCGGTCCTGGAGGGCCGGTGTCCTGCACAGTTTAGCTCCAACCTTAATCAAACACACCTGCTTATAGATTTCTTGTGATCTTAAAGACACTGATTAGCATGTTCAGGTGTGTTTGACTAGTGTTGGAACAAAACTCTGCAGAAACACCGGCCCTCGAGGATCAAGTTTGCCCATCTCTGATCTAGAGAATAGCAACTTTTCATTTTCATGATGTACATGGTATAACTACAGAAGAGTCATGCTTTAAATAGGAAAATTATCGAAACTTCTTTTTAACATTTTTTGATTGAGTTGCTAATGGTCTAATCCAATTCAATGATTTATGCTAAGCTAACAGTGTTCCATACATATCGGCAGAATGGATTAAAAAATTATCAAACTTGACTGTTTAACTCTAGGGTAGTTGTAAAAGGAGCATATTTCAAATAAAAGTAGGGTTTAAAATGTCAAGACTTTCAGAAAAACCTCTGTCAAGTTTACCTTCATATGTGTCTTGATAAGCTTTCATTGTCTAGTTCGTGTTTTTGTGGAAGTGCAAACTTTCGATCAAAGTCACACAATCTAATAGCTTCAGGACACATGTATCAACAGTCAGAGATTCAAAAATGATCTTAGTTGACACCTGAATAGAGAATCTCTCACTCACTTGAGCTTTCCAACCTTTCTATCTTGGTTCTGTCAGATGTTTTGATAACCCAATCTGTATCTGTTCCTTTATGTTTGTGTATTTCAGAGAGATCTCTCAGAGCCCATGGCCACTCAGGAAATGGACACCAGTAATGGAGTTCTGCTTCCATTCTATGACCCAGACACCAACATGGTTTACTTGTGTGGCAAGGTAGGATTACCTGCTTTACCTGACCACTGCTGCATGACAGGTTCCTCTAACAGCGCTAACAGAGATATAAACTTACACACAAGCGCATGCTGTTTACAGAAAACATGCCCAGCGCAATCACTGCCTGTGGTAGATTACTTACTGTACATAGAGTAAACAAAACCCTGCAGGCATAGGACATCAACATGACGTTATATTGAAGTTGATTTTGGATATTGTTTGGAAATGAAAATCCGGTTGACGTCAACCCAATCTCAAGCCGATGTCAATGTCCAATACCTAACCTAAAATCAACCAAATATCAACGTCTGATCATGGTACACCTTGACGTTGTGTGGACATTACCAATATGACATCCATCAGACGTTGGATTTTGGTCACAACCTAAAATCAACCAAATGTGATGTTTGTATTGGACTTCAAAACATTGTTGTTCTTAGACTAGGCTGGCTAGACATTGAATTTTGGTCACCTGACGTCATGACCTAAATCAAACCTAATATTAATGTCTTATGATGTTGTGTGCCTGCTGGAAAGGGGCTTTTGCACCGCAGGAACTTTTCCACAGTTCCTAGAACTCTGGGCACTTTTGGTCATGCTCACACTGCAGGATCTGGGAATGGTTTTAGTTCTAAGAACGTTATGTTAGGGCAACTTAATTATCTCTTGTTAGTTGCCTTCCCACTTGGTAGTTATAAGAAATAGTCATTAAGCTTGGATGTCTGAGAACTAAGGCCCAATCCCAAGAGGAGGGGCTTTAAAATTTACCCCTAAGAATTGGGACAGCACTATAGCACATGCACACATCATCATATGTGATGGCAATCTCTTGCTTTATTTGAGATCAGACGATCGCGACTGCTGCAGTTATTCCAGTTGCATTATTTTTTGGTATATATCTTCAGGAGATCACTGAAAGCATATATTATGTCATCATAACGATCTAATGTGGCAGTAAGATTGTAACTGTACTGTGCATTTACACAGTGGCCATATGCATCTATGTAAACACACCAAAAACAACAATAACGTTATAGCAGGCACTGTTAAAAGCTCCTTCTCAGTCAGTAGACTTTTCTGACAGGGTATCAGTGTCAGAATGTTGTGGGACTGCTGTACAGGAGTTATGATTAGGGATTATAGATCGCGAAATTGAGCTGTTTTTATTTTAGCGTTTTTTTTAAAAGCGTGATGGTAAAACACAAACGCAGTTATGAATATATTAAAACGTGTTTGTTTGTTGTAAAAATTCTAACTTGTGGATCTCCTGACTTCCGGGTGAAGCTGTGGCTTTTCTTACCCCTTGGTTTCAAGTGTGGTCCTGAATCTTCGTTTGAAGGGGTGTATACCCCTTGCCCTTAGCCCTGTGTCTTCAAGCTAAAGAGAACTGGCACACCATTACCCCTTCACAGGCACGCCCAAAACAAGGTGTAAGGGTAAGGGGAAAGGATAAGGGGTAGAATTGGAATTGGGCCTAATTTTCACTCAAACCATTTTCCCAGTTGCATTTAAACCACCAGCAGAAACTCTGAAGAGATGTAAGGCAGTTGACAGTGAAATTAATCTGTCATCATAGTTCCATTTTATATATTTTATATTAACAGAGAACAGGTGATGTGGTTAAAACCAAAATGGAGAAACTAAAGCATCAAAAACCATAAATATATTTGAAAAGATTCTCAGTATTTAAGATTCTAATACACTTCATTGAACATGTACACATAAACAGCAGCTCTTATCATGTGTTTAATGTGTCACTGGTGTCAACTTGTGTTCAGATTTTGATGTGAAACTCCTTATTTTGTCACAATCTGCTTTGATTTCATTGAAGCGCTCAGTACGATTCACAAGGACTTTGCATAATATGTGAGAAAATAATGAAAATAATGTGATTGGTAGAATTCAAACTTGATAATATCTTGTGTGGTTTGGTTGAACGCAGTAAAGTGATGACTTCTTTCGCACATCTAATTACCATCACATTAGGGCAGTAACTGAAGTATAAGTGGTTTTAAATGTATTCAACCATATGAGCATTTACACTGTAAGAACAGTCCAATTAAAAGCTTTTTTACCTTCACCTAAATAGTAGAAGGTCCCATAATGTTTACACCTGTATTTAAAGAGTTAGTTCACCCAAAAATGGAAATTCTGCTATTATTACTCACCCTCAGGTTGTTCTTTAGAACACAAATTAAGATATTTTAGATGAATTCAAAGAGCTCTCTTATCCTCTATAGACAGCAATGATACCGAGATGTTCAAAGTTGAGAAAAGGAACCAAAAGCATTGCTACCTCAGGGGTTCAACTATAATCGCACAAAGCTCTGAAAACAAATTTGTGTGGCAGAAAAACTGTAATAGGTACTCTATCTACCATGTTAGATTAGGGTGTGTGTTTACCAGGGCAGTAATAAGCTTGTATGCGCCAGAACCTAATGACAAATACAATATATTGCCCGTAGTTAATCCGCACCCTAAACTTAAACACAAGACATAGGTGAACAAAGTCATTGTTCCAAATTCTTTTGCCACACAAAATCTTGGAGTTTAGTTATTGGTTCCTAATCGGAACTTTAAATGTCTTGGGACCATTGCTGTATATGAGCTCTCAGATTTCATCTAAACATTTTTTATTTGTGTTCTGACCAGTGTAGAACAAGTTACTTTAAACAATATATAAATTACTGATTACTAATGGAAAATAGTAATCTGATTACATTACTAATTACTCCATGTAAAAAGTTATCAGATTACTAATTACTTTACTTTGAAATTACTTTTAAAAGATAAAATATATCTATAAAATGCTAAATAAACTGCAGCTTTCAGTGATTTAATATTCAATAAAAACATTACAATGGGTTGATCACAGCAGCTTGACATACTCTAAAGACTTCAAGAGTTTGCCCAAAACTTAAAATTCTTTCATTATTTACTTGTTCTCATCCGGTTTGTCTTTTTTTAACACAAAAGAAGACATTTAGAAAAAAACTGGACACCTGCAACAATTGACATCCACAGTATAAAAAGCTCTGAAGTGTTTGGGTGCTCTGTGTTTGTCTGAGGCAAATAGACTACAGAAATGTATATATTCCAAATTTTGAAGCTAATTGGTCAGTTCTTGTCACGTGACTTACAGTTTTTAACTGGGTGCACCTGGGAAATGCGAGCAGTATGTGCTTCCGATATGCGCACGTGCAATAGACACGATATGTGAACGGCCCCATAACCAGCTACGCTTCTCTTCACATTCAGAGGATACCTTCACTCCTGATCCTGCACAAAAAAATCTATTTAGCCTATTAAGGCTGAGTTGGGATGCCCTGTTTTTAGGAGCCGTTGTCCTCCTTGGTGACGAGTATTGTCGTAGAATGCTTTCTATTCAAGTGCTTGAACAAGTTGCTGGTCAAGTTAAAAGCAGTTGAAAGTTCTTGAGACTGGATATAGACTGAATTTCACAATGATTTGTTTTGTTTTTACGCTCAATGAAATCAAAGTGATGTCTGTATTTCCAAGTGACCACTCTCGTTAGCAACCATTTCAGCTAGCGTTCTCCAGCAATTTAAAAGTGCATGTTTATTAACTGACATTGCAGTGGAAAATGTGATTTAAAAGAAGCATTTTTTTCTTGCAAGTAACGCAATTACATTGACTTTAACAACTGTAATCAAATTACACAAATTTAAAAATGTAATATGTTACATTTCTGTGTTCTCAAAAAATTTAATTAGAATTCAGTAATGTGTTACTGTGGAACGCGTTATACCCAACTCTGGTTTTGAGGTTGAATGAAGGTGTCATTTTTGGGTGAACTAATTCTTTAATGTCATCTTGTTTTTGACAAAACCCCATATTGATACTATTATAAATGTGCGATGAACATTGATAATTGTTTAAATCTAGTGTTGTCTTTCTCACAGGGGGATTGTACCATTCGTTACTTTGAGGTGACGGATGAGTCACCGTATGTTCATTTTCTGAGTCTGTACAGCAGTAAGGAGCCACAGAGAGGTGCTGGTTTTCTAAGCAAGCGAGGAGTGGATGTCAACAAGTGTGAAATAGCAAGGTGTGAACCAGACTGCTGTGGGATTTCAGTACAATGTACATACTGTTGCCATTGTTTGATTCTTTGAATCTAATCCCGTTTGGGTGTGGATTTAATTGCATTTCATTTCCTTTACTAAATTGTATGATAATATTTGAGTGTCAATTTCTTGGCGAAGCTGTTTGACAGGTTATTTGACCAGGTTGTTTGACTAAGAATTAAAATACTAAGCAAATGGAAACCATCTTACAACAGTTGTTTGAATAATAATATTTAATAATAATAATAATAATTCATATAGTAATAAACCCTACCAAAATGTATGGTTAATATTTTTTTCTTAGTGTTTCCTAAAATTGTGTTCCTTTCACAATTTGTCCATCAGAAATACAGAAAAGAATTATTTCAGCATAGTATTGTTGTTACAAATTAAAATACCATCTATTTTTGAGAATATATATTAGGTTTTTCAGCATCATTGCTTGATTGTTCAGTTTTGCATGTGCATTCATTCATAACATGCTGATTTGGTGCTCAAAACGGATGAAAGAAATTAATTAAATCAAATTAACACATCCTTTCTAATTAAATCTGTTCATTATTTTTTTAAAATGTTCCTTCAACCATAAAAGAAGTTTATACCCAGATGCAATATAATGTTTTGAAACTGCGATAATCACTAAAACGCTGGGATTTTGATTTCCTGTGTGAAAAGCCCTGATTTGTTTCCATTTGTGTCTATTCTTAAACAACATCTCTCAAGCGTTTGAATTCATCTCCGTTATTCTTCATCTTGTTTCATCAGGTTCTATAAGCTGCATGAGAGGAAGGTTGAGCCCATATCTATGACTGTGCCAAGGAAGGTGAGTTCAGTCTGCAGGCCTGACCGATCATTTGTTCAGTTCTGAATCTGTTCACAGTCAGAAAGGAGGTGGTAACGTCTGACTACTAATTGCTTAAGCCTGATTTATACTTCTGCGTCAAGTGACCGGCGTAACCCACGGCGCATGCAACGCGCGTGGCTGTGCATTTATACTTCTGTGTGCTGTCTCTGTTGGTCTGCATTAACACTTCCGAAACGCTAGTTGGCAGTGAGGTGTAAATGTCTCTTTGTGTCGAGTTTCTTCGCTGCTTTTTTGCTTTTCCTGAACACTTCCGGGATGTACAAGTGGCTCAAACTCGCTCATTTTGAGGCAGCAACCGGCGAACGTGCAGCAACTTTAACTATGAGGTAAACACAAAACAAAACTTTCCATCCGGAGCTCCTTCAATGTACTCCACACTTGTAAACAATCGCTACATTGGGTTCACGCCTTTCGCGCGGCTCTCGGTCCCGCCCCGACTCGTCAGCGCTACCAAGCCGACCAATCACAGAGCTTGCGCTACGCGTTGTTGCGACGTGTAGTTACATTTTTTGAGAGGTGCACGTCAGTGACGGCGATGGCCACGGCGAAGGGCTATGTGTCAGCGCCGTAGCATACGCCGGTGTTTGACGCAGAAGTATAAATCTCCGTATGTGGAAAATTCGGATCTGATTTGAGCTGCGAATACGATGAAATATTTGAACTCCTGCGACTAGACCGTATGCAACCAGCCGACCGAATGTGATGTATTTCAGTGTTGTCCAAGCAGGTCCGTGTGCACAAGATGAGAAATAGTAGTTTTTTTTTCTTTATTTTTTTTATCTGAAAAAAGCCTATATTAACAAACATTTCTATTCATAAATGAGTTATAAAATATGATTTTTAATGTTGTCTCCACATTTCCTCCAAAATATTTAGCTGTCTTTGAGTTTCTAGTATTCATTCATTCAATCATGGTGAACACACGGAGAATAAAGGCCCTTGCTTTTACACTCTTTTATTTTGGACACTGTGTGCTTCTCCCTGTGTGCATATTCCGACAGTCATGTCCGAATGTTGTGTGCAGTGGAAAGGCGGCTTAAGAGCTGCTCTGACTGACAGTAGTTACACAGTGCAAAATTGCGCGCTTGTAGGGGCGTGACGTGGAGCTAATCCACAAACCACTGAACATTACGTTAGCTGACCAAATAGTGCCTCCTGAGGGCGGGTCTTTCAGATGAATAGGAAAGTTTGACATTCGTTTTCATGTGAGCTGAGTATAATCAAAGTAATATATATAAAAAAATAATGTGATTTTCTTCAAGTGAAGCAATAACACACACTGCTTTGCATCTTATACACACAACCAAGCCTTAAAATTACATTCTGGACCACCCCTTTAAATTTGAATTTGGAAAAGGTGTAAGAAGCCTATATAATAAAAATATACAATATATAATACTTTATTTAATATTATATTTTGTGTTACTCTTTTATTTTAATTTATTGAAATATAATTGAAGGTATTTTGAGAAGTGTAACTTTTTTCTTTTTTTTATGGAAGTTACATTAACCAAACCATTTGATTCTTCCCATTTTACCTTCTAAGTAACTTGAATTGATTTAGGAATAATTTTGTATTTTCTGGGTTTTTCCAAGTAAATTTACAAATGTTGTCATTTGCCACTTAAATGATTTAGTTCAGTTTGTAGCAAATAAACCAAAGTCATGCTTCTCACACTTTAATATCTCATTCAGAAATATAAATCATTGATTCATTCATTCATTCATTCATTTTCTTGTCGTCTTAGTCCCTCTATTTTTAATCCGGGGTAGCCACAGCGGAACGAACTGCCAACTTATCCAGCAAGCTTTTATGCAGCGGATGCCCTTCCAGCCGCAACCCATCTCTGGGAAACATCGACACACACTCACAAACTACGGACAATTTAGCCTACCCAATTCACCTCTGAGCCGAGGTTCGAACCAGTGCTGTGAGGCGACAGCACTACCTACTGTGCCACTGCCTCGCCCAATATAAATCATGTCATCACTAAATTACTCTTATGTCATTCTAAACCGACATGACTCATAGCAGAAGGTACTTTGAGAAATGTTTTTAATATCCATACAGTGAAAGTGAACTTAAACCACAGCTGTCTAGTTCCCCTTATTTATTAAATTATCTTAGTTCCCGTGAAGAAAGTGCGTGCAACATGCATAAATTACAACAGGATTTTCATTTTTGACTGAAATAGAAAACCTTCCCATAACTGGCCTTTTGCTGTCATTTGCTGAATTTTCTAAAATGCCCCCACTGCAGTATTTTTGGACTCTGTGTTTCTATAAAAGAGGAAGTATGAAAATTTGAAAACAACCCATAGGCATATTATTACCAGACTGCATTGTCTGTCCAAATGAAACTTTCTTCTTCTTTCAATTAGTCTGACCTGTTTCAAGGGGATCTGTACCCGGATACAGCGGGATTGGAACCGGCTCTTCTGGCGGAGGATTGGATAGCAGGACAGGATGCTCCTCCAGCCCTCGTTTCCCTCAGTGGAGGCTATACAGCTCCTCCATCCAAAGGCGGGACACTGAGAGGACGACCCAAACTGCTCTCTCCGACTAATACTAGTCCCACCAGCACTACTGCACCAGCAAACCCTGTGACGGTTGAGATGGAAAGCGAGGGTTTGAGCCACGGGCGAGGTGGAAGAGATGTAGATGGTGGGATAGAGAGAGTGAAGAAAGAGGTGAGCGACAGTATAACACAACAGGTGAAGCCATGAATCTCTAGATCAGAGGGGGCAAACAGCAGCTCCTATGCAGCCCACTGAACATCATTATCCGGCCCACAACAGAGTTTCTAAAATGCTGTTTCTGAGTTTGATTGTAGAATTTGTAAGTGGATGCAATACAAGCGAATGCCGTTTGATGGCAGTATTGCATGCAGTACAGTTAGCGGCAATAGTAGAATTAAAACACGTTCTCGGATATTATGAGATGAGTATAAACGGAGGTCGGAGCCAGCTCCAAGTGGGTGGGACTTGAACTCCAAGTGGGCTGTAAAAACCTGGAGTTATTATTTTTATTTATTTAATGTCTTGTACATGACAGTCCACTATTGTGCTTTATAAATGGCCACACCTATCCCAACCCTAAACCCAAACTCACTGTAAACTGATGTGTTTTATTAATATCTGCTCCACCTACACCACCTAAAGCCAACCTACTTGTGGTTTAAGTCCCTCCCACTTGGAGGTCACCCAACCTACTGGCGGTGTAATCCCTCCCCCTTGGAGGTCTCCAGGCTGCAGCGATACCTACTTGGATATTACCGTTACTCAACCGTTGATGAGTGAGGCAAAAAAAAAAAGTTAAAGTTGACTCTGAATGTTGTGTGATTACGAAAGAATTGACACCAAAATATTTCTTCGCCAATATTAGACAGAAAGCAGTATGTCTAATATGCCAAGAAAGTCATATTATAGATTATAACCAGCTTTTTAAAGATTATTTAACTCTCGTCATGTGAGATTTTTTTTGTCAGACAATATATTTTCTATTTTCCACTGTTAAAAGTTATTTTATAAGGGATTTATGTCATCGTTTTATGATTATTGATAAGTACTAGGGGTGTGACAAGGGGCTAGGAGATCTAGAGAGACTAAATCACAACGAGATTTCTCATCGAGGTGAAAAGTTGTCTTGTGAGTTGTGATGTTATGATACAGGTGAGGGTGAATTTCGCACTGATGATTGGAGGCAGGATTAGATTCAAACTGCACATCAAGTGCTTTGCACACGTCTGGCAACCCGGCCTGCCTGTGTGTTGAGCTTCACTCGTTTGCTTGGTGTGACATAACCACTTTTTTTAGTTCAAAGGTTGTCACATCCAAAAGCAAAGGCTGCTCCAACTGCTGCCAGAAACGTTAACCACAGCTCATAACCATGCGATGGAATAGCACTTTAGATATGCTTTAAGTCATAATTGTTGTAAACACAAATTGAATTAAGAAGTAAAATATTCCTATTTTAGTCAAAACAGTCCAAACCAAACTATTACTGTGGTGTGGGACTTTTAGCCGCATTTTGTGACACGATAAGCCATACGCACATGGCTGTTTGACACTATTCTTTGCACCTACTGAGTCAGTAAAGAACCACAGACACTCGCATCTCTAAATGCACACACATAGTGAACTCCTGGAGACACACACACACACACACACACACCCATCGTCAATTTGATTTCTTGTGTGAAATTGTACAGTGGAGAAGCCAGTCAGTAGAGTTTATAGCTAAATATTTAGCTGTGTTTGCATGTTCTTTATGGCATGATTCATGAAAATAGAAGTAAAATAACATTACAAGTTGATTTAAAAAAAGCACCTAAATAGTTTTGCATTTCGTCTTGTTCTCGTGAACCTAATCTCATGTCTCGTCTCATCTCATCTCGCACACACCTAATAATAGAGGTGCAAATTAATTTGTCTTGTAAATTGGATGCAATAATTACTATAAATCTTAATCTGTTATGTGTTGATGTGACATGTTTCTGTCAGTTAATATATGTTCCGTGCATATACAGTTGAAGTCAGAATTATTAGCCCCCCTGAATTGTTAACCCCCCTGCTTATTTTTCCCCAATTTCTGTTTAACAGAGAGCAGACTTTTCAACATCTTTCTAAACATAATAGTTTTAATGACTCATTTCTAATTAGTGATTTATTTTATCTTTGTCTTGATGACAGTAAATAATATTTGACTAGATATTTTTAAGACGCTTCTATAAAGCTTAAAGTGACTTTTAAAGGCTCAACTAGGTTAATTAGGCTTACTAGGCAGGTTAGGGTAATTAGGCAAGTTATTGTATAATGATGATTTGTTCTGTACACTATTGAGAAAATATATAGCTTAAAGGGGCTAATAATTTTGTCCCTAAAAATGGTGTTTAAAAAAATAAAAACTGCTTTTATTCTAGCCGAATAAAAACAAATAGGACTTTCTCCAGAAGAAAAAATATTATCAGACATACTGAGAAAAATTTCCTTGCTCTGGTAAACATCATTTGGAAAATATTTTAAAGAAGCAGAAAAATTATGAAAGGGGCTAATAATTCTGAATATCTGAATTCTGATATATATACGTGCACTATAAATAAAAGTTATTTTATGAAGGATTTGGCATGTGGCCCTTCACTTGGTTTGCAAAACTTGAAGTTTATCAATCTATCTTTGGAGTAATTAAAAATTGAATTAGTCTTTTAATTTCTTTATTTATATACTTAAATATCATATAATTGCATTAATAAATGTATCTGTTTTGTTATATTAATAGTTTTATCAATTGATTCAATTCAGCTTTATTTGTATAGCGCTTTTACAATGTAGATTGTGTCAAAGCAGCTTCACATAAATGGTCATAGTAACTGGAACAGTGTGGTTCAGGTTTTAGTGTTTAAGTTCAGTTCAGTTCAGTTTAGCTCAGTTCAGTGTGATTTAATCATTACTGAGAATTCAAACACTGAAGAGCAAATTCATCGATGCGTAGCTCTACCAATCCTGAACCATGCGAGGCAGTGGCGACAGCGGAGAGGGAAAAAAAACTTCACCTGATGGGAGTGAAGAAAAAAAAAAACCTTGAGGGAACCAGACTCAGTTGGGCACGACCATTTTAATTTCTCCGCTGGCCAAAAGTCTTGTGCAGAGCTTTATTCGCCGTGGTTAGGCAGGAAGATGGCCTCAGCGAAGACTCGTCTGTCCCTGGAACAATTGAATGCATTTCTTGAGAAAAATTTAAAAAAAAATTTTCAAATTAAAAATGTTATCAAAATAAGCTTTATATATTTATTTTCATTCACTGTTTCTAATAGATAAATATTTTGAGACTTGTTGATTTCTTTGAAAAATAAACAAAATTTTGTTTACATTTATAGTTTTTATTTTCATCTCTATAATTAATATGCATTCATTTCTTGATGCCTGTTTATGATAAAGCATAAACGTGTCTTATCTTTCTCTCTTACACAGGAGGACCAGCTTTCAGACATCCTGACGGAGGTCCGGGCTCTGCGCGCTCTGGTTCTGGCTCAGGGTCACAGGATCGATGTTCTGGAACGGCAGCTCGCGCGCATCGAGGATGGCGAAGTGTGATGGAAAAAACCACAAACACATCACGACACATAGCCTTATTACCCAGATTCAAAGAGCTTCACTGAAGGCTTATGGGAAATGTAGTTCCATTACTAGTGACGTAGAGATACAGAGAGACCTAACTGAGCTTTATTGATTACAAATGCACTGATACTTAATATGGTAAATGCTGCTCGTTTTGTGCTTCTAATAGGGCTGTTTCATCAGGTACTTGCTTCTGCTAACTACAGATACTTAATTCTGAATTTGGTTATGTCGACGTTTGCATAAACATGCAAAGTTTCAATGAAAAGCAGACTTGATGGTCTCTAGTAGCGTGCATTAAGACGGCATCTAACGAATGCTTCTGCTTAATAACAGTAGCGTGAAACCTTCAGGAATTGCTATAATCCAACATGCTGAATTAATTTCTTGCTTCGGCTAAAGTTTGATGGTGCTTCTCAACGTAGATCGACCAGCACTGTTCCTCTCTTCCATTTTACTGTATGTCTTAACACATGTAGCATTGATTTTTGAATGCCGGTAGTCAGAGTTTTGTGTGTGCGTGTGTGTGTAGCATGTGATAGAAACTGTACTTGATGTTGAATGAAATTTGTGAAGGATCCATATACCGGAGCAAGATAAGCTTGTAGAGCAAACAGCAAAAAATAATAATACAGATGTAGAACGATTAAAAATGTCCAGGTTACATTCAAAAAACATGCTTTTTTTCTTGCTGTTGAGACTTTCAAATAATTGTAAGCACATGTTTTGCTTTTTACTTCTTAATTTATTCTTGTTAAATTCCTAATACTTTAATTTTGGAAGTCGTTTTACCTTATATTACAGTTTAAATGCTCTTTTTTTAACATGTAAACAGGATAATGTTTAATTTAAAGTGCACCTATGATTAAAATCATCCTTTGTAAGCTGTTTGGACAGAACTATAGTGTAGGTATAGTGTCCACAGTCATATTGGAGTGATAGAAACACAAGAAGTCTCTTTTTTTATATTTCCTGACGTTAAAATATGATCCAAATCCCTTTCATTTTTAGGCCCACCGCAACGTGACAGAGAAGCGTGGTTTTCCCCACTCACTGAATTGAATGACAGCCGCTTTTTAACATGTCTCCGCTTATAAACATATCCACGAGAGAGAACCTGTGCTAAGCAACTAGGATTAAAAGATCCGTTCAGCTCTCTGTGATCATCTGTACCTCAAGAATAAGTTTAACAAGTTTAAAACATTTTTAGCTCGGTGCATGTTTGAAATAAATACAGTAAAATTGATATGTAATTCATCACCACAGCCGCATGTCAGTACAATTATAAAAGAAGATACTTCTATCCTGGCTTGTAGATGTTAAATCAGGTTTATTTTGTACATTACATAACATATGTCCATATAGAAGTGGATATTAATGTGTATCCTGTCACACTTACCATGTAAAAACATGCTTTAAACATTGTAACAACATTTTGTGTGACTCATCTTTGCAGAAAAGCTTGAATTATCTCCACAACAAATACATCAAATAATCATTGGGAAAGTTCTTACTTTAGTATTCCTCACTTACGGTTTGTGAGATCTGCTTGCTTATTGTCTGTCACTGTGCTGTTTATTTAATGCAGCATGAGATGAAGACACACATCAAAGCAATAGGGAGTGATCTCTGTGGCTCTGATGGCATGTGGTAAGGTTTGGTAGGGAGAACTAGCTCATTTGAATTAAAGGCACAGGCAACAAAAACAGCTACAATGTGCTAAGAGCTGTACATTCTAATGTTCATAAAGGTATAATAAATAATCTAATGGGTGGGTAAAACTGAAACCTTACAGACACATTCTATAGACACTAAAGTTTTATCTAAAATCTTGAAAAAGGGGTAAAATAGCTGCCCCTTAAGGTGGTACAGTATGAGCACCTATACAGTACAGTATGTGATAGTGTACAATCTCTTTAGGCAAAGACAAAACACTAGATTCAGATCTTTTTATTGACATTTTAAATATCAATAACACTGACTTCAAAAAGATTTGGAAAATCAAAGCAATCCAAAAATAACATTATGGAAAGTATTTTAATTTGACATTTTATTTTATTATTTTTTGTCCACTTATTTACAACTAATTATCAATATTTCTGACATTCCAATGTTTTGAGACACTATAAATATTACAGGCTGACCAAATAATATTTGCTCTGAAAACAAGCTCTCTTTTTCTATTCAATTTACTCGTATTCTTGTCTTTCATTTGTGTCACCTGGATATGTCATTGCCAGTTTTGTTTAGATTCATACCTCTTAATGAATAACTGTTTTATTCCTGTTTGATTGACTATGAAATCTAATAGTAGAACGATGTGGTGTTTCTAGCTTTAGCTGGTGGTGTTTTTGTATTCGTTTTGTTTTAAGTTGCTCTTTAATCATTGGCACTACAATCAGGGAAGACTCAAAGCGAGGGTCGACTCATGCTTCTCTGCGGATGATTTTCGTTATGTCTAGCTGTACATGTTGTAAATTATCTAAGGACCCATTTACTTCAAACTTAAGTGCTAACTTACACTGTTCTTTTTAATAAATGACATTTGCCCATTTCTACCGGTTATCATGGTGGTTCATTATTCATCGCATCGCAAATACTGTCACATTTCCCCAGCAGGCCTGTGATTAAAGTCTAAACTAAATGTTTGGTGCTAAATTTAGAAATGAAAGTGTTTTGTACTGCAGGACGGAGATGTGATTTCTACTGTAAGTCTGCTCACTTCCTGTGCATTTTGAGCACGATGAAGGAGAAGTGAGGTTTACACAAGTCAAAAATATATTATGTATTATGTATATAATGTACATAAATTAAATACTTGGCCAGCTATGGATGATGGGCGAAACATTATTTCTAACAATTAAAAATATATACCAGTTTTCCTCAAATATAACTATAATCTGAGGTGGCAAAAAAGCAAACATATGTTTTAAAATATGAAAGAATGTATTTTCAAACTTTTTATAAAGATAGATAGATAGATAGATAGATAGATAGATAGATAGATAGATAGATAGATAGATAGATAGATAGATAGATAGATAGATAGATAGATAGATAGATAGATAGATAGATAGATGGATGGATGGATGGATGGATGGATGGATGGATGGATGGATGGATGGATGGATAGATAGATAGATAGATAGATATTTTTTAGCATACTAAAAAAGTAAAAATTCGCCTTTAAACACATTAAACTAAACTTAAAATGTAAAAATATATGCACATTATTACATTCAGCATAAAACGCAGTTTTAAAATTTTAACCAATCACACACGTTGCAGTTGAGTTTATGAATGAAGCAGCCAATCAGAAGCCTTGGATTATTCATCAATGAAACCAATTGAGTTGAGTTACGCGCATGCTCTCTGACTGAATTCACGTATTTCCTCATAAACATCAACAAACCGCTCGATGTATGGTAAGTAAATGCTTAATATAGTAGCTTCGATGTTATAATATGTTTTTTGCATAATTTGAGGTATACTAACGTCGCGGATAAACACTTTTTGTCTGTGATTTTATGAGCTGTTCGTCATTTTTAAAAACTTACGAAATTAACCGTTAAGTTACAGATGAACCCCCCAAAAACGTAAATAGCTTATATTACCCCAAATTAACATTAGTTTTGGTAAACTAATCATAGTTTAATCACGATATTTGTAGTAACGTTAGAACTGTTTAATGTGCAAATCAACAAGCCCAAAAAAAAAACTAACAATAGTTTTGGTGGAAAGAGTACTGAAAAAATCATATTTAAGTAAAAAGACCATTATTTGGTCAAAAATGTAGTGTAAGTAAAGTAAAAGTATCTGTTTTATGTCATACTGAAAATATGTGTAAAAAGCAGCCCTTTTTTAAACTACTCAAGAGTAGTGAGTATTACACTGTGACATGCTGATGCATTTATATGAAATGTGTGCTTGTGTGTGTAAACGTAACATTCTGTAGTGCATTTAGTTATTGTGTAAGGCTATTTGGCGATTTTAATCCCAGCAGGTACAGGATGTCAACATGACATTAGATTGACGTTGTACCCCGATTATGCAGGACGTTGCAATTATGTTTGGAAATGAAAATCAGGTTGAGGTCAGAACTCAACATCAGGCCGACGTCAACGCTCAACATCGGACAGACGTTACATTTTGGTTACTTTCCAACACAACTTAAAAACAACAAAATATCAACGTCTAATGATGTTACAGCTTGACGTTGTGTGGACGTTACAAAAATGACGGCATCTATCAGATGATGGATTTTGGTGAGAGGGGTCTGGCTGCAGACAAGGTGCAGTGCAATCTGGGCTGCATCCAATTCTTTTTAATGGGTTCACCTAACCCCACCGCTAACCCTACCCGTCACAGTGACGTCACTAGCTCCATTTGAGTGCATTGTGTCTGACATTGCATCGCTGAGTGATGCAGTCTCAGCTTGCATCATAAAGGCTGCATCCAGATACTATTGATTTTGGTTGCCATACCTGATGACCGACGTTGGATTTTGGTCACTTTCCAACGCAATCTAAAATCAACAAAATATCAGTGTCATTTCACATCATTGTTGGATATCAAAACAACATGATCCTTAGACACTGGAGACCTAAATCTAATCTAATATTAATGTCTTATGATGTTGTGTATCTGCTGGGGTTAGTGACATGCATCTAAACAGTCTCTCGGTCATTGCGTGTAAAGATTTTAGACATCTTCTTGGACACTTTTAATGCTTCCAAACTGTTTGCTGCATTTATAAAGCACCCATGTCTTGAAATTGTTCAGTATGATGCGATTTACTATTCATGTGCGATTTGATTGAACAGGAATCGCAGGACGGATTTTTCTACCGAGTAGATCAAATAAAGTAGAGACTGCAGCTTGAAGGAAAAGAGAATAGTAAAAGAACCAATACTGCACTAAAAATGTAGTCAAGGGAAAGGAGAAGTATACTTTATAAAGTACAATTCTTGAGAAAAACTGCTTAATTACAGTCATTTGAGTATTTGTCATTTGTTACTTTACACCACTGGCCACGTGTCCAAAAAGATAATATAGTGGGCGATTGAAAAGTTATTATGGGCAGTCCAAAATCATGGTCAACCATTTGGTAGATCAGACTGTTAAAGGGTTAATAATAATTAAAGCAATAATAAAAGAAACAATAGGTAATATATTTTATAATAATAAGCTCTGTCCTGTAAAAAATAATGTGGTTAATAATAATAAATATTAGAGCCCCTTTACAGAGGGGATTTGATGAATTTCATCAGTCAGTAATTCAGAAAAAGTACTGTCAACAGCCAGAAAAAAATAGATATATATTTTGGGGAACAAATTGTGTATAATTAGAGGCAAATAATGAATTATTGTGTCCTTGTAAAATTGTGTCTTTCCAAAAAAAAAACTAAGATTCTTCAAAATATAGATGCATGACAAAAAAACCTTTATGAGAAAAAAAATCCTTTAAAATTGACTGTATTTGATCCAGATGTTTTATTTTCACTAGATTGAACAAAAAAAATCAACGAGCGCAAACTCTCCCTTCTGTCATTGACTGGCATTAATTTCTGACTTGGCTTGTGTCTCTGAGTATGTGTATGTGCTGATGTTGTTCAGCTTTTGCGGTGTTGTGTAAGGGCCACATTGACATCAAAGTGTCTGCTATATATTCTCTCTGCAGTGAAGCACTCTTGTTTTCATGGTTCAGAGCATCTTTATGCTCGGCATTTACAACAGGATGTGGGCTGAGAAGACACTTGTGCTTCATATCTCAATCTTAAGCTAAAGGAAACTCTGTTCCACCAGAGTCTTCCTGTGTCGACTCCATACAGCTACACAATATTCAGCACATGCGTTTGTTTAACTGCATATTCACTCAGTAGTGGTGGGTTTTTAGAACTGATGGTTATGCATACTGCTATTCTGAGGTGTTGCAGATTTTAGTAAAAATAACAGATTTGTTTTATTTTTAGATTTTAGTTTTTGACATTTACCCAAACATCGTCCTCGAAAATGCTTTAGATTTTAGGATCACATAAGCAAAACAAAAATGAAATTATGTTTATTTATAATCCAGTGTGATTTGATTTTATTATCAGTAGTAATATGTACCACTTTTTCATATCTATAATGTGTTTTTAAACTTTGTATACACGCATGTTTATATGTTTTTGCACCCTATAAATAAATACATTAAACCAAAAGTAAAATAATAAAAGTATATAAAATAGGGTGAAATATTTTATCATATATAATATAATATAATATAATATAATATAAAAAGCAAAATAATATAATATAATATAATATAATATAGTATAATATAATATAATATATGTCAAAATGTCATTTAATAGTTGTTTTTTAATTCAGGGTGAATGCAGTTTTTAAAAATGTTTTATCCCACAAATAAGTGCAACTATTAAATATTAGAGGTGCACGTGATACAACTACTGCAATAGTTTGTTTGGCGATACTGTATCCTTCCTTGAAATTCAATATCGATGTTTTAAAAATGATATGATTTATAGCGGTTGTTTTGTTTGAAATCTAACAATACATCCTGATGCTAGACACCAGTATTCTTGATAGGTAGACGAGAGTGACTGAAAGGAAACACTAGAATAGCTGCAAGCTGTTTTTTTTTTTTTCTCTTTTACCCACACTGCAAAAAGCATAGTGAAATGACATGCAATGTTAAAGACTCTGATTAGTGAAAAGGATGACCTCATCATGCTCTGATTACATAAATATTTAGTTTTTTTCTGTGGCTTGGATCTAGGGCATATCGTCACCTTGGAATTAAAAGGTTCTGTCTGCGTTCTGAATGATTTTGAGATATTGAGCTTGAAAGTTTTTGCATTCCATAGCAAACAGTATGTGTGTAACATTTGTTTTTTAAAATAAAAAGTCTTAAAATTTAAACAACTTATAAAAAAAAACACCCCATAATGTAAGTCGTCATTTAATGAGAAAAAAGTCAACTCTATTTTGACAATAAGTTCAGATAGAACCTTATAATTCAAATTTAGTTAAAGTAGTAATTTAGTATAATTTTTAACTAATTTTTTTTATCTAAGCATGCTGGGTTCTAAACAATTGCTTCATTTTTTCCCAACACAAGAAGATTAAGTCAACGTAAATAGTTTTTGCAAATTTAAGTTAATTGAACATAAAACATTTAAGTTGTCTCCAAAAAAACTTTTTTAAACAAGGTGTTGGTTCAACTCATTGAATAAGTAGTTTGAAAATAAAAATTAAAAGTATTTTTTTGAGTGCGCTGTAGAAAATGCTGGATGCCACACAATCAATTTGTGTTGAGAAAACAGGAATGAAGTTAACTTATTAGTTTTGACAAATTTAAGGTAGATTGAACATAAAACAATTAAGTTGTCCCCCAAAAAAATGTTGTGTTGTGAGTTGTTTTTGCTGCTCATTTTAAATGTTTAAACAAACAGCAAACGTCATGTTTTGAGTGTGTTCAGTTTGTAATTTAATTCAAATGAAATTACTAATCTGAAATTAATAAATTAATATCTTAATATTTGATTTATATTAATAAAAAATTATTAAATAAGTAGTCATTTATTTTAAAAATCTAACATTTACAATTTAAATTTTACGTCAATCTCTTACTGTAGATGGTTTCTCTCTCTCTCTCTCTCTCTCTCTCTCTCTCTCTCTCTCTCTCTCTCTCTCTCTCTCTCTCTCTCTCTCTCTCTCTCTCTCTCTCTCTCTCTCTCTCTCTCTCTCTCTCTCTCTGTTTATTTCCCCCGCCCCTGTTTCCTGCCTATATCATCAAGACACATTCAAATCTTCTATTTTGTGCTCTGGTTGGCTATGAGTTTATGGACAGTTGAATGAAGGTAAGTTATTTCTTCATTTTCGCAGATATTCTGATGTGTTTTTTAATTTTTCCATTTGCTCTTTCCATTTTCTTTTAACAGTTAACATTTAATCTATATTAAAATAATCTCTGTCAACCTGTTGTTCACAACCTTCCATTTTCCTTTGCAATCTGTACTGTAAATATTTTAGAAGCCTATCATCATGTGTGCGTGTGTGAAACATTAAGAAACATGCATGCACAACAATGCTAATTATCCCTTCTTTAGGGATTTGATTCACTTTTGGCACAGAAAAAAGCTACAAGAAAATCTCTTATTATTTGAGAGCAATCCACAGCAGCTGCTTTAACAAAACTTGTGAATTGCTGTTAAGTGTCGTTAAGTGCTTTGAATGAAAAAAAGAAACATCACTGAGACTGGTGTGAATGAATAAGTAGTGTTAAGGCATATCAAGAGTTTCACAGATGAGTGACTTACATTTTTTTGTTTGCACTGCAATGATAATGTAAAAAAACCAAAGTGATTTCCTGCCAACTTAAAAAAAAATGAAAGCAGGCGTGCTTTACTTCCGTGCTTCTGCACTTTGGAGGCTTTCAAATGAAACAGTATATGGCGGGAGGGAGCTGGTGTTTGTGCGGCAAGAAAGCCACAGGTTGTCACAAACATGATGAATAGTTTATTGAGCTAAATATAATGAAGTAAGTGTGTATTGTTGCATATTCTTTTGCTGCTGAATTCAGGTTATTATTATTTTTTAATCATTATTTAATATTATTTTTTGTTCCTTTATCGTATTCAAATTCAGCTTGATATATAATTTGAATTATTGTGTAATTCAGATTCAAAAAATCTAGAGCAATTAATAGCCTTTATGTTTTGAAGCGCATTAAAAGCTGCTTCTTATGCTCATTAAAGCTGTCTTTGTTTAATTTCATTACAATTGCATTTTAATTTCATTAATTTAAATGATTGTTTTATAATTATACAGTAAAACTATGTAATTGTGATGCAATATTATGACCATAAAATACGTTATTTTTCTTTTTTTATTATTGAAATAGGTTTGTAAATGCTCTTTTTTTATGCTGTAGATTATTCTGATTTAGTGTTTAGTTTTTATCGGTTATTACTGCTGCTGCCCGTCTATTATTAGTTGTTTAAAATTATTTTTTTTCTTAATATTTGACTAAATAAATTAAATAAAAATCTATAGTGAGCTGATTTTTACTTGCAGTATTTATAAAAAGCACTTCCTTTATATGCAGTTTTTTTTTACTTTGTATGCAGAAATGCTCATGTTTATTATTAGATTTGAAAGTAATTTTAACGGCTTTCATTTTTTTGCAATATAGTTTTTTCAATTATTCAGGCTTCTTAGTAAAACAAAAAGTTCAAAATAACATGTTTTGTAACAAATACTTTATTTTTTTACTATGAATTTTGGATCTATTTAATGTTTTTTTTATTACCAAACAAAGATTAATGACTTATTTATCTTATTTGTTTTTATATAAGAGTTTCACTTACCCCAGATTTCAGTAATGGAATAATGACTCCTGAAAATGATACTTTTTTATCACAGAAAAAAAATGACATTTAAAATTAAATTTAAATTGTAAAAAAAAATTTAACGTTTCTTTATTTTTACTTTAATTTTCATCAAATATATTTTTTTAGTACTTGATGAAAATAAAACAGCACTTTCATCACAGAATTAAAATAAATTGCCTGACAGCAAGAAGGTCACTGGTTCGAGTCCCAGCTGCATCGGTCAGTTGGCATTTCTGTGTGGAGTTTGCATGTTCTCCCCGTGTTGGCATGCGTGCTCCGGTTTCCCCCTCAGTCCAAAGACATGCGCTATGGGTGACTTGGATAAGCTGAATTGACCATGTACAGTTTTCCATCACATAAAAAAAACTATATTTTTTATTATATTTAAAGAGTAGTAATCTTTCAAAATATTGCTGTTTTTTTATTGTCATCAAATGAAAATGTAAGTAAACTAAATTTGACGAAAATACGAGAAGCACCTTCAAAACATTTAAACTCAGATTTATTTAAAATGTAAACTTTTTCATCACTTAAATGTCATTTATATTATTTGTAAATAGTATTTTAAAGTATGGCTGTATTTTTATTGCAATATTCATCAAATACATGTTTTAATTCGAGATGGAAATAAGAGAAGTACTTTCAAAAACATTTCAACTCTGATTTATCTCAAACTTTGGACATACAGACATTTACTCAAAAAAATTAAGTTTGCTCTTTGTTTAAACCAGGGGTTTTCAACCAAATCAGCAGGATGCCCTTTTGGATCTTTCACTTACTTTGAAGACTCTAAACTTTACATGGACATCAGTAATATAGTTATTTACCTTAATCTGAATAAGACAATAAGGTGTTTATGTGGTGTTTTTTGAATGTTGTGTCACCAGGTTATCCACGTTTCCTGCAGTCTCATGTGATTTTAAGTGTTTGAACTTAAATTTTTAGACTTTAACTGCAGTTCGGCCGTTTCACTTTCACTCATGAAAATTTCATTCATGCCCCCGTGACAAATACTGGGGTATTAGAAGGCGAGTATGAAGTAAGGACTGGTAGAAGTGTGCTGTTTTCGTGAAATTTAATACCGCACACTGAATGGAATCGCAATGTGTGTCTTCACTCCTTTACTGACTGCCGTGTGTGTAGATCTTGTTGCAAAATGTGGCAAAAAGTCCTACATGACGGTAATAGTTTGATTGCGGTGTTTACTTCAATAATGCCACTAATATATGCAAGTGAAATTGGACAAACTAGGTGGGGTGTGTGTCCTAAAAGGTTGAAAACCCCTGGTCTAAACTACTTTCTTAAAACGAGCTGAAACAACACAACACAAAAAGTATAGGTTAACTTAAATCCTCCATTTTGTCCCAAAAAAATTGTTTATGTGGAACTCAGTATTTTTTACAGTGTTTATTTAACAAACTCTACATTTCCTTCCATAGTCATGGCGTCAGGAACGGTTGACAGCACTCCAACTGTCCTTGCCCTCCTCTTCATATGGGTCATCCTTGTTCTGGCTCTGGTTTACTTTTACAGAAAACTAAACACAGAAACGAACGGCCAATACACTGTCCAGCGGATGGTGTTTGCCCCCGGCGGCCTGCGGGACCAGCTGAGACAAGGAGTCGGCGTCGTGGAAAACAGATTTGACGTCCATATTTGGCCTCAACCCCGTGAAGATGAAGAGAACATCAGAGACAAAGATGAAGATGACGAAAATGATCAAGACAAACAAAACGACACCTGCACGGAGGAGCGAGAGCAGGAAAACCAGGAGGATAAAGATGAGGATTCCTCAAGCGATTATTCCAGCGTTGACCTGAGGGAAAGAGCAAAGATGCAGAAGGCTGGAAACAAGAATGAAGAGAAAGAAGACGAGGAGGAGAAACCGAAGGAGGAGGAGGAGAAAAAAGAAGAGGAGGTGGAGGATGATAAAGCAGAAGACGTGAAGAAAGAGGAGAAAGTGGGATTGCTTGTTGATCTCAAGCCATTCACAGGCAGCGCCATTTGGTCTGAGGAGAGTAAAGAGAAAAAAGAGGGAAATGACTTTACGGCTTTATGAAGCACAGAGACGTTGCTTGAATTTAAAAAAGGTGGGAAATCAAGGGACTTTATCAAATGGGTTACACAATGCTCTTGTTGTTTTTTGTATTTTTTTTATTTGAGCTAGTTTAACCCTGTAAAGCCTGATGTGGAAAAATCGTGCAAAAAAAATGGCACACACTTTACAACAAGGTTTAATGTGTTTCTACCTTAGAAAGCAAAAAAGATGCTTAGCATTTAGCAATAAAAGGTCATTTTAATTTTAACAACTTTTGACTAATAGAGTAATGGAGTTTATAGTAACTGATTTCTTTTATCTTTGTCTTGATGACAGTAAATAATATTTGACTAGATATTTTTCAAGACACTTCTATACAGCAAATGCGACATTTAAAGGCTTAACTAAGTTAATTAGGTTAACTGGGCAGGTTGGGGTAATTAGGCAAGTTATTGTATAATGGTGATTTGTTCTGTAGAATATCGAAAAAAATGTATAGCTTAAAGGGGCTAATAATTTTGACATTAAAATGGCTTTTAAAAAATTAAAAACTGCTTTTATTGTAGTCTAAATAAAACTAATAAGACTTTCTCCAGAAGAAAAAATATTATCAGACATACTGTGAAAATTTCCTTGCTCTTTTAAAAATAATTTGGGAAATATATAAAAAAATCAAAGGGGGGCTAATGATTTTTTATTATTTAATTTAAATATATATATATTTTTTTCTTTTTTTTTTCTCAAAGTTAACAAAAATTCCAATAATACAGAATAACACCATAAAATAAAACAATCACACATAGTATGTAAAAATAAATAAATAAACACAATAATAATAGTAAATAAAAAAGGATGAGATACAGTATAAACCAATCAAAAAGCTATTTTATCCAATCATGTGGTGCTATTTGTGTATAATCCAAAAAATAGATACCCTGATAACCCCTTCCTCTAAAAAAATATGTGGTCTTTTCCAAGAGTACTAAGTTGCAAACTTCTGAGAACAACAGCCCAATTGCTACCTCCATGTAGATTGTATAACAATTATCAGTATCAGCTTCAAGGTGCTGTGAAGTACTTTGAAATGTGTATTTATCTTCGATGTTTGATCTTAACTGAAACATGAAGCCAGGGTGGTACATAGAGTAGCTCCTCCCCTTTTAATACAGTCAATGGGGTTTTGTTTTTATGACAGCTCTGCCGATGAGAGTTGTTGAACTCAAGCGCATCAAATGAAAAGCAAATGAGTAGCGTCTTAAAGGGGGTGGGGCATGTCAGATACAAGAGAGCATTTGATTGGTCAAGATTTGATGAGAAACTGAAGTATGAGGGGATTCATTTAGGCGGAAGTGACAAACTGCAAGCGTTGGATGTTTATATCAGGTTTATATCCTTAAATGTGAATTTTATTACTGTATTGGAGCACACTAGCTTATATCCTAATGACTAACATTAAGTTATATGACTTTAATAGCACAATTTTACTGGAAATTTGAATTTGTATTATTTCCAAATAAACATACTTCTGGATCCAATCAATTATTTGGATACATGTTATAATCTTGCGCACTGAATAAAATAAAATAATTAAATGATATTTTTAAAGGTCTGTTTTTAATTATCAGATTTGATGTACAGGCTGTTTTGTAAGACATTAATATGGAGCCCATAACTGAGGTAAAACGTTGGTTTTATCTACAAATAAAGATTACGTTCTGATCGTTATTACAGCGTAGCATAAAATGTAATATCAGTTGTCAGTTTATATCTCCTAATAATGCTTAGTCTGATCATTTTTAACATGGAATACAATAGAATGATACATAAATACAATAAAATGCAACATAAACAGTACAATATAATAATAAAAATGTTCCCCTAAAGCCTAATGTATCATATTTGATTGTTACATTCAGTTTTTTTCTAATGAAGAATGAATAATCAAGACAAACTAAGTTGCTTCAGTCAAGTAAACTTTGCTAACAATAAAAAAGTCACATTATTTCACAGTTAAAAGACCCACAAATGATACTAAAAAGTATTTTACTTGCTGGGTTTCTTATTAAGTTTTTATTAAGATCATGTTTTTCATAGCAGGTTTATTGTAGAATATGTGCAGGCTTTACAGGGTTAATTTTCTGTAAAGTGGCTCCACACCGCTGCTGTTGTTAGTTTGATCCACTTCCTGTTGTTTTTCTGCAAATGCTGACTGTGTGAACAAAGTACATTTGAAACTTTTGTAACCTTTTTAGAAGATGTAAATATATATTTTTTTGCAATAAAAATGTTTTTTGTGTGTGTCAGAAAATGGGCCGTGTTTTAATTAATATTGCAGGAGTCATAGATGGGTGATTTGTCAAGATCATGTTGGACTATTAGAACACAATGTGTAATGTTAGGACACTGAACCAGCAATCTTTCTGAGGCTACACCCATGAACCACATCTCTTATCACGGTTGGTTATTCTGAAATAGGTTTCATGTCTTGGGTCTTGTGTAAAGATGAGGATGATAAGAAATGCAAACTGAAGCACTTTTTCGTGTAAACAAAAATTGTGTGAAGAGGTCAAACAAAAAGTCAACTATAACTGTTTGGTACTGTGGTGAAAGCTCAAATTTTGCTAAATCAAAGTTGGTACTTGTTATTAAGCTTTATGGCTTTGATTTGATCACAGTTTCGGAAGAAATCAATTGATTTTATCATTTGGTCATTTGATTTTTATCATGTCTGGTGTTGGTTGGCTGACAAAAAAAACTTGCACGAAATATCATAGCATTGTTATTGATAAAATAAAGATTTATTTATTTTACACTTCAGCAATAAGTAAGAATAAACTTGATAGTCCGCTATATTCTAACCAAACCTAAGTCTGTGTTTTAAAGTGTTACAGAATTAGTTTACTATAGTTACATTGGACTTTTTTGACCCCAAATAAAACATTGCAGTAGCCAAAAGTATCCACTAAAATATTTAACCTTAATTTCACGGTAAATTACTGGCTAATAATTTCATTACTTTCACATTAATATACTGTATGTGAATTAACAGCAAATTACTGTGAGGTAGTTCACAGTAATTTACTGTGATTTTGCTATATTGAATTACTGTGAAATTAGAGCCATTTAGTGTAACTTCACAGTAGATAGTAAAGTCCAAATAGGTGATTTCACAGTATTATCTTGTAGAATAACTTTATTTTACTGGGAAACCTCGGCAACTCATTCTGACATTTACCCTGACTTTGAAATAATTTTGGGTGTTTAATAGTGTTTGGTTTTATAAATCAATTACTTTTGTTCCAGTTTATTACATTTTGGCTAAAAATTGGCATTAAATATGATTTTATATTTCCATGTTAACCTTAAAAAATAAATTAAAGGTGCAGTGCACCCAAAAATGAAAATTTCCAATGACATTCAAGTCGTTTCAAAACAGGATGATTTTATTTTAAGTTATATTTGAAGAAATCAAATTGTTTTTGGGGCTGCAATAACATTCTGTTATTTCTAAATGTAAAAAAGTGTCAATAGCATAAAAGTTCATTTGTATCAATGACTATTGAATGAAATAAAAAGAGCTTGAATTCCTACGACCAGTATGCAAAAGATGTAGCCCTTTTTACAGTAATTTGCTGTAATCATGCAATCTGCCTTAATTTTACAATAAAATTATGAATACAACATATTACTGTGAATTTTTACAGTTAAATACTCTGAAGAGATACTAATGTAATTTAATGTGAAAAATTACAGTAACTTGTTGTAAAAAATCTGTACATTTTTTACAGTGTATTGTACGGGTCAAAATGTTTTTTTTATGCCAAAAATCATTAGAATGTCAAGTAAATAAGTACATATTTTGTACATTTTCAAACATATAAAAACTTTGATTAGTAATGTGCTTATAACTTAATTTGGTCAACTTTTCTCAGTTGCACAATTTTCTAAGTATTTTGATTTGTTTGAACCCTCAGATTACAGATTTTCACACAGATTTATCTTGGCCAAATGTTGTCCTGTTATATAAGAGTAAAAATAAATTAAAAACTTATTTATACATCTTTCAGATAATGCACAAATCTCAATTTTCAAAATTGACAAGAACACACAAAACTGGTTTAGTAGTCTGGGGTCACGTTTCATTTCCTGTTTGCTTTTAAAAACAGGTTTCTACTGTCATCATAAAACTTTAAATGATTGAATAAATGAATTATTCAACAATAGTACATTGGGCAACGCAGTGGTGCAGTAGGTAGTGCTGTCGCCCCACAGCAAGAAGGTCGCTGGTTTGAGCCTCGGCTGAGTCAGTAGGCGTTTCTGTGTGGAGTTTGCATGTTCTCCCTGTTCGCGTGGGTTTCCTCTGGGTGCTCTGGTTTCCCCCACAGTCCAAAGACATGCAGTGCAGGTTAATTGGGTAGGCTAAATTGTCCGTAGTGTATAAGTGTGTATGGATGTTACCCAGAGATGGGTTGCAGCTGGAAGGACATCGGCTGCGTAAAACCTATGCTGGATAAGTTGACGGTTCATTCCGCTGTGGTGACATCAGAATAATAAAGGGACTAAGCCAAGAAGAAAATGAATGAATGATAAGTACATTGATTTCTCCCAGATAAACAAAGTGAGCAGCACCAGAAGGTTATAAACAGTGTTGAAGAAAGTTACTTTTGTAGTAATTCATTAAAATACCAAGTTACTCTCCAAAAACAAAACTACTTGCATTATTTAGTTATGTCTTATGGTAAGTAATGTGTTATGTTACTTTTGAGTTACTTTTGCCATACTTTTTCTTACCTGGCTTGTTCTCTTTTAGAACTTGCAGGGGACTTATTTTTTTAAATAGAGGAGATTTGCAATTAACAGCACACTATACAACCTTTATTTACCTTAAAAAACAAACAAACATTTAAAAAATATGTGGGATAAAGTTATCTTTGGAGAACATTCTGACCACAGAGCTTTAGATTAATAAAGCAGAGCAGAGATTAATAAAAATTATAATGCGACTATTTTTGTACTTTTTGTCTTATTCATTTATTTTCTTGTCGGCTTAGTCCTTTATTAATCTGGGATTGCGTCAGCGGAATGAACCACCAACTTACCTAGCATATGTTTTACACAGCAGATACCCTTCCAGCTGCAACCCATCCCTGGGAAACACCCATACACTCATTCACACACATACACGACATACAATTTGCCCAATTCACCTGTACCTCATGTCTTTCCTCCGGAGCACCCGGAGGAAACCCACGTGAACACGGGGAGAATATGCAAACTCCATACAGAATTGCCAACTGACCCAGCCGAGGCTTCTTTTTGTCTTATTAAAAAGTAAAATCATTGTACATTCAGAAAATCTTTCGTTCCTTCCATGTGTTCAAAATAATTTTTCCATTGCAGAAATGTAAGGCTCTGCCATCTTCCTTTCTGTCTGTTCCTGCATTCTCTCATCGCGTGTGGGATTCAACACTAGTTTCAATTCAGCAATTTATTTTTTAAAAGCAAATTAACTTATCTAAAAAGTAACTTGCATTACATTTTTTTTTAAAAATGACTCAAATATTATTACTTAATTTTTAAAAGTAATACGTTACTTTACTCGTTACTTAGAAAAGTATATTAGTAACTTACGTAACTCGCGTTACTAATGCATTACTTCCAACTCTGGTGGTTACCCCTGTCAACATAACTTTAAAATATTAAATAAACATATTATTTAACAATAATACGTACATTAATTTCTCTAAAATAAACAAAATAAAGATGGTTCATTCTGCTGTGGCGACCACTGATTAATAAAGGGACTAAGCCGAAAAGAAAATGAATGAATGAATGAATGAATGAATGAATGAATGAATGAATGAATGAAATAGTTTGACCACCACGCAACAAGAAGCATCATCGGGGTTATGAAAGTGATGCTTCTCATTTCTGCCTGCTAGTTTCAGGTAAAATATAACTGAACATACGCTGCTCTCTCCTTAAATGTTGATTCAGCCACTCTTAAAAAAATTGATACTATGCTCCTTAACTTTGTTTGGAAGAATAAAACTCATTTTATTAGGAAATCTGTACTCGGGAATACTGTAGAGAAAGGAGGCTTAAACTTTCTTGATTTCACAACATCAAACAATACCTTTAAAATAAATTATATAAAGAACTGTCTCAATAACCCATTGTCTATATGGAATCTGATCCCTAATGTAATTTTTTCCAAATTAGGTGGATTAATATTTTTATTAATCTGTAATTATAATATTTTGAAAATCCCCATAAAATTGTCCCATTTTCATAGGCAAATGTTATTAAATTGGTCCCTCATATTTAAACACAATTTTACACCTCATTCATATATAATTTGGAATAACAAGAACATCTTGTATAAAAACAAATCTATATTCTTCAATAACTGGTTTAAAAATGATATAATTTATGTGTCTCAACTTTTCAACGATAGGGGTTTACTTTGTAACTACTCTGAATTTTTAGTTAAGCACGGAATTCCCGTAAGCCCAAAAGACTTCGCTATTGTTGCTGATGCTATTCCACAAGGTGTTTTTATGCTTTTTAAAGGACTTTCATTTCCAATTACTTTTCATTCAGCGGACCTTTGGAAAACATTTATTGGTAAAAACTACCATTCTTTATCTAAATCAAAATGCAATAAGAAAATAAGAGCCCTGTTTCAGGAAGATTTTGTTACTGTGCCTTATGTAATGTCATATTGGAATGGTTTTGTGAATGATATTTCCTGGAAGAAAGTTTGGACATTACCCCACAAATTTTTTATAACAAACAAAATAAGAGAAGTTACCTTTAAACTGATTCATAGATGCTATCCAGACAAGTGTAATCTTAAAAGACTTAAGAATGATATTAACACCAACTGTTCATTTTGCTTAGTGAATCCTGAGACGTCTGTTCATTTATTTTGGACTTGCCCTCATTCAATGTCATTTTGGTGTGATGTTCTTGATTTTATAAAAGTTTATGTGAAGGCAGATTTTGAATTTACATATAAGAATGTTATCTTTGGTTTCTATGATTGTGAAAAGGAAAATAATACCTATTTCATGAACCTTGTTTTTTTGTTGGACAAATTTCATATTCACAAGAGCAAGTTTTGCAAGTGTAAACCTTTTTTCCCTAAATTTAAAATTGAAATGAAAATGTATTTTGAGTGTATTGAAGGATCAACCAACTTAAAAGCAATACGTACGAGGACTTTGATTAAGGACTTGGCACTTATCTTGGACTAAATGACTAAAAACCCCTGGATTGTTGCTGTTTGATTCATGACATTTGTTGTTATTGTTTTTCAAGCATTCAATAAAAAAAAAAAAAAAAAAAAAAAAAGGTAAAATATAACTGACACACCTGAACCAGTCAACACTTTACGGTTATATCTTAGGTGGAAATTGTTAGAACCGGTCTGGGACTGAAACAGAATACCGTAAATGTACCACAAATGTCCCATAATTTGTTAAGACTGACAACAATTTTACATTTCCGTTATATGGCTTTAGCTGCGTCTTCAGGGCGTTTGACAGAAGGGGATGTAGCTCAGTGGTAGAGCGCATGCTTCGCATGTATGAGGTCCCGGGTTCAATCCCCGGCATCTCCACTTACTTTTCATTTCACTTTTAAGAAAAAAAAAATCTGATGCAAACAAGTAACAAAAAAAACTACTGCATGCTAATTATACACAATGAGCATTGATGAATGTACATATTTTATATACGTGGGGGAAAAATCAAACATTTGTGAAGATTTGAGGGAGGAGTCGCTTGAGTCGGAAGTTGCACTCCTTTGCAAATCATTGGTCGGTTACACGTCAGTGGACGTAAGAGTCGCCATCCCATTGGTCAGTTTCGCTCTCAGTGGGCGTGACCGAATGCAGACGCACGCAAACAATCGAAGAATCCTGCACATTCCTTACTAGAATAAGAATAACATTTAAATGTCTTTACATGGCGGTCGGCGAAACGAGCCATGCCGTGTAGGAGACCTACAACAGCGCATTGCGTCGACTGTGCGTTTCAAAGCAACATAATGCAATAATTCAATTCGCATTTTCCTCAGAGAGAGAGAGAAAAAAATCTGGGACTATTGTTATATCGCACGGATACTTTTTGCTCAAGTTAAGATGGATTCGCCCAAGGAATTACCTCCTACTTCAATGATTTGAATGCAAACGAGTAAACACGAACGCTGTCTTATTGGTGAGTGCTTGCATGTCTCAATTCGTCGCATTTTAGGGAAAACAGGCCTTTTGCTTAGCATCGCATCTTCAGATAGAAAAAGGTTGTGGATAATTGACAGATAAAACAAGTAACCGAGCCACCATCACAAAATGAGCCGCTACCATTTTATATTCACAGAGAGTGCATGTTAATGATGAGATTTAAAGAGCTCTACACGCTTTGCAGATTATCATTATTGTTTGATTTGCATAGGAGTTTAGTCATTTTAAGGATGCAATGGAAGAAGAAACGCGTTACTAAAATGTCTTGCATGTAACACAACATTCTGTGGCAAGCTGTTTTCACATGTATTGCACATAGAATTCAGATTCAATCGCGTTTTTCTATATTGCAATTAATTTTCTAGGCCTAGTAGTTAAATATGCAGACAGTTATCTGTTATTCTGCTTATTTACTATTTACTAGTTCTTATTTCAGTTGTTACTACATCCATTACAGTTTATTAAGACAAAGTTGGCACAGTCCATCATTTTAAACTGTTATTTTGAACATTCGATCTGAAATCACATGTAAGTATGACTTCAAAATAACATTAGTACTATTTATCTGGCTGTAAACAATGTTGTACTTTAATGGCTATAGGCTGCTAATATGATTTCACTATTTAGAATTTAGAAAGAATACTTTTCTGACATTATATTATCAAGAAGAAAGTTGGAATGTGCGAATATAAAACCAACTTTACCTCAATTTACACTTTTCTTGTCAGTTCAATAGACAGCATACTTATTAAACTAGTAATGGCCAAACTTTTTCTTATGGAGGGCCAAAAACCAAACTGATTGAGGCTAGTGGGCTGGTGCTAAATATTGTCATGGGTAATCGCCTAATTTATTTAATACAATTTTAAAAAAATTATAACTTATTTTTCACATTTAAAAAAAATCTGATTCATTTACATTATTTAATTGAACCATTAAATTTCAGTTAGATTTTTTTGTTGCTCAGTAATAAAAGCCCCAACCCTCTCCATCATTCTCACTCATTTAGCTACAAAGATGAGTTGGTGGGCCATATCAAAGGTTGCAATGGGCCAACTTTGGGCCCTATTTTGGGCATCTCTGTATTAAACTGTAAACTGGTATATTCCTATTGTCACTAATTTGATTTTTAAAAATTCAACAATAAGTTTAAATCACTGGTCAGATTATTGGTCCGAATACACAGTCGTGAAGTGAAACTGTATCTCTATTAATAGCAGACCACCCTCTCCTAAATGAATACCAGAGTATCTAATAATAACGCTGCATAATATATCAATGATCACTCACTGAATCAATAGCACATTGTACAACCCAACAGTCAACTTCATCAAATGAATGTAGTTAACTCAAAATTGACTGAATGTTAATTCTAATCATTTGTAATAAGTTTTGAACTCTGTGTTGAAGGTAATGAGTTTATTAAATAGCTGATTATTTCAGCTTAAATAGAGTGAGTTCACAGTACTCGTTGAGATTAGTATTTGAACTCAAATGGTTTGAGTTGCCTTAACTTATTGGTGTTTACAGTACTCTGTTGGTTTGAGTCCTCTTCATTTATTGGGTTTTACTGTGCTCAAATTGCTTCATTTACTCAAATGGATTGAGTTCACAGCACTCATTAGGATTAGTTTTTCAACCTAAATGGTTTGTTGCAATCGGTTTCCTCAAATGATTTGAGTTACCTAAACTGTTTGGGTTTAGCAGTGAATGCAACCCTTTAAAGGTTTGTGTTGTATAAACTTTTATAATTTTTTTTATTGTATTTATTTACTTTATATTTTTAACTTCAAGTACAATTGTCATTACCATATGTTGCTTTTTTCCTATATTTGTGTCTGCCTATTGTAAGTGTATTACTTTATGCTTGTGTATGCATGTAAGGCCTACTTTGTGAGTAAAATGATAACGCATGTTATTAATAAAGATGAACAATGTATTGTGACTTCGCTTACTAACTAACGTAAAGTGCACTATAATAATATATGGATACTTGTTCGTTTTGAAGGGATTAACGTTAAACTGGCTTGCCACAGCATGCTGCATAACATTCTCTTTGTGGTCAAATGCATCGCTTGCTTATAAGCGCACCTGTGCTGCTGTGCACGGGAATTAGGCGCTGCAAAATAATGCACAGATTCAAGGCGCTGTCGGATGTTATTGTTGTGGACGTGATTTTATTTTTCTCCGCGTAGGTATGAGATGTTGTTAGCCTCGGCCGTGGTCGTCTGGGAATGGCTGAACGAGCACGGGCGCTGGCGACCCTACAGCCCAGCGGTGTCCCATCACATCGAGGCGGTGATCCGCAGCGACCCTCGCGGCGCCGGGAGCGTGGTGCTGGGCCAGGTCGACTCACGTCTATCGCCGTACATCATTGACCTGCAGTCTATGCACCAGTTTCGGCAAGACACCGGTGAGAGACCACAACATTTATCCTAAGTGACTGTATCATGCAGCCTCTTGCTCATCTTTTGCATGTAATTTCTTAATTTGGGTGCATTTGCTCTAAAATAAATCAAACGAGTTTATAATCTCAGGTCTGGAGTGTGAAGACATGAAAGCAAACGTCTGCAGATGTTTATGAAAGCTCAGTGTTGTTTGGTTGGGTTGGGCCTCGAAACCTTCATTTCAGCAACAGCCTCTGATATCAGTGCATGTTATTAATTCTCACTTGTTTGTTATGTCTCCTGCAATGAATGTGGAGTTCAAGTGGTTCTGGCGTGAACAACTAATGATTTTATTTATTTTTTTGGGTCAATGGCGAGAAGGAAGAAATTATTTGAAGCTTAAAAAGGGGCGACGTGAAGCCGGAACAAAGAGGTGGATTGTTGGCTGTCAGAAATTTTGGGAGTCTCCATCACCCATGCTGACAAAGGCCATTGTGCAAAGGCTGACTAGACTTCATGGGAAGATGGAGGAATAGAGAGAATAGGATGGAGGAATGGAGAGAATAGGGTCGGCGAAGGGTAGCGGCCCATGGCTCCAAAAACACGAGGGAGGAGGAGATGGAAAAATGAATGGCAGTGGAGCGAGGTCATGAAAGGGGGTCGGATGGATAACCTTTGTGTTGCAGTTTAGGGACTGTCAAATTCTTGAGACTAATTATACTGTAGTGTTTGTAAGGACAAGCACATAGTTCTGTTGAACTGTGGAATCTGGAACAGACATAACAAGGCTTTATTATGTCTAAAATGTGTTGCTTTGGAAAGACATAACAAAAGTTATTCCGTACTTTCAGGGTAATGTCACAACTCTCACTCAAGCGCTCTGACATCTTTGACATGTTAATATGTATATCACTGAAAATTGAAACTGAGATGATTTAATTTGGGTTGGATCTTGTTTCAGGTATGACTCTTTAAACCATTCGAACTAAAGCTATCTAACTCTTGATATGTAAAAAAAATAAATATTAGGGATGTACCAATACCACTTTTTTTGCTAACTAATACAAGTACGAGTCTATTCCTTTGTGTGCTTGATGATACCAAGTACCGATTTCGATACTTTGATTTGGTTTCAATGAAAGTGCAATTTATTTGAAAGGTTTTATTTTTTGCCTGTAGCAAAGATGAACCTAAAAATCAAATGGTTTGTTGAAATCGGTTTCCTCAAACGGTTTGAGTTGTCTCAACTTATTGGGTTTTACAGTACTCAGTTGGTTTGAGTTCTCTTTATTGGGTTTTATGCGCGATTATTCGCTATATTCACGAGTCCTGCCGTTAATCCGCAGGTCAGGTGATCAAAAAGTAGGCTTACATGGTATATTTTATAAATGGATTGTTTATAAGGACTAAGCTATTAATTTATATTAAATTAAATAATACTTTAAGACATTGGAGTCAGGTTCAACAACAAATCACATCCACATAGTGGAATAGTTGAGTGGTATCGGAATTTTATGTATAATATGAGTACGAGTATTTTAACCAACTATCAACCTGATACTGCTATCGGTGCATCCATACAATTTATACAAAAATTTTTGTATCATGCAAAAATACATAGTAAAAGTAATACAAATGTTTTGCAGTTTAACTACAGGGTGTTCACAGGGTCTCAAAAAGTATTAAAAGTTAAAATTTTAGGAAAATTAAGGCCCTTAAAAGGTATTAAAAAGTCTTAATCACATTTTTATGAGGTCTTAAATTTTGTTCAACCGTTGACCAAAGTGTTTGACTCCAAAAAAGCATGTATATAATAATTTTTCTCTTAATATTAACAACCACATGCTCGATCGACACGATTGGTTCGGGACAGGGCGCATCCGGCCAAGCTCCTCCATCCGGGTAATGTCACGTAATTTGCGACAAATGCAGGAAGATGATGTGACGCTCTCCACATGTAGTAAAACCATACAGCGAAACAAACAGCAGAATGGGAAAATGTAAGTTTGCGTACTCCTTGTTGAAGAAAGATGAGTTTAAACAGTGACTGAAGCCTGTCGCTGAAAACAACGTCGTAATTTATTCTTTCAAGCTTTGTTTCTTTAGAGCTTATCTGAGTTCTGTTGCATGGTTGTGCTCCATTGATTTATGTAACTGTTTATTAACAACTGTTTATTGACAGCTGTTTATTAAGTTAAAAGTTTGATACTGATTAGAACTTGAAGCGGCGATGAGGTCTTAAAATATTCTGAGAAGATCCTTAAAAAGTCTTAAAAAGTTATTGAAATTACATTTATGATTACATTTATGATTCCCTGAATTAATACATACAGTTTAATCAGTAGAAACAGTTAATCCAAGATTTCAAGACAAAACAGTTATATGAAGAATGAATTTAATTTGGGCTGTTCATGTGTAAACATTAATCAACGTAGATCAACTAGAGCTTATTTGTAAAATGTAATTTGCGGATACAACTAATGGTTCATTATAAAATGCCAATTACAAGAAGTGCCAGTAGTAGTTTTTCAGATGCTCATTAGTGTCAGGTGCTCTTTGGAGAGACGAGTTGGCAGTTGTTCATTATTGTCAAGATTTAGCAAATTTGGTTAAGTTCAGGAAGCTCATTGCACCATTAAGGAACAGCAAATGAAAAGGTTCTGGAAAGTATTTTTTGTGCCTCTTTGTGATGCTACCACATGGCGATGCTCATTTACCAACCGCAGCCTTCTGGAGGAGATAAGGACTCCTAAGTGCATGTGAAAGGTAGGAGGGTGCCGAGCCTGTGGCTTTTCTGCAAGCAAGCATCAGTGTCTTGAACTTGATGAAAGCTGAAGTTGGTAGCCAGTGAACGGAAATAAAGAGAGGTGTGATGTGGGCTGTCTTTGGTTTCAGAGGACCAGTTATTTTTAAATTTAGTAGTTTCATGACTTTGGCAAAAATGTGGGTGGGTTAATGATGACGGAATTGTCATGTTTGCATGAACTTCCTGTTTCTTTTGTACAAATTACTGTTTCAATTATTCTGCGATGTGGAATTGTGATTGTTTTAGAAATTATTTAGTTGCCAGTGGGAGAAATGACTAGAAATAAAACGGTCAAACTACTTGCTCTACAGACAGCGTGTTTATGACTCTACGTAAAAAATAATATAGTTACAAAATACATATTTGCAACATTAAGCAGCATAACAAGCTGTTTTTATGTCTAAAAATCAATTCAAGAGAATAATCGCATGCCTCAAGTCAATAAGGTTTCATTGGCTGCGCCCACTTGTTGCATGGAGAAAAGGAATAGAATCTTTATTCTTCAAAACATTTGTGGGTTTTTAAAAAGAATAATCTGTGATGTTGGTATTTATTTATTTTTAATCTCTGTTTTTCCTTGCAGGTACACTAAGACCTGTGCGGCGAAGTTTCTATGATCCACGGTCGGCTCCAGGCCAGGGTTGGGTGTGGGAATGGGAGAACGACTCTGGTTCATGGACGCCGTACGACACCGAGGTGAGCATCGCCATCCAGGCGGCTCGGGACCGGCAGCAGCCCTGGCTGGACTTAACGCCGCTGGGCTTCTGCTACCTCATAGACCTGCAGAGTATGACACAGATTAATGGACAGACGCAGCGGCGCCGGCGCATCCAGAGGCGCTCAGACTTGGCATACCCCCTAGTCTCTGGCCCACTTCCTAAACCACATGCGTGGTCATCCGCTGGAAGTGGTGGACTGTTGGGTGTGGGCGTTTCAGGGGTCAGTGGAGGGAATGGCAGTGCCTATCCCAGTGGAGCGCTCCCAGCTTCTGCTATTACTTCACTGGGTCAGCCGTGTTCCTGCCAGCAGTGTATGTTAGTCTTAGGTGTCAAGACCCCAAGCATGGCACAAACTCTTGGGCGGAAACCCCCGCCAATACCCAAGCCACCAAGTCCCAAAGCTCCATCAAGAGGACACTCATACTCGCTAACCCTGCCTCACCCTCCTTCCCTTTCCCGAGTCCTCTCGCCACATAGGAACTCCACTTCGGGTGCTAGCGGAGGCTTCGGACACTCCCTCTCCCTGTTGGGCTCAGCCACTGCCGCTTTGTCCATATCCTCCAACCGTCCTCCCCCACCTACTGTACCGCCACCTCCGCCCCCATCAACCACACCTCATACCACCTCCATGGCCAACCCTACAGCGCCTACACCCTCTAGCACCCTTATATCTACAGCGACCACCTGTGCTCCCACGCCCTCTGCTCGTGTTCTTGGTCCTGTGTCGACAGCGTCAGCAGCTTGTGCCGCCCCGGTGCCGCCTCGCAGTAGTCTGGCTGGTCTTAGCCGTCCCGCCCTACAGAGAATCGCAATGGCACAGTCACGGGCACTCATTGCATCAGGGTAAGTCATCATGACTGGAGCCATCTGTCAGATTTTTTTTAATCTTCTTTTTTTCTGAAGATCAGTCATGTCTATTTGGTAACCCTAGACTGTGACAAAAGAATGGCAGAAGATTTTTAAGGTTCATGTCTCTACTTGTTTTAATACAGTCACAAATTTGTGAGCACTGCTTATTATATTACACATCAAAGATATGGTTTTAAAAACCCACAGTGTTCACTGATTGCGATGACTGTATACTGAATCCCAGTATAGTCACAATTGATGAATCACTGACAGGTTGTCTGAGATTTTGGTGTAGAGATAAAGGTTAAGATCATGGTGTTGTGGTAGTCTTACTGTGACAGACAGGTCGATTGGGAACCACCTGTGAACCATATTTGAATTAAAAAAAGGACGTTTTAAATAGTATTGAAGGCATTGTTCCTCCCAAAATGGTAATGTACTCACTCTAATTACTCTCCTGTAAGTTCCAAACCTTTATGAGTTTCTTTCTTTTTCTTTTCTTTTCTTTTTTTTTTTTTTTTTTACAAAGAAACACTAAAAACATTTTGAAGAAAGCTGGAAACCTGTAACCATCAACTTCAATAGTAGAAAAAAAAACTATTATAGTCAATGGTTACATAATTTTTTTAAAATTCTCTCTTTCTCTCTCTGTTTATACACATTCATTCATTCATTTTCTTGTCGGCTTAGTCCCTTTATCAATCCGGGCTGCCACAGCGGAATGAACCGCCAACCTATCCAGCATGTTTTTACGCAGCGGATGCCCTTCCAGCTGCAACCCATCCCTGGGAAACATCCACACATACACACACACACTCATACACTACGGATAATTTAGTCTACCCATTTCACCTGTACTGCATGTCTTGGGACTGTTGGGGAAACCGGAGCACCCAGAGGAAACCCATGTGAACACAGGGAGAACATGCAAACTCCACACAGAAACGCCAACTGAGCCGAGGTTCGACCGAGCGACCTTCTTGCTGTGAGGCGACAGCACTACCTACCGCGGCACTGCACTATATATATATATATATATATATATATATATATATATATTAGGGTTGGGCCATGTCAACTAATTTGGCATGGTACGATGTCTAATGTGAAACATCACGATGGACAATGGAATCGTCATTGTAGGTGGCGGTGAATTAATTATTTATAAATAATTAATTAATTCATAACAAATTAATTATTTTTAGCCTACCGTTTCAACTATCTGACCCGCATGGTTTTTGTTTTATCCATAACCAAATAAAGATAAGTTAAACACAAATTGTCACCTGTCAATCACTTTTTCTGCAGGACTCTGGCATGTGATCTTTGTCATTATAATGGCGTCAACAAACTTGGTTGGTAAAAAAGGTGCAAAACCAACAGGAACCAACCAGTGGTATCTGAGGTTTTCACTAAAATTATTAGGTACAAGGATAAAAGCGAAAGATTGAAGCAGTGTACTGATGCTGTGACACGTTACCTGATAGATTTAAAAGAATGAAGAGTCGTTCGATAGCAACAAGATGAATTAAATATCACCTTTATCAACTATAGTGAGACACGATCCAGCTGTATATCCTTGTTGAACTCTCCGACGTGCGCTACTCTTTGGAGTTTTGTGCTCAAAGCACCTACTGACTGCCTGGAGCTCAGATGTGTGCATGACAGAGTGTGTGTGTGTGGTCACGTGATGTGCGTTTTCAGCGGTGTAGTGTGGACGGAAGTCTTTTCAGAAATGCTAGATGAAACGCCAGCGTGGACATGGATCATTTTTATTCTAAAACTAAATGATTTTCGAAAGTGAGGATTGGAGTAAGGTTCAAATTTGTCATCACAGGATAACATTTCACAGTATTACCCTTTCTGTTAAATAAAAAAAAAACATTTTCAAAACCATACCAACTTAAAGACATATTAAGCAATATTTGAAAAATGTAGTTGACCACATTGGAGCAATAAGCAAAAAGAGGCATGTCTAGCAATTATAGTGGAGATATAAAAAAGGGTGAGATGTTGTTAGGTTGTTTTTGTTTTGGTGCTTTCAAATGTTTGCAAAATTTATTTAACGCACAATTAAAAACATTTAGAAAAAAATCTTACTTTTGAACAGTTGTGTATGAGAAGTTGATTTGTTTGTTACTTAGCAGTGCTGAGTAAAAATGTAGTTGAATTTCTTTTTGCTGGCATTTCAGTTGGAAATGTCAGTTTCCAATGCAGATTTTGCTTGTGTTTCCAGTTGATCAGATTTGCCGCATGCTCTACAAGTGTCTTCTGAGCTGTGGCTCATGCATCATTTCACTATTGACAATAGATGATGTTTTAACATTCTGGCATGGAGCAGATTTTGGGCTTATATCACTGCTTGGAACAAGATGAGATTGTTAAATCTTTAGCTCGATTTCAGCCTCTGCTGCCCCAGAAGTCAAAACCTGGACTATATACAGAGAGACTGTCACTCTGAGATGGGGACACTGGCTAAGATTTATCACTCTTTTCAGAATACGGTTCACCTTTGGTAATAGACTGTAACATAAATATGACAACTGAGAACTTAAAACCAATACAGCCCATGTGTTGACTTTTGTGAACATAAAGGGTTTGATTAGTAGTTAATTTGTTTACTGTGTACATGTAGGCCTGTGCTGTGATATGAAACGGTTTCACTTCTGTTTTAGTTTATTTTGGTCAAGAGAAGGAAGTTGTTTGGTTATCTTGTTTTTCAAGATTAATTGAAAAGTTGACACCTGTTAAAAGTAAGAACATTTAGTGCTGTTAAAAAAACACAGCTGGCCTGTACTGTTTTTGTTTTAAAGGCGTTTTCTTACACTGCTGCAAGCCTAAATTGTTTTACATTTTTACCATTGCATCCAGAACTTAGTACTTGGTATATCAGAATTCTCACATTTTCTAGTGATAACCACTAGAAGGGCCTATGATGTGATGACCGATCAGTCAACCACGGTTTCCATTTCAAAGGACATTTGTTTTAATTTCTAACATGACAGTCAGTGTTTCATTGCAAGGTGTAAACTAGAGCTGTGCATTTAATCAAAATCAAATCGGAATCGAAATTTGAAACGTTATGATTAGCTAATCGCAAGAGGCTGTAAAATGAAATGTATATGATTTAATTTCCCCACACAGAGAAAATGTGTGATTGCCGTTTGTGTGTGTTAGTCTTACTAGCCAATTAAGTGAGCATACTTTCGTTCCGCCCTATCAAAATTAAGCTAATGCGGAACGTCCACAATAAAACAAACAGGAAAGCGCATAGAGTGGGATGATGATGTATTTTGGTGTCAAAGTCACAGACACTGAACAAAAAATGGTAATTTGTAAGAGCTGTCGCAGAATTGTTGCCACAGCACATGGAAATACAACAACCAGCACCTAAAAAAAGCACCACAGGTGGCTATATGAGGAGTGTCTTGCTAATAAGTCATCGTAAAATAATTGCCAGTGACGCTGAATCTAGTAGCAAGCAACAGCAACGTACAATTTTAGAGTTGTTTGCGGCTGTCACACTGTATGAAAAAACATCACAAAGGCACCAGGAGATAACTGACGCCATAACTCACGTCTCGCTAAAGACATAACCATAGCTAAAGACATAACCTCGCTAAAGACACGGTGCCTTTTAATGTAGTGACTGAAGAGGGATTTATAAACCTCATCCAAATGCTGGATAGGGGATATACTCTTCCGTCTCGCGCATATTTTAACCATATGTGATATTTTGTGTAGCATCTGTGATAATTATTTTGTTTTTAGACAATATAAGCAACAGAAAGGCGCTTTGCTGAGTGTTCTGTATTTTTATAATTATATATTTTTTTGTTTGTATAATAAGCTACACTATCTTCCTAATTTGAGTTCAACTTCTTTACAGAAAGGTAAGGTCTTTTTATTTGTGCTTGCAGTTTGCTCTAGAGAAAAATGAGTGTTTGCTTTGAATTAATGTTGGAGTGAGTTACATCTTTTCAGTTCCTTTTTTAACTTAACTTAACACTCACTGCATTTTAGCAGTTAGAAGCTACAATACAGATTATTTAGCTGAAGCTTAAAACAATTTAAGTTGCAAATTGAAATCGCAATATCTGTCAAAAAAAATTCAGTTAGATATTTTCCCCAAATCGCACAGCCCTAGTGTAAACCTTTAAGATAAAAAAAGTTTTTTGTTGTTAAGCCTGTGTACTTATTAAGTTAGTATTTAATTGCAAGTCGGTGACTACAGGCAATTTGAGAGTCAGAAATACATACAGTCACAACCAAATTATTACCCATGGCAAGATGCATTAAGATCTTCAGAAGCAAAAGGACAGGGGCCTGTTTCAGTAAGGAGGTTCAACCATCTTGGAGTTTAAACTTGAGTTTTCTGTTTCTGAACAGCTGATCTGAGTTGGGTCAATTAAGTTTGAGTAGACTATTCAGAGTTAGGCATGCACACCACGGCTATAAAAAAGCATTATCAGTGGAGTGCAGATATAACGAGTCACGATGGCAGCATCTGGAAAAAAAGAGATCAGCTTTTTTTATAATTAAAAAATAAGCAATGTAATGTGTGACGTTTGGACTTTTCACTTGAAAAAACTGGGGAATTGACCATAATTTTGAAGTTATTTCAGATGTAATTGCATTAAGTTACATAAAATACACTACTGCATAGTTTTTACAACACATTTGACAAAACAAGAATGCATAATGTCTAACTGTAACTTAATGTTCAGTGGAAATGTTTAATTTAAGGTTCCCACTTTTACACACGTTGATCAGTTTAGGATAAAATGTCTAAAGTTTAGTTTTTTTAATAGATTTAAAAGTGCACTTTTGACACATTTATATTTACTGAATAGCGAAGAATCACCTAAATGTAATTACTGCCAGGCTGCTCTTACTATAAAACATATTTTGTTGGAATGTAGAAATTCAGATTCTATTAGACAATTTTTATAAGGAGAATACTTTAATGGACATTTTTAAAAAGGTAACACCAG